TTTTTTTTTAACATCACACTGAGCCTTGAAGAGTAATGGCAGAAACACGCATCCACCAGAATGTGGAGCACAAATCCGTCTTATGTCAAAAAACAGACCCAGTCTTGGACAGTGTGGACTCAGTTTGATGATTTTAAAAAAATGAATTAGTGGACAAGAAATAACCACCTTTGCAAAATTTGCTTATTTAGGGCTCTTTAACTCTAAATAACTCTAGCTCAAAAATTAACAAAATAAAAAGAAGTTAAAGCCAGTGTTTTTACCAAGCAATAAAAATACATCAATTTTGTTTACCCTTTATTCTTTTAAACCACATTGTTTTTATTAAGCCAGATTGAAAGATACATTTTTTTTTAATTTCTTGCGACGTTTTGGCAACTTTTGAGTCACATTCATGTAAACATTTTTTATTTCTTATTTTATTTCTTAATTATTACAATGTGATGTATAATCAGATACAATTGGCAAAATCAGTAAAGTCTTAATCTTTTCTTCTTTTAAATTAATTAAGCTTTAATCTTTTATTAAAAATTTAACTTTTTAACTAGTGAATGGATAGACTATTTGAAAAATGAAGTGAATTAATAGTAAATTATTGGTTATTATGATTTATTCATTGCTAATCAATTAATTATGAATTTTTAAAAGACAACTCTTAAAATGTTTTATTTAAATAGTTCTTAAAGAAATTAAAAATATAAAATTGCATGTATATGTAGAAAGGAACATTAACAAAAAAATCTGTCTATCTAAGGCCTGAAAATCTAAAACTCCAAATAACTTTAACTCAAAAATTAATAAAATAAAACATCTTTAAAGCCACTGTTTTTTACAATTATTTTAACCACAAAATAAATTTTTAAAAATTTTACTTTTTTTTAATAAAATATAAAAACTTTTTTCCCCCTTTCTTCTTTTAAACCATGTTGCTTTCATTAAGCCAGATTTGAAGATACATCTTTTTATTTATTTTTTCTTTCGGCAACTTTTGTGCCATTCATGTAAACATTTTTTAATTTTAACTGAATTAAATTTAATATTAAATTTTTTAATTTAATTAATTTTAACATTTAAAATTTAACTTTTTAACTAATAAATGGACAGATTATTTGAAAAAGGAAGTGAATTAATAGTTAATTCTAATTAAAGCTAATTAATTAATTAATTATGAATTCTTAAAGACTTAATTCTTAAAATGTCATATTTAAACAGTCCTTACAGAAATTAAAAATGTAAAATTGTATGTATCTTTATAAAGGAACGTAGAAATAAATTTTTTTTTTAAATTCAGCAAACCCGTGGTGTGTGTCAAAATGTAGTAAGAATAAAAAGATGTACCACAATTACAAAATAAAATAGATTAAAAATTATTAACACTTACTGTTAACGGCGTCAAGCATCTTCATAATCTGCAGTATTCGTGGAACCATGGTAGATCGGGAAAGCATAGTTGACACTAAATTGGCTAGCAAAATGCAAACTGAATACGAAATCCGAGCAAGCAGAGGACGAAAGAATTTATATTTACGTATATGTAGAAATGAAATTTTTTTTTTTTTTTTTTTACTTCTTTTATTTGTATCCACAACTTTACATGTATTATATGCAACCAGCAGCTTAATGCTCGAAATGTGGATCATTTGAAAACAACAAATTGGGAGAAAGAACTATCTTTTAAAAAGATTGCAATTATGTAGATAAACCCCGCTTTTTGACAAGATGTGAACCTTATCTTTAGGTTTTGTGAGAGGATGTTTCTAAGTGAACACCCACCTCTAAAAGCAGCTCTAAAGCCTTCTTGTTTAAGAATTTTACCAACTTTTTATAATAGTTCCCCAATGTAATGTAAGCAAAGAAAACCTAAAGATTTATTTTTAGTGGGGTGACTGAGACCGATTAATGCTTCTTTTAAAGTTAATTTTTTAAAATTCTTTTTACTAGTAACCTATCGATAAAAATTTCTTCATATCCATTGTTTTTAGCCAAGGTTTAAATTGTTTTTAATTCTTTGTTATAATTAGCTAAGAGCCAAATGTATCCAGCAACTTTTTGGATCCTTAGGTAAGAAGAATTTGCTGATATCATGGTAAGTGTTAATGTGCATTTCTATGTATGGTCTATGAGCCAAATGAATCTGGCAACTTTTACAGTCCACAGGTGAGAAGAATCAGCTGATCAAAGTGTTGGCCACAACAGATTAGGCATGGACACAGTGCTCATCACTGTAAAGTAAAGGTCCCAGGTTCGAAAATCCAATAACCCTACATTCAAGCCTGACATACATACAATTGGGCCTTTTTTTCTTTCAAAACACCGGCACCCTGAGGGTTCATATAACCTTGTAGTTGAAATGCCATCAGAAAAAAAAAAAAAATCAATAGGTTAGTTATGCAGTTTTAAATCCAAAAAGTTTAAATGACCATCTTTTTTTATTTAAAACATAAAATTTCTACTATATGTAAAGAATTAATGAATTGGAGGACTCTTTTAGATCCTCTAATGTGCCTGACCGTGTTTAATGATCAAAATCTGGACTGTTGAAAACAAAAAATAAAGAACTATCTTTTAAAGAAGTTAATAAACAAATTCACCCCTTATCATTTCTATGCATTTGCAATGTTAAGAAATAAAATATTTTTTGAAAATGGCACAAGATCGCCAAAATGTCGCAATTTTTTTTTTTTAAATCTTCAATATAGGAATGAGATCAGATAAACACACGTACTGAGTTGAGCCTATCCACTTCTCTATAATATAAGTAAGTTGCAAGTGGAGTTTAGTTTTTTATGGTATCCTGTGTTAATTAGTCTGGAAGTAACGGTTCTGCAAGTTAGATTATTCTATATGAACTACAAAGAAAATGCAAGACAAGTCACTCTAAATGTTTGATGACTAGTATCTTCTCCAGACTATATGTACCTATGCTGACGCGCCTGACCTCAGATTTGTTTTATTGCTACTGATCAAAAATCCTCTTTGGCTCAAAGGTTTCCAAGCGCTATTTGGTTCTGCAAAGACATATATAGACAGGTCCTTTTGTCAACTGAAACCCATGGCCTTTATAATTTTTGCTCCTTTACTCACTATACGAACTGACTAAAACACCCTATAAGTATATATACTCAGTGGAGATTAGTCTGAATTTTGGAAAATACTAACCAGTCAGTAACAGAATGTCACAATCAAACAAAACAACAAGCAATCGAGCAAACCAATAGATTCATCACTGTTCTCCTTGGGAGTTCTTTGCAGCCGTCAGTCCTTCAGGTTTGCTTTGCTATAACCTTTTGATAAGCTTTAACAATCAAAATGTGAAAACGGCAGGTTTTTCAGTTGCTGAGAAATTGCTATTTCTCTACAAGTCATGTAGTGCAAATTGAAAATTAGTCAGTCGCTACATTCTGGAAGTCTCACTCTCAAACTAAGGAAAAATTTGCCAAAGATGACTTTGAATAAAAAAATTAAGTCAAACCAATAAAAGAACATTGAAGATGCATTATTGAAGTGATTAAAGATCCAACACAGTTGAAACATTCCCGTCATCGGACTGACACTGGAAGGGAAAGACCGTGATTTTGCTAAGCTTTTTAATAAGCCACAAAAATTCTCTTATCAATCACATGCTTTTTGAACATGACAATATTGTTTTTGGGAAAATGAGCATGGAAGCTGTGAGGTTTTGGGATTACTCAAAATTAGTCGCAAAACGTTTGGCACACACTTTACCAAAATTTTGAGGGCAATGACATTTTTAATGCTGACAGGACTATGTTTTTGTTTGACACTTGATAAAATATCGATTCAAACAATGGTAGAAAGCCACAAAGATCAGACTTGTAGGTACAAATATGACAGGATCTGATAGGCAAAATGTTCTTGTGATCAGAAAATCCCAACCCCCCTGGTTGCATCAAGAATGTAAAAACATTACCCGTTCATTACTAAAACAATAGGAAAGTGTGCATGTCGAGCAATATTTTCTCTAAGTGTTCAAATCCATGGGACAAGAAACTCAGAAAATGAAAAATTTGACCAATTATTGACATCATCCATTGCATCGAGTATCAAATCTAAAATATATTCACCTACTCCCCCCCCCAACATAACCGATATACTACTTCAGTCCTCGATGCAATTCTGATGCTGGAGGATTTCTGGAGCGTCACACTGGAAAAATCTATTGAAAATTATTTTCAATGGTTTCAATAAAATAAATTCAGGGAGTGTAGAGATTGCGATCAGTCTAATAGAAGGAGGAGATATTAAGCTTTCCTAACAATTTATACTCTTCCTAACACACCTAAACTTTACAACGTATTGTACAACAAACACAATTCATTGTTTTACAGGAATGTCAGTTTAAACAATATGACAATAATTTTGAAAATACTGCCAGCCAGTAGGAGTAACAAAAGGATCGAAGAGAGAAGAAAAAGAGACGGCCAGATAGGATCATACTTTCAAAAGGGGCAATTTGAACGCAAGCCGAAGATTAAAAAAAGGAAAAAGGAAGAATAAAAAGAACCAAATAAAGAATAAAAAGAGCCATCAATATTTGCCTTCCACAAAAAGTTTTTTTTTTTCGTGGTTTGTTTTATACGTGTAAGTATTATACTGGAGACAAATTATTTTATTATTTTTTGTTGTTAAATTAGAATTGATACTGGAGCTAGTTAAGCTAGTTAGCTCAATCTCATTTTTATCTTAGTTAAGTTTTTCCAATTGTATATTATTGGCAAAGGATTTAATTTTATTCTCTATTTTCAATAAATTGTTAGTTTTTACCAGTTCTTTTTTTAATTCTTTTATTTGTTTTTTGTGTTTTTTTTGTTTTTTTTTTTTAACCTATTTCTACATTGACGGATCCACGAGAGATTAGCAATGCTATAACAATGGCTGATTTTGTTTAAACAGTGAATTGCACACTGGCCCTAATTATCTTTAGCTGTCATGTTCCTCTTTAAACACATGCACTACATTGCTACATTAAATTCACTCACCGTTGTCTAAAGACGTATTGGTTTCTGATGGTCGTACGTTGCTCCTAATAGCATAGTTGTGCTCATCTTCTGTGTCTAAAAAAAAACAACCAATCAATAACACGACTTTTTTCTTTAATCTTCATGTGGGCGCATAGACGGTAGTCTACCTAGTTAGCAACTTTGCTCTACAAGTGGGCAGGGGGCCATGTGGAGATTGTATTCTCAACTTACAACATATGAAACTAAATTTCAAAGTAGTCATCTTCCGGATTGGCGAGTCACACCAGTCAAACTTTGTACTCAGTAGTTTACCACCTAGCATCCGGTAAAGTTTCATTCTTTTCTAAACCATCCCAGTGAAATGTATTACATATTTTGTGTAATTGTAGGTTTATTTTATGTACGAGTATTAGAGATTATACATTGACATTTTTCAGTGCATTGCATTCTTTATTATTATCTAATGAATCATAATTATGTGCTATTATCAATGGTTTCTTACCAACCCTTATTATCAATTTTTTTCTTACAGGTAAGATTATTTTGTTATCTTCATTATTATTTGTAATCCCTCACTTTATCTCTTTCAGTTTAGCTGATTCGTGTTAGGTTAGGTACCTTCTAAATATACCTACCTGCATGTGTAAATTTAATTTCCTCTCATAAGGAACTGACAATAATGAGTAATGTATTTCACAGGTTTCATTTTTTCATATATATATTTTTTTTTTCTCTCTACATTTACCTCAAAAGACTGATATTGTCTGTTGATCTTGTATTTCTTGTAATTCATTATTTTCTCAATTTGTCATTTTGAATAAATTTTTGCAATGTTAGAGTGTGTTAGATCTTATATCAAAATAAGCCCCATTTCACAGAATCAGGGTAAGATATTGGATGAAAACATGCGAAAACGAGTTGGCGGTAAATTTGCTCCCACGAGTGAAAAAAAAAAGTCGCGCCCACATGAAGGTTAATGTATATTTTTCTCACTTACCATCGTAAAAAGTGTTAAATTCATCTTTGTTTTCATCGAAGAAGTTCCACTGGCCGTCCTTTTCGACTAAAATGACTTGGTGCATATCTGCAAAGAATATATTTAGTTATTGCATTTTTAAAAATTATGTTAAATAATATCACTTTACCGCTGTCTTCGGTGGAAGTTAAAACACTGCCAGAAGGAATCAAGTTTATTGATTTTTCATAGTTAATCAGCTCTTCCGAGCCTTCCAGTTCATCATTACAGGCTTCATCCAAAATTACATCATGACTCGATGTATGATTTTCGTTTTTACACAATTGTTCAATTACGCTTGTTTTCGGTTTGCAGACAGGTCTTGTTGGCTTTTTAAGCCTCCTTTTTCCCCTGCGGCCAGTCGAGAGCCAAGAGAAAACTGAAAAAAAAATTCCAAAAAAGATAAAATAATCAAGTTGTAAAACCAGAAATCGGCTCACTTTTGTCTTCAGTTCGGCACGGAACAACACCGTGAATGTTCTTTCTCATATAACTCGTGATATTATCAGCGTATCTTTCTGAAAAAGGAATGTTCGTTGGGCTAATGTCACAATAACAAAATATTTCGTTAAAACAAATAATACAAACCTGACGCCATCGTTTCTATTTTACGCATGTTGACTTCATTCGAGACCTGTTTTTTCTTTCTTCTGTTTCTTTTACGTGTTTTCCCTGTAAATTAAAAAAGAAAAAATGAAACATAAAATTTTAAAGGAAACTTTCAAGCGGAAATAAACCTCGTTTGGTTGGAATGTCATCGTAACCCAGTTCATCCATATCATCTTTGTACACCCACAAGACCTTTTTTCGTTTTTTCTTTTTGACTAGTGGAATAAAATAGCTTAAAAACTTGTTTCTTCTTTTAATGCAATTAACTTACCATGATTGACGTTTCTCAGCCGCGTAACATTTTTACTTACACATACTGGTTCAGAGGCTGAAATTAAACAATAAATAAAAAATAAATCCTATTGAAGAAAAAACAACAATAACAATGCTATCAATTTATATGTTTTAATGAATTGAGTACATCTCTCAATTGTATGGATTGTCAGTTTAGATAAGGGTGTACTTGGCCATGGGCAATAAATATTGGTTTTGGGGCATTTCTTAATTTTTTCGGACTATTGTCTCATTCAGGCTTATACGCTCCGCAGGCATTGTGACAAATTCTTTTATTTATTTTAATTTTAAGAGCACTAGCTGGACACTTACTGAAACTATTGAGCTTAGGTCATAGCCAATATGTAGCAGACACCTTCGTAATCAACACTTTCCTTTCCTGCTTCATCATCGGTGAACCACTCTTTTCTTCCCTTTCGGTTCACAATCTGACCTCTCTCTCAAACTTTTACGAAATTGCACGCAATCATTTATATGGAAACCATTTCGCTACAATGTCTACATTTCATTAGGAATGTACTACTTTCGTCTACCTTTTACCACTGCCTCACCCAACCCTCTACCCTTCCCACCAACTGCCCTTTGTCTTTCAGATTTTTGTCTCTTGACTGCCAAGTGCCCTAAGCAATATTTTTTACTTTACTTTTTATATGTATTCAAAGTGAACACTTTGATTTTTAATGCATAATGTAAAATAAATCAGGCTGGGAGGGGTCACGTAACAACACAAGCATATAAGCAGGAGAACACATTTTAGCATCTTAAAATCAGTCCCAAAATCATTAAACATCTTAATCTCTCTACTTATCTTCCTTAACATACTCATATCCATCAGGGCCATAATTTCTCATAATTTGTACACTGTTTAGAAAAAAAAATTAAGAATGCACGCACCCTGATTAATGACGATTTTACCGGCACACCTCCTTCTCTTTTTGAGGACTTTTTCTACCCCTGGCTCTTCATTAAAAGAAGTGGAATCTGTGGAATCTAAAACTAGAGCAAAATAGTTAACACATTACAGTAGAATTTTTTTTAAATTAAACTACCTTTCTGTGGCGACTCTTGAAGACTTCGCAGGTCTTTGACTTTGAGGCGGAATCCGACAGGCTGAGAAACTGATGCCTCAGTGCTGCTTTTGACTCCATCATCCTTCTCGTTCAGAAGAGAAGATTCCGCTAAAAAATTTTAAACCATCATATTGATACAACATAATAATACTAATTTACATAAAGAAAACTATAAATGAATATTCGTAGGTCATTTATTTTTCTACAATATATTAAAACTAGCTTCAGTTTGGTAGCAAGTAACAGTCAATTAAAAATATAACAAATTTAAATAGATAAGAGTGGAGAAACTACTCATTAGCAGTACTACTATGGGTCCTAGGTGTTCTCTACTTAACTGAGGTTAGTTCCACTATCACTGGAAAAATATCCCGTGGCCTTTTTAATCAATGAGAAGGGTTGGAGGGAATACTCAGGATGAGAATTTTTGTATTTGATGATTTATGGTGGTAGGGAGGTTTATATGCAATTGGTGATAGCAGGAGTGGATTACATTTTGTACAACAGAAATATTTAGGTCTTTATGAGAAATGGGAATATTGGATTGTTTCGGTGAAAAACATACTTTCAGTCTGTATGTCCATACTGGCTTCACAGTCGTGTTATTAAGCAGCCTTTTGTGAAGAGAGGTAAGTTAGAAGGTTTATCAAGAAATTGTAAAACATTGTTTCTTAACTTCTTGTTGTTTGAGGTTGTGTGTGTTAAGATTCCATGTCAGACATTTGTCAATATATAGTCCTAGATACCGTAGCTTCTACACAGTTAGGAGGGATACTTGACTGAAGTAGACTGGAGGGGGGATCTTTTTGCGGGGAATGAAGATTATTAGAGATGATTTTTCTGGATTTTTTTCCCACCATGAGTCCAGAGTGTGTGGTGTTCCTGAAGGGTTTTAATGGAATTGACTAGAACAGAGTTAACAGAAAGGATAGCTATATCGTCTGCAAAGATTAGAGTGGTGATTTGAGGATGGGATGGGAGGTCAGCTCCTTGGTACAGTACGGTGGCCAGAACACCTAAAGTACACCAGCAAGGAAAGTGTATGTTGGGGATAAAGGCAACCCTTCAAAGGATAATGTAGTAGGTATTATTAATATAAAATATTTAAACCCTGAAACCAAATAACTGGGCAAATCATTTACGCTGTTGGTCAGGAGGATCTATGGCCGTTTCTTGGACATCCTGTTCCTGTTTGACGATTGTCATATCGACATCGTCATGAAGGGAGGATTTTCCTGGTTCGTCTATTTCAGCTGGATTGCAAGACCGGACCGAGTCTATCTTAACCCATGGATCAGGATCGATTATGCTGAAATACAATAAAATCGACATTGAAAAAAACTATCAAGGGTAATATTTAAAATGAACATAGAATTCTACCTGCCAGAAATGATAGGCAATGCACCCTCCTTGATTTCCTTCAGCATCGACATAACGCATTTCCTCACCTCAACCTTTAATTTTTTTAAATATATAAATAAATTATTAACATGAGTACAGTCGATTTCTAATACCTTGAAGTGATCCGAGCAGATGAATATTTTCGAATAGATACCTAGGTTAGGGGTTTTGATAAAGGGGGACCATCTTTCAAATGCGTCTTGACAATTTGGAAATGGTATGAAAGTCTTCGAATTGTCCAATGTCGAGTTGGGACACTCTTTTATCATACAACTTTTGAATGACCTGAAAATTTGATATTTCATCAATTTTCATGAGATGCTCTATTTATTTAAATTGAATACTACCTGAGATCAGGTCGGGACGAGTCATGCTTCTTTTTAACGACTTTGGTGATTATGTAAGTCTTTTTCATTTTCCTCGTCACCCTTGTAAACCAACAGCATCTGAAAGTGTGAGAACTCTTTTAAAATTAAGTCAATAAAGATAAACGTTTAACATAAATAATGTTAAGAATTACTATGATGTGCTTCTTTGGTGTTTCATTATTAAAACGACTCCAGAAAACGAAATTAAACACCGTACTCTTCGGTTTAGAGATTTAAAGTTGCAGAATTCACGATAGAGAAAGGAACTCCAATCGTACTTTAGTAAATTTATGTTTACCATAGTCTTTATTTATTGTTCTTATTTTTTATTTATTTATTTTTTTATTTTTATTTTTTGTGGTCTTATGAACATAGCGAATTAGCCAAAGATGCCATGGCATTAAATACAATACAAACGTTGATTTTAGTACATGCCAATATCGTCAAGACGTCAACAGAATAAAAATGCAAACATCGATAACGCCGCAAATATCAATAATAGTATCGATTAAAACATCGATGAAACTATCTATAAATAAATTTATTATAAATATCGATATTACAGATAACAAACTAAATAGTACAGAGGCCAATATTATATTGAAGCCAGAACCGATAATAGTATCGAAGACATAATTGAATCGAAGTCAATGTATTAAATGAAGAATAAAGTTCCAACTATTTATTAGTTTATTTGGGAAGCTTTTTTTCCCTTATATGTAAGCATCTTTAGCCTTATCTTAATCTTATCATTTACATCCAATGATCTGAATGAAATAAATACTCTTAATGAAAAGAAAATAATATAAACCAGCTAGCATGACGGTGAACTTTTTTTTTATTGTTTATTTATTTGTAAACCGGTCCCTGAGTTAGAATAAGCTCTAGTTGTAAGAACAAAAAATTAGTTTACACGACGATAGAAAAACACAAGTAAAGAAGTCGTTCTGATAAAGTTCGATTCTCGGCCTGGTTATCGAAACCTGCACTGTTCCTCTTCGGAACTTGAAATTCTTCTCGGACGGGTGTTTTACATAAAAAATAAGTTTGTAAATTACCGAAAATTGTGTCCAAAGCCAAGAATCCAGTCGCCATGACGAAAGGCTCCTTTAACCAACTTCCGAGTTTACGACACTGTTACACAGCCACCATTAAACTCGGCATTTCGATATAAATTAAATCGATTCTTTTCTCCAATTCATACCTTCAAAAATGAATTTATTGAATCTGTTTATAATACAAAAACATTATTTAAATAGCAATGAAATAATAAAAAATATTCTGAATAATAATATTTTTTAAAATTATAAGTATTATAAAATTAAAAGCCGTTTATTGTTTTAAAGAAGACACCCGTCAGAATCGATTTTTGAAATCGATTCCTTTTTTTATTGCATATGGCTAATGAAACAGATATCCCAAAATTGATTTAAAATATTAAATGTCAATAGTAAATTACTTTGAAGTCAAGTACAAAGTACCATTAGATAATAGTTTTTTACAAATTAATATTGAAAATTTAAAAAAAATACATTTAGCGTTGTTCACTAACATATCAAGGCAAAGTTACGCAGTACGGATTCTCCAAGAGATACAATAATCGACTCTTCTGAGGACTCACAATTATTTCTATTAATATTATTACTTATTTATACTACTTTTCCTGCACACTTTCTTACTCTCTCTCTCTCTCTCTCTCACCCTCTATCCCTTTCTCTCCCTCTCACCCTCCATGATTTTATTTATTATTGTTGTACACCCAAGAAGTAAATGTGTCACGAGCGGGATTCGAACCCACGACCTTCGGCTCAATACGCGGCTGCTCTAGTCAGGTTAGCTCAAAACGTTAGAGCAGCGGCTTGTATGCAAGGATGGACTTTTCTATTATTTATTTATTTTCCATTTATTTTCTTTATTTCTTCTATTAATACGCAATGTTGGATGTCAAGCATTATGAGAGTGAGAACGACATCATTGCTCCTTAACGCAAGACCCATTGGAAGATTACGCCGGTAATAAAAATAATAATAATAATAAAATAAATAAGTAAAACCTGTGTTTTTTATATTCCACTGTTTTATTTTAGTTTAAAAGCTGTGACGGATTTATTCATTGCCCACTTCCTTGTTGGACACTTCTCCGGCGCACGTCTCTTTCTTCTGTAACAGACAACATACAAATATTAATTTCATTCATACACTCAAAGAGAAAAACGTGACAATTGTATTTATTTGTTTATTTTCCACAATAACTATGTACAAAGAGTTGAGATGTTTTGGCCAACAACGGACGTGTTACATTTCCTGGGCCATGTGCAGCGCCCTGCAATCCACGATGGTCTACTGTTATTAGGACCACCGGAAGTCTCCATCGAAGAAAATGGTAAAGCTAGAGACGAACGTTTTATTACTCAACCCGTCATTTAACGGCTTCCTTGATAGGTAGTCAACTCCAAACGGTCTATAATAAAAAGGTGAGCTCAAAAAAAAGTCTTCAGAATGTTTCATGAGAATAGCCCAGACTCTATACGTCCGCATCAGGTTCTCTACTACTGGAGAGGTATCGAGTAGGATTCGCAAATCAGCAACTCACTCGGACATATGAACAAAGAATGGGTCTGCTGTTCTCTTCACTGATGAGTACTGGTTTGGTTTGTGGCAATTAGATGACCGAGACCATGGGTGAAGAAGACGTTCAGGACTCTTCATATGCCATCCGTGAGACAGCCTTTTCAAAGAAAGATGGCATGGGGTGAAATCAATCCGTACCGAACTGATATCATACCGAAAGGATCTTTCGCTGCACTAAGGTACAATGACGAAGTTCTTCTGGAAATTGTGGTCCCAAATACTGGGGACAACATCGAGTTAATTCATGATTATGTACATTACATTGTGTTTTGAGTATTTCAACTTACTCTTTAACATCTTTCAATTAATTAAGGGTTTTTTCTCAACTAAAAACCTTAATTAATTGAAAGATATTAATTGGTCAAGCGGACCACGAAAATTAGTGAATTTAATAAGTTTAAATGAAGTATACTTCACTAAACCTCTCCGTGGCCATTTCATTCGTCGCCGAGAATCAAATAAATTACATGACATTTAAAAAATGGCAAAAAGGAGGGAAAATTCAAAAGGTGGGGTTGAGATGGGAAGTTAGTGTCGGAGTGGATTGAGGTCACGATAGCTCAAGTGGTAGAGCAGCGGCGTATCTAGCCGAAGATCGTGGGTTCGAATCCCGCTCGTGCCATTAACTTTTTTCTGAACTAAAAACCTTAATTAATTGTAAAAGATCAAAACGTTGGCACGATAAAGAAAATGTTTTTCTGAAGCCTACATCACACCAGACCGCATATCACGATTTCCTAATAATCAATGTAAGATCTACATCACGAATTTGAATTCAAGGCCTAATCTCAATTTTTTTTCATCCCTGTTAGCAGCAAATTCATGCTGTTTTAGCTAAATGTTGTAATATATTATGGTTTCTTGTCAGTGTCCTGTACTTAGGAGGTCACGAGGCCAGTGACGCTTCAGAGGTCGGTAGGATTATTTGGAAAGGTGCGGGTTGAAATGTTTCTGGCATGAGAATTTTGTGACAGAATAATTTACATTGGAAATAAATAAAGATGGTTGTTTAAACTTTTTAGACTTGAAACCGTCCAAAATAAATTTAACTAAGTGAAATAAACATATGTATATAGAAAACCCACAACCATGAATACCAGCAGATTCTTCTCACCCAAGGATCCAAAAAGTTTCTGGATACGGCCTAAGGGCCAAAGAAACTCCCATTAACATCTGCTAATTATAACAAAGAATTAAAAACAATTTAAACCTTGGCTGAACACAATGGATATCGGGAAACATTGATCAATAAGTTGGTAGTAAAAATAATATAAAAAAAGAACTTAAAAAGAAGCAACAATCGGGCTCAGCCACCCCAACAAAAATAAATCTCTAGGTTTTTCCTTGCTTACATACATTGGGGAACTATCAGAAAAAGTTCATAAAATTCTTAAACGCGAAAGTTTTAGAGCACCTTTTAGAGGCACGTGTTCACTTAGAAGCACTCTCTCAAGATCTAAAGACTCAAGGTTGACAACTTGTCAAAAAGCGTGGTTTACAAACATAACTGTAATGATTGCGATATTAAATAAATAGGGCAAAGCGACAGAGAAATTAAATTTACTTAAATCGGACAAATTTTCTGAATTTAAGGACCATCTAAATGAATCAAAACACGAGTTCAATTTCAACTTAAATACAAGTATAATACAGTTTCAACAAAGGAAGGGAACTAGATTGGTTTGACAAATTTGAAATTAAAAAAATTAAAATTGAACATGAAGATAAATGCATAAATAATACAATAGATTTTGATTTACTTATTTATTTTGATTATTTTGGTTTTAAACGTGTACCTAAATAATATTTGACATACAAATTAACACTAATTTAAAATTATTGTTTTTACAGGATTTATTAGGAGGTGGGATTGGCGGGTTCACTTTTACAATTCATGTCGAGAGACGTGTTTGTGACTCCTTCAAACTGATGATGAGTTTAATGGTTGAAATCTGAATGGTCTAAACAAATCTGTGAGTAGAACCATCATTTACAAAATGTATAAAAAAGAGAATAATTGTTTGTGAATGGTAAGATTGAATACATAAAAAAGTGTATTGACGATAGTTCCGAGGATTTTGGATACATTGGAGGTTGAAACGTATTGAATCCCAAAGTTCGATAACGTATGTCCAAAAGGTTCTCGAAATAGTAACATAAATGAGTCGTTTGTTTTGTATAATCAGTATTTAATAATAGTATAATTAGTTTGTATAATCATCGTTTGAACCACTGCTTAAAGTGACATGGGTTTGCAGGTTTCTGGTTCGATCTTTATGAGAGCATTATGGCAGTATCATCCGATATGTAGTAAGGATAGATTCAACGGTGTATACAGTGTAGATGATGTGTCCTAAGAGACTGACTGATATTGAAAGAATTTTTTTTCTTTTTTTTTAATGACGTCTCAGCTGCTTTACGGAAAACCCAACAAGAGATAAAAAGCTCAGACTTACGTTCTTTATGCAACACGGGCTAAAGACGCTTTTCATTTTTTGGCAAAATGCACAATCCGAGCTGTATTCATTGTAAATATTTTTCATTCATTCATTTAAAAAAATAAATAAATAAAATACGCAATTCAAATATTCACTGACCTTAAATAAGGATGACAATCTGTGCGGTCTGTCCTTTCTCATAATACCGAACAATCTGAGGAACCATCTGAGCTTTTTATTTTTTTGGGGCTTGTCTTCAGACGATTCCGTGGCTTTCCCTCCTTCCTTAAGACTTGGGTCCTCCTCGGCTCCTTCATCCTCCTGTAGAAAAAGCAAAATTTTAAGCCTTAATGATTCTCTTTCAGTATTCTTTATGTGGGGGGTGTTGAATTTAACTAAGTCCTCTTTTGGAAGAATCTTTGGGTCATTTAAAAAGCCCATGTACAAATGTAAAACCATTTTCCGTCGTTTATTTCTAAACTATGACCACCCATTGGACCGATATGAAGACATCATGTATAATATACTAGTGCAAATTTTAAGCCTCGCCGACTTACCGCGCGTCCTCGTCCTATCATTCAAATGAGATTTTTGTTTAAATAAAAACTATTCAAAAACATATGCAATAATGTATAATTAGAATAAATAAAGTTATACCAATTGACAGTGAAAATTGAAATGCCAGTTATGGTTAATTCTTGTATTGCGTAATATCAATTTATGTCTTATATAATTTTTCGATAGCGAGTACAAGAACAATATAAATAATTAAAATGTTTTAATGGAATATTAAACAATTATAAGTTTTTATTGTTAATTTTGTGTTGTTTTACCAACCTTTCTGTTTGAACGTAAAGCGGTATCGTTTCTGACTTCTGAATGTATAACCGTCGCATAACCTCCGCCCAAACAATATTGTTTAATGTTTAGTGTTTACATTTTTGCCGGTTTTTCTTAGGGTAGTTTTTTATTTATTATTTTATTGCTTTTTCTTTAAGAAAGACGAAAATACAGGTAAAATGATAAAGGAAAATTATTACTAAGGAAGAGAGAATTTAAAAAAATGACCGATTGGTAAATATAAGCATGGGGGATGTTTGTTGGATTTAGTTTAAAGCTTTCTTCTCTCCTAAGGCTTTTCTCTTTTAAAGATACATTATTGTTACGAGTTCTTTTAGTTTGGAATTCTTTAGAAAAATAAAATAAATTGCAGTAGTATGATAGTTTGATTAAAAAGCTTACAACGCTTAGAATACGATCTAGTGTTTGTTCCCGTTGATTTTATTATTTACAGGCGAAAAAAGCACGTATTCCACTTTACAAAAAACCTGTCCTTACATTTTTATTAAAATGTTCAATAATAATAGTGTAATTAACAACAAAAGAAATTTATACAAAACAAAGTACATAAACATTATATAGCATGGTAAATATCGTATGTTGAATATTGAAGCTATATACCTACTTCAACAAAAATGAAGTGTGTAATTAAAAACTTAAAAAAATGAATGTGACCCATTGACGACCAATGCTTGACTGCATGACATGAACCATATGGACGACTTTATGTGCACAGTTGGTCATGAGGTCAGTGATTCCCGAACCTCCTAGGTTCGTAGGGAGGTTGAGTTGATAGGTCAGGTGAAGAGATAATTTGAAGTATCCACATTTGGTTAGGTCAGTAATAGAAGGAATTTGGAGGTTTGGGTGGAGTATTGTTATTAACAAAGAAAGGTTTGGTGATCATGTGGAGGAATTTTTGGCTGTATTCCTACGAAAGTTTGATTTTTTAGCCGCCCTGAACAGTTTCTGTCTGTAGGTCTGTATATATATATAAGCTGTTCAATGAAAAGTATTTTTTGTGGTGAATAGTTTTGTTTTCAAGCTGTTTTTAGTTGTCTTGTAGCAGCGGTTCAGTTCTGCCATTTTAAATTGTGTATGAAGGATTTGACGCCATGTACTGCAGGAAGTGAAATTCGAATGATATATTGCGTTTCAGGATAAAGGACATACATAGGGAATTATTTTTCATTTATTTTTATTCTCCATTTAAGGAACCATGGTGGCTTTGGAGGGATTGAGATTTGTTGGATTGTCAGCAAAGGTAAGGGTAAGTATGATTGACTTGAGGGAAATCTGCCAAGTCTATGCTAAAAAGTAAACCAACAATACTCCCTTGGGACCAGAGAGGATAAAATGGATCGAATTGAAGAAACAATATTATTTTAGGATGAGATACTATGTATTAGAAAGGATGGATTTGAGTTTCAACTGTATACCCTGATGCTAGACACAATCAAAAATCTGAGAGCTGTCTAGAAAGACCAAACTGCTTACACTCGAGGGATTTAGCAAATAACCTTTGGTAGAATTTAAAGTGGTAATGGAAGCCAAGTTGGTGGCCAGGAATAACGTTGGTTGTGGATAGGATTTCTTGTAGGCATATGAGGACATGTCAGTTGGTTTGTAAGGCTTGTGGATCAGGCATGTGGAAAGGGTAAGGACAGCGTTATGATAGTATTAAATTAGATCTTAGCTCAGATGTAATAGTTCAAGAGATTTCATATCCAACATCTTGTTTTTATTTAAAAATATTTTTAAGACCAAAACTTGCTTTTTTTTGACAGATTGCCATAACCTGACATATGCATATGGCTTTTTAAGATCCTTTACACTTAGAATTTTGGTTAATTCAGTGGTAGTGCTGTAAAATACACCAAATATAAAACAAACTATACTAAACCCTATAAATATTTTACAAATTAGGCCAAACATAATTTGTATTAAGATTCTCTATTGTATACCTGTTCTTTACCCCAGCAATGAGCAGTTACTATTATCTGTTGGGAAGGTTATTTTCTAACCTAATCAGCTTACAAGTTTTATTATTTATTGATTAGAAAACTCTGAATTTATGGAATAAAATTGTACAAATATATATCGAACGAGCAGATTTTTAATTTGATATTCACCGATCAAAGTGGTCTGCTCTCACTGGTTGGTGTCAGAAGTTGTGCCATTTCACCATCTTCAGTGTCTGTTTTATGTAGGCGAAGCATTTAAATCACCCAGACCTATAGTACGTTAGGTAAAATCTCATATTTTTTTAAACATTTTAAACGACAGACAGCTTTTTCATCAGTGCTGCCGTAGTTTTACGAATCAGCAAGGCACAAATCTTATATACGCACCTACAATTTAACCAAATCTTTCATTCTGCGTCTTTGTGGTATAAAAAACCAAATAACTAACCTAAAATTAAAAGTGTACACAAAATGAGACAGTTTAGTACCTGTCCAGCAGTCTGAGAATGCTTGTGTCCTGTTGTAACCTAACTTGCTGCAAACAAGTTACAAATTGGTAAGGTTATTTTCCAACGTAATTCTACATTGCAATGTGTTGCGCCTCAACGAATAACATTGCAGTTTTTGCATCTTGTGGAAAATTGAAATGGTTTAGCGTTTATATTTTTTTGTATATATGTATAAAAACATTTGTTGTTCTAATAATGAAAGCTTTATTGCATGAGAGTACATTACACAGCATGGATTTCGTTTGAAAGTTGTTGCAAATAAATGTACAATTCATTCAAGAAAGTAAAAAAAAGGAAATTGACAAATTTGTTTCAGATCCGGCCAAAGGGAAGTCTCGACTAAAAAAAAAAATTCAAACAGAATGATTTGGGTTTTTTTTCTCAGCCTGAACAACTGTTTAAAAAACCCAAAATATACATTTTTTCTATGTGGATTATACAAACAATACATCACTATATATACACACACACACACACAGTTTTATTTCCAGTTGGAAGAGTTGGGAGAAGAGAATCAAAATCAAAGAGTGACACATGATTTAGCATAATAAAATTATACCTTAATTTTCACCCTTCTATCGTTTTGCTTGATTTTATATAAAGATATTTTTTTCAGACTATGCTGGACGACGTCCCACTCCCATCGACCTGCCAGCGATGGACAAGCATATTCGAATACTGCCTACGTACCGTGCCAAAAATCAAATCCAGTGGGACATCGACTTGATTGACAGCCATCTTGGCGAAGTGTGCGACGAGCTCAAGCTACTCCAGACAAAATATTCAAGTAAAAAGTAATTATTTATTTATATTTTTTATAAAATCAATCCTTTTTTTTTTTATAATTGAAGACATGCAGTTTCGAGACTTCCCCTTTTTCCTAGTTTGTAACAAATTTGTCTGTTATATTGAAAATAAAATGAAATACAATTTTTTCTGTTTTAATTTGTCTTTGTTTTTTCTAATAAATAATAGTTTATTTACAAAGTTTGATTATTATTTATAAGTTCTAAGGGGAGATTATGGGCGAGGCTTTACCATTGTAACCATTTTTAGCAGATTTTTGACTCCTGCTTCGACTTCGGCTCCGGTCTGAGCTGCTTGTCTTGTACCTGGCCCTTTCTTTGCTCCTGCTGCTCGATTTGCTGCGTGAACTCCTGGACCTCTGCGGGCTCCTGGACACACTCCTTTCCTTGTCCTTGCCATTCAGCTTTCTCTCCTCAGGCTTTGCAGAATCGGATTTTTCCCTATACCGTTTTGCCGCTGTTTTGTAGCTCCTTGGGAGCTTGTCATCCGAGCTGTACTCACCCTCACTGCGAGAGCTGTACGACGATGAACGAGACTTCCTACGCTTCCTGTCTTCCAAATGGTGGTGGTGGTGATGGTGGTGCCTGTGCTTATCCCTCGATCTGCCATTGCACTGGTCATCGTCGGATACACGGTCTACCGACCTGGAATGCGTTCTGTTCCTCCTGGTTTTGCTGTCGTGCAATTTCTCCCTTCGCCTGTAGTCCGGAGTTCTCGACCTGGAATGGGATCTTCGCCTCCTCTCTCTTGACCTAGATCTCCTCTTTTCCCCTGACCATCTCCTTTCTTTAGACCTGCTCCTCGAACGCCTGCCTCCTCTATTCCTAATTCCCGTTCTTCCTACAACACAAAGGTTTCAACCTGAATTACATGTACAAATTATACACTGACCTTTACTGCACTTAAATGTTTATATTATTATTAATAATATGTAAATGGGTACACTTACAAACATATATTTGTTATTATTTATTTCTGGCATAATTAATAATCAGCCTTCAATATTATCATTTTATATGAAAATAAGACATCCCTGATTTTTAATAGGAAATTTAATACTTATGTAACATCACCACAAATAACACTCATGGCACAATTTCTTCATAAGCATACATAAATATAAATATTTAAATTATACTTACGTTTTGCGACTAGGGCTCTGTACGAGTCGGCTAGGTCTTCAAGCCTCGGGCTGATGACCTGGTTGGCCTCCTTGAGCACCGAAATGAGGTCATCGGCCTGCTTCGAATTATTCCTCGTGAAGAATGTGTACGCTGTTCCTTTGCGCTTCGACCTCCCTGTACGGCCGATCCTGTGCACATAGTCCTCAGAGTTGTTTGGAAAGTCGAAGTTGATGACGAACTTTACGTCCTCGACATCTGCAAAGCCCAAAATGGGGAAGAATGTTAGCAAAGGATTATCAAAAAATCTGACAACAGTGCTTTTCGTCACACGTTCACGGACGTGTTTATATTTAACAAATTATCCCCAGTGAAAACGCCGACCAGTATGTCAACTTTGATAATTATTTTAATAACTAATAAGCAAAAAAAAAAACCAAAAGAAATAATCTTTGATAGCATTTATAAGGGTTTTTGAAGAGTGTTTTACATCATCCTATAAAGTAGTCATTTAACTGTAAATTTTTTTAAATTTAATTACTATACAAATATGTACAGTAAGTATACAGTGTTAAGTGCTTGCACTTGCAAGAACTTAATTCAAAAATACTTAAGGGGAAATTCCAAGGGAGTCCTAACCAACAGAAGTGGCATCAATTTAAATTAATGAGTCAAAAAAATTTAATATATATTTTTTTCAATTTGTAATAAAATGGGAGGGGAAAAGATATGCTTTACAAGTAAACCAATAAAAGAAATTAAAAATAAGAAAAATACATCAAACTTGTCTTCCTCTATCAAGAAAAAATGTTTTAATAACGAAACAAAAAAACACTTTTATACTCACTTTGCAACCTTTTTGTCAGTTTTCACTCTGGGACGAGCGACTGCTATTGAGCGCTCTTGTTTTGGCGCTCGTTGGGGAGGCCCCGAACGTTGGGGTCGTCCTCCGAAACCTTAGCGCCCACGGCTCCTTTGCCCCCCCCACCCCATCGCACGCCCCCCAGAAACGAATACCCACCAGCCGGCGCACGCCTTCGTCGACGACAGCCTCCTTGGAACAATAAAGAACAGTTTTCCTGGTTTTTTTCCTCTTTCTTTCCTCATTCATTTATATCCATAAACAAACATTAACGGGCATGATTCGCACAATTTATTTAATTAGAGACAAACTTAAACTTAATAGAAGTGAGTGGAGTACTGGGTACTTTACCACATATGTATACTACACATCAAGATAACAGGATGAATAAAGCACCAGCTAAAAAGGGTCAATAAAATGCACTAAGCTTCTATAGGTGGGCTTAAAAGGATGGATTAAGGTGTAGTTAATATAAGCTTTCGCTGCTTAGATTTAATATGATTTATTAAGCTCCTGTTGCTTAAGATTAAAAGGAGTAAGTTTCAGGATGTATTAAGCTCCTACATATCAGCATGAATAAAGCTCCTACTAAGATGGGTTAACGAGATACATTAAGCTCATATTGGTTGAGGTAATTAGGATGCTCTAAACATAGATGGGCTTAACAGGGGGCATTAAGCTCCAGCATGTTTAGTTATGTTAAGCTCCTGCAACTTGTGATTATCATGATGCTTTAAACACTTGCTGTTCAGGTTACCAGGATGCAAAACAACTCCTGTTTTTTACGGGTAACAGGATACATTAAGCTTCTACTGATTACTGCTGACAGGAAGTAGCAAGCTCCTGCTTAGGATCAACAGGATTCTTCAAAGAAAAATACTTTCACTTAGCCAAGCACACACGCTAAAAAGTAATAATAATACAGGAAGAAGTTATGAAGTTAGCATAACTACCTCATGGGGGAATCCAGTCTGTATATAGTCAAATAATTTGTTTAAAATGAAGATAATTGTATGAAACACCCGTTAAATTGAAAAGATAACTTTTTATTGTTACAATGAATTTTTTCGTTTAATTCAACAACAGAGAAAAAACCAGGAAAAACAAGAAAAACTTAGGGAAGGGGTGGTTTGGATCGGGTTAAATGATTCATGTTACGCTTGTATGAGCGCAGCTCCACCGCCATATCCAGGGGGACTCGCAAGGCGGGGGGGCATGGCCGAGGCAGAGCGGTGTAGACAGAGTGAGAGACACTACGCGCCAAATGCTCGAAAATCGTATACCAAGCATTATCACGTATGTGCCTCTGTAAACACACAAGAAGAAAATTGAAAAATAAAAAAAAGGAAAACAAAACAAAAAAACATTTAAAAAAAGGAACAAAAAAACAAAAACTTCCTGAGATCTCCTTCGTTAAGGACAACCTATTTTACAAAAAGTTTTTTTTTTTACTTTACAATTTTTCTTGGATAGGTAAAATAAAAATGGTACATTTTTTCTTTTTGTTTTTGTTTTGAGAACAAGCAAAGGGATTTTTGTATAGAACATTACTTGGAAAAATTCTCACCTAAACCTCTTGCAGCAACATCTGTCGCAACCAGGATCGGACTCCTTCCATTTTTAAAATCTGCGGAAATATTTAAAATTAAAGCAATCTACAAAGAAAATGGGCAGGGGAAGGATGTAAATAGTTTGTATAAGAAGGAAGGTAATTGGAGATAAAGTGAAAGGAGAGAGAAGACACAAAAGAAAGAGGATGACGCCACGTTTTAACTCCCTGGCCTTTATAAATTATTTAGCTTACCTTTTAAAACATATTCTCGTTCACTCTGTTTTTTATCACCATGTATGCAAACAGCATTATACCTAGGAAATTTTTTCAGAAAAGTTAATTATTTAAAACTAATATAATAATAAATTAATGAAACTCTATATACCCTTCTCTAAGAATACGTCTAGTGATTTCTTCAACTCTTTTTTTAGTTTCAATGAAGACAATGGTCTTATTTTCTTTCTCTGACATTATTTCTTTCAAGAGGGTTGTCAATCTGAAATTTTGTTGATATGTTTAGATTCAAATTGGAAGTTCAATATAACACCAACAGCTTACTTTTGTTCCTTTTCGTTTTCGTAACATACATCGACAATCTGGAGTATGTTGTGGTTTGCCGATAGCTGAAGTGATCCAACGTTCACCTGTATATAATTTTTAAGGAATTCCTCGGCGAGATTTTGCACTTCTTTAGGCCACGTCGCTGACCACATTAACACTTGCCTGTCAGGCTGATGAAAACACAAAAATATAATGTATTATAAAAAACAAAAAGACTTAAAAAACACAAAACTTACTCTTATCTGCTCGACAATTTTTCTTATTTGAGGTTCAAAACCCATATCGAGCATTCGGTCTGCTTCATCGAGCACCAGGTAGGTGCACCTTTTCAAATCAACCTCACGGCTTTCCAGGAAGTCTAGCAGCCTGCCTGGGGTCGCGATGACAATCTCGACGCCACGTTTTAACTCCCTGGCCTTTATAAATAAATTTAAGTAATGATTTAGTGATTGAAGACATGACTGGAAGTTTTCAACTTACCTGAATGGATTTTGGCGCACCACCAAAGACAGCGATGTTTGATATGTCCTCCCCTACTTCGTTGGCGACCTGAAGTATTTGCTGGGCAAGCTCTCGGGTCGGTGCAAGGACAAGGGCGATTGGGCCTTCACCCCTCCTTAAAGGCTCTTGCGCCTCAATATGAACGAGCGCAGGTAAAATGTACTAAAAACAATGCATCAGTGATTTAAAAAAATAAAAAAATTGAGTAAAAACATTTCATCAGACACATTTTCTCATTTATCTCAAACCCTTCTGTTTCTTTCATTTTTTCTAACAAAGTAAGTTTTACTTACTGATAAAGTTTTTCCAGAGCCAGTGGATGCGATACCGACCATGTCCCTCCCACTAAGAGCAATCGGCCATCCCTGGGCCTGTATGGCAGTCGGTTCTTTAAAACCTAGTTTTCTAAAATGAAAAAATTGTCTTAAAAACACAGAAATAATTTGTAATAGATATTTAAAAGTCTTTGTTAGATGATTACTTGATGGTTTTCAACACCATTTCAGGAAAATTGGCCTCGTCGAACGACCAGACTGGCTTCGGCACGTCACGACCTTTTATCGTTATGTCCTTTTCCTCAAGGTACTCCTCAACTTCACTTTTCGATCTTCCGTCGACCGTTGGATGCGGTGTGTAGAAGTTCTTTGTGAACGGTTCTAGTCTTGACATGTCCCAGTGGGGCTTTCTGAGCCCCGCGCCCGCACCTCCACCGCCTCGTCCTCTCCCACCACCACCCCTCCTCCTGTCACGTGACCTCGACCTTGACCTGTACCTGTCACGCGACCTTGACCTTCTCCTGTCCCTCGACCTGGAGCGAGATCTAATAAAGGAAAAATACAAGTGAATTTATAACATTTAAAAACTCTATTGCCTTGGAATATTTACAATAATTCAATAACAAAGTAAAAAATATATACATATTGTTTGAAAATAGAATATTGGGTCCAACAATCAGATCATACAATTGGAATGGTAGAAAAAATATCTTACAGGTACATTTACATCTGACACTTTTGTCCGGTAATATATCTTGAGTGTCATACCGAAAATCGCTTTGACTGTTACATACTGATAGAAATTTCTGGAAATATCATGGGTAGGTAGTATATGACAGTTCACAAAATGTGAAACTTGGAATAAATATACGACCCGTTTACATACAAGATTTATTTTTGTGTACACTTGTCTCCTATGTAATTGTACATCTTTTTCATTCTGCACACAGTCGATTTTATCCTGACACGAGGAAAGCATCGAAATACAAAATTGCAGCCTGTGTAATTATTTTAAAGATGAAAAGGAATTAAAAATGTTATATATGGGTTTGAGAGTGGGTTTTGAGATGTGAGAGTCAATGCCTACAATCAATGTCTGAGCTCAGTATTGAGGATCCAGTTCAGTTTTCGAATTTTTGAAGAATGAAACCTGCTGATTTTGAAAAGCTTGCTTGTAAAATTGGTCCCCTTATATCAAAGCAAGATACCATATTCACAAAAGCTATTAGTGTAACAGAACAACTTGCTGTAACTTTGTGCTTTTAACATCTGGCAAGTAGGTACCTATTATTAAATAAAAAATTTAATTTTAAATTTTTTTAAAAGATTTAAACACTTTTTTATCACTCGTGTATGACACTTATTGCAACGGCAGAAAAGTAGACGAATGGCCAACATTTGCGATAAATGCCGAACAAGACTGAACTTGCAACTAACCGGAGTTTACGTCTACTGGTATATAAGTGTCGACATAAATAGCTAGTAGTTGAAATACATATCTCTGACATAAATTCTCCATTGTTTATATTAGCCACGATTTCTGTCCGACATAAATATCATACAACCGATGTAAATGTAACTTAACACTATCAGATCCGACAGTAGGCAAGGGCGGCTATCAAATGTAGCCTTACCTTCCTACGGTGTTCTTGACAGATAATACTGAGCATTTATCGGTTTATTTTTCAAAATATGTATTTAATAGCCTTTCCCGATTTTTTTTTTTTTTTTTTCACGAGAGAAGGGTACAGCTTGCAGACATATTTTAGGGTTAAGCAGGGACATGGAGTGAAAGACTTTCTAATCCGGTTTTTGATTGTTTTATAAAAATGTATAAGCCATTTATTATAATAAAGCGTACAGGGGTGGAAAAGAAAACATTTTTGCGTAGTAAAAAAATATATATATAAAAAATAGGGTAAATAAAAAAAAAAAAAAATGGCAAGTCTCACCTTCCGTAGCGTCCCATTCGTGATGCTTACAAGCCCCGTCCGTCGGTTAAGCCGCTGTTTTTTATTTTATCCACACAAAGAAGACTTGACGATCCTCCTCGTCGGGTAGAAGAAAGTGAAAAAAAGTAAAAGTCTAAAAAAAAACAGAAGAGCCGGGCGAGGGACGAACTAGAAGAAACCAACGGCCAACCTCAATCGCCCTACGACTCGGTCGAAAGTGTCAAACTAGTGACTGTCCGAAGAACTAGCAGATGCTGACAGCGCTGTCACCAAACTCAGTGCCAATGTTTAAAAAAACTCTTATTTTCTATATATATAATATATTAATTAAAATGAAACAATTTAGTGTTGTTAGAATATTAAAAAAACACGAAGATCTGTAGACAAGATGCACTACTCAAATAACATCCAGTGTCATCATCATTGTGAGTACTTTAACCTAATCATTTTAATCTTCACAATCCATGATTGCATCTATCATCTATGATATCTGTTAAAGTGTATTTTTATATATTATAGTTAATTTATTTTTCATTTTGTACAAAAAGCAGATACATATTACAAAAGTACAGTACGACATGGATCACATGGACGTGGACACCATCCGCCTGTCAGGAGTTAACGGAGAATGAGTAATAAAAGCGACACAAATAAATTGAAAAATACTGCCTCCTATTGGGTCAGGAGTGTCAGGTCTTGGAACGAAATACCGAGAACCCACGGGGAAATAAACCAGCATCTTTCAGGCTAAAATCCATGCAATTGAGAAATGTACCCAATTCAATCTGACCAAAGAGTACAGAATATAGCTATCGTCCGATAATTGGCTGAAACTAAACTAAATAGATTAGTTATAAAAAAATAATGTCGTCTAAAGTGTCCCAGGACATGTGTAAAGGCAACAAGAGAGTGCCCTTGCCAGGAAAGAGGCAGCTATAGTGCTAATAAGTCCTGAGCCCTTCTGTTCCGTTCGGATTCACACTATCAATGATTATCTCTAAAAATGGTAGGCAAATATGCATACAATTAGCAATTGTTAAACTCTTTGGAACTTCAACATTTACTTTAAAAATTTTTAAAACTTGTTAAAATGGGGTCCATCTGTTCCTCAAATGTATATAAGATCCGGGAAACAATCTTCACAACTTCCTATAAAGTCTCAACGGACTAGAAAGGAGAGGAAGAACACAGGAGAGCATCAGATACAATGATATGGTACACAGGTGGCTCCAAAACAAACGAAGGAACCGGATCAGGCGTTTTCTGAACAAGCCCAAAAACATGAGCAATCAAACTCATAAGGGAAGTACAATTCGGTCTTTCAACCAGAAATATATGCCGTCAATGCTTGTGCCCTGGAAAATCTTAAAAGTGGTTACACTGACAAAAAATCCTAAGATCAGATAGCCATTAAAGCATTAGCATGTAAAAGAATCACATCAAAATTAGTCAGTGTATGCATCCAAAATCTCCAAAACCTGGAGAAACACAACAATCTGATGATATCTTGGGTGCCAGGGCAAGGGGAATTTTGGGTAAAGAGAAAGCAGATAGTCTGGCCAGAGGAGGATCTGCAAGACTATGCATAGGCCCCGAACCTATTCTTGGGAAAACAAATATAGAATCCTCCATCGCAGAATGGATCCAAACAAAACAAAAGGAGAAGTGGATAAATTCTAGCGGTGCTAGACATAGTAAACTTATGATGAAACAACCATCACCAAGAATGGCAAAAGCACTGCTGCAATTGGAGAGGGTCAAACTCAGAGGAGTGGTAGGACTACTAACCGGTAACTGGCATCTGAGAAAATATCTACACAACATGGGTATATACAGCCATGATCCCATTTGCAGATTATGTAATGAGAAGGAGGAAACAGCCACTCATATCATCTTCAAATGCGAAGCAACAGCTCAATGGAGGTTTAACCTAACATATGGAAGAAACTTAGGGAATCAAATTGCAGCAGTGACAGTCAATGACCTGACACTTCTAAGGAGAAGGATTGAGTCTATTGCACTGAACTAAGGAACTAGGAAGGTACAATAAGCCAGAAGGCTGCAGTACCTGGCAGTGCAAACCCCGCTTCCTAGTATCCTCATACCATACCATACCGTATTCAAACGTATTTCATCTTTGCACCATCTTCAGAGAGGAACATACTCAGTAATATATATTCACCAATTTACTTTTAATACTTAAACTATTAATAATCCTACAACAACATGGTTTCTATTCAGCAAGATCAACAACAACCAATTTAAACTTATTGGACTAAGACTTTATTATTAAGAAGGACTTTGTTCATACTTATTAGAAAAAAGGGCATTTAATATAATAAATATGTATAATGTAAGAATAACTAAGAACAACTTTTTTTTTGCTTTTATTTTTTTTTCTTAAATAGAAAGGACAACAAAAATACATAGACTTATACAACAAAATTATTTTCATATCACAATTATCCGACGACCAAGTTAATCAAGAGGTAGTTGGGTACTTTATATTTTTGAAAATTAATTAATTACAATCAATTTAATGGCGTCTTGGGCTAAAAAATGAATAAGTTCTACAACAGCCAATTTAATCCTAATGGAACTATAAATAAATAAACGAATACTAGCTACAATCAAATTAAAAAAAAAAAAAAATGCAATCTACTAATAATTATTTACAAGATTTTAACAACTTTTTTTTATTTTGTTAATTACACAGTTTTTTTAAATTATAGCGGGATCATTTTATAAGAAAGTTTTGATTAATTAATCACTCAGTCTCATTTATGGTTTTGTGAGATTTGTGTTATTTTCAGGAGTTTGGCTGCATTGCAAAGTTTGCCTATTACCTGCCTAATTGTTCTTTAATTAGTACAAATTAGGTTTTTTAGGATTCTATTGATTAATATTTTTTTAATAATAGCCAGAGTAATGATGGTAGGGTGGAGATTTCTGCGGTATGTAGGCCTGGGAGAACGGCTGGTACGGCGGAGATACCATGCGTTCTTCGATGTGTGATACGACAGGAGGAAGCAGTTGCCCACCTCTCGGCATGGTCAAATCTACTGATTGCATGTTCATTGCACGTATCACATCTGGCGGGTATTCGTACATTGTGTACCTCGGTATGAAGCTGTGGTACATTTCCCTGTTGTTGATCTCCTCGTCGTATTTGTACTTTGATAGGTTTTGCACCATTTCATCCTCTCTATACCTGTGGTCTTCATGTACTAGGTCGTGTGGTGGTGTCAGGTACTGGCGTTCGTACCTCGGCGAGGGGTACATAGGCAATGGGCTGGATCGATAAGGCGGCGGGCTCCTGGGTGAAGGAGCCGTCTCAACAAAATCCGGCCTCAGGTCTTTTTCGGCTGCATCAATAGCTGCCTCAACAAGAAGACTGGCGTTTGAAGATTCAGGACGGCGATAAATCTTTGCCTCTTCCGTGTAATCTTCTTGAGGATGGTGGTCACCCATCCATTTCTTGCTCGCTTTGCTTACAATCGATGGGTGGTACTCGATGACGCTCGTCTCTTCACAGGTCGGGACGGGATCAGCAATCTGGACTTCCTGGATCTCCTGGGGTTCGGGGTTTTTTGTGAGACTCGTCTCCGAGGACAAGCTGTCCTCACGGTTTGAGTCATCCTCCTGGTCTTTCTCACCTGCGTATGACTCGAAAGTGTACTCAACAGAGCGGACAATCCTCGGAAACCGGTCTTCAGTCAAGCCGTGAACTTTTTTGTAATGAAACTGAAGACACTGTTTCGTTGTAAATGCTGCTGTACACCTGTCTTCTTGACATCTACAGACAAAAAATAGCATTCGGGCAAAACAATTCTTTTGTTTAGTGGTAGGTTTTTGAGGATGGTTACAAACCCAGCAAATCTGTAGTTTGGGTTAGAGATGGTTAGTGACAATAAAAGTTGGGATGGTTATGGAGGTTAGGGAAAGGATTACATATGAATGGTTCAGTATTGTTAGAGATGGTTAGTGAAAGAAATGTTCAGGAAGGGAATGGAATATGGATTGTTTGGTATCATTAGAGATACCAGATAGATAGTTAGGTTTGTTAGAGTCCATTAGGTATAGTTAGGGAAAGTGGTTAGAGAAGGCTAAGGAAGTGGTTTGAGAGGGTTAGGTCTGGTTTGTGGTGTTGAGAGAATGGTTTGTTGAAGAAGGGGTAATTATGAATTGTTAATATGGTTTTGTTTAGTTATTTCAAAACAAATTAATAAATATGTTTTTTATTTTTGACTTACTTGAACGGCTTAACACCCGAGTGAGTAAGCATGTGAATCTTGAGGTTCGACTTGTTCTGAAATGTCTTCGAACACCTGGCACACGAGACGCCAGACGGCCTTTTGTGCACTTCTTTTGTGTGCCTCTGCAGCGCCGCCCTTGAGCCGAGCACTTTGAGGCAGTCGACGCACTGAAATTCCCTCAGCACTTCTGATAAATCTTAATTGTAACACAAAAACAAAAAAATTGTAAGTCTTATTTTATATTTTATAAATGAAAAAAATTTGCACATTAATGAATTTACCACTGTGCATTCTTTTAATGTGAACCTTGAGCTTCTGAGGCTGGCAGAATTTCCTTCCACAGTAGTCACACAATGGCCTCGCCCTGTGCGGATTGGCCGAACAGCCATAGTTCCTATGCATCTCAAGGTAGTTCAGACGAAGGAAAAACTGATAAAATTAATCAAAATAAAATCAATCCAGAAAAGGTTTTTATTAATATATAGAAGACCCACTTTAGAGCAGAACTGGCATTGGTATGCCCCTTTCCCTTCATGGTAGAGCAAAGCGTGTTTCATTATGTTCTGCTTTCCCAGTACGGCTTTACCGCATATTTTACAATGATATTTTCTCACAGTGAGGCTCAGACTGGCCTCGTGGAATACAGCACAATGGAGCCTGTAGTACATGGCATGTTCGAATTGCAAATTACATCCTCCACAGCCTAAAAACGAAACCTTTATTAAATAAATAACAATAATAGATTATATTTACTCACTGGTTTTTTCCATCTTCTTCGCTGCCCAAGAACCAGTCATTTCAGCCCAGAAGACAAGCTCGACATTTGGAAGAATATCAATGAGGGTGATGAAAAACAACTGTCCATCTTTTTCGATAGGTACTATGTTGCGTTCCGTACGACTCATCGCTGGCCTCAGCCACCGAAGCCAGTTGGATTTCTCCGGAGAAGAAGTGCTGAGATAAAAATCCTGGCTTACCTGAAAAGCAAATATCTGGTTATGATTTCATAGTTCGAATGTTAGAAAAACTTACCTCCCATATGTGCTTCATTGAATAATCATCGGCGATTTCCATCTCTTTGATCCGACATCCAACCAAAGGTCCGAACTGCGTGTACTTTCCTATATGCGCTGTTGTAAAGACCCCCAGTCCACCGCCAGCTTCTACCTCTCTCAGTTCTAGCTCGCTCGGAAGGGTCGCTTTGGCACAGTCTTCCCCCACCAGTTCTTGCAGTATGACTTGATCTTTTATCACGTATGCCGGTGTCTTGAGAGGGCACAAGTTGTCGGGATGTTTCAAATCACAAAAACAGCAAAGCTTGATGCCGAGATTATTCCTTACCAGCCTCTCCTCCTTTGGATCATCCTCTTCTACTTCTACATCTGAATTATCAAGCCTATTATAGAAAAAATCCTTTAAAATACAATTTAAAAAAAAAATTTTTTTTACATCTTTAAAAATCATACTTTTTATGCGGCTCCTTAAGCCGTCTTTCTCTATAGTTCTCCTTAATTGTGATCTTTTTGATTTTTTTGTTTATTTTATGACATTCGACTTGATCATCAGGTTTGGCAGCTGAGTCGATATCGCTGCTTTTGTCATTGTTGGTGTCGGATGTGTCAGTATCCTCTAAGTCTAAGTTGTTTGTCTTCCCTTCATCCTTCTGCGAATCAGCACTGTGAGCTGAAAGCACTTGGCCCTCCTCATCATTATAGTCGTTCGGAGGCTTAGGTCTCTTGTCAAACTGTAAAAGCTTAGAGCTGGGATGGGAAAACAAAAACAAAGACATTAGGTTGGAACTGGCAAAAAAAGTTTAAATGTTAACTTGCTTATATGCACTGAATTTCTATACAAGTTTGGTTTTGAGAGAAGTTGAGACAATGCCTTAGGTACTCACCAGAGGTACTTTTCTGCGGCTGACAACAGATACTCGACAAAATCCGGATCGGTGCTGAAATTGAGCTTGTTCCTCAGGAACTGCCAGTTTTTCACATTCCTTGTTCCGATGTCGACAACGGCCTCATCATCCGCCTTGGCGGGGGCGGGGTCGGGCTTCTTCTCCGCCCTCCTCGGCTTCTTCGGCATCAGCCCCCGGCTAGAAGAAGGTTCGTCGGGGGTGGTTTTTCGGCCTCATCTGGCTGGCTGGGGCGATTGGCTGGAGGCGGAGAACAGCCGGGATCCCTCCCCCGGGGGAGAAGGGGGGAGATTTATTGATCAACGGGGGCGGCAGGGGCGGTGAAATTCAAACTCCGGCCGCCCCCGTCGTCGGAAATGTTTCCAAATTGAATTCGGAAGATCTTCGGCCGGCACCTTGGATAATTTTGGCGACAGAAACGGGTGGATATGCTATAAGACAAAATTAGGCCCTCCGGGCCGGATTTCCTTCCATCCGTGGAACATGAAAAAAATCTCCCTCAGTGAGATTTATAAATAATTTTCACTTTTAATATCCAGGTTCGGACATCGGAAATTACCAATAATCTAATAATTCTGCCCCTACGGTTGTTTTTGCATACGAGCTCGCTTATTCTCGCTTTGATGCAATAGTCAAAAAGCAAGAACCACCTCAACGACAGCTTTTTATACGATTCAACTTGTGAAAACCGTCTATAAATCAACCAAAAATACTATTTATCAAGTTTGAACTTTTGATATTTCCTTCAAAATATTCTTTACAAAGTTTTGTCTTTTCATAAGAAAAATTGTCCGTTTTGGTCAATTGGTGAAATGGTTAAGCACGAATGACATCACAAAAATGTTATATGTTCCAAGACGCCATTTAAGCTTACATTTTAAAAAAATATTATTTACTAATAATTAAATAAAATATTTTATCAGTTTTTTGAACAAGATTAACTTTAAAAGCTACACTGTAAAAAAAATAATAATAGTGATAAAAATACTAATAATCTAATCAAGGCACCCTTTGCTTTTCCCCCTTATCAGTGCCAATAACCGAGATCTAATTTTTCCAACTTTTACTGCAGATTTTTTCATAACTTTCAGCTTTCTTCTCCTCCACAAGGATGGCTACAAAAAGGCTGACAATCAAACTCTTCGATTGGGCAAAATTGGCCGAAAGGGTGCCTGCGAATGATAAAGCCATGTATCTAGCATTTAAAGGAAAATCCGACGGCTACCTGAGAAGGTTCGTTGAATTTTCTTTCTTTCTTTTTATAAATCACCGTGATAAATTTTTGATGAAATTTGGAAAAAAGTATGGACACATACTTGCTCTAGTTTTGGTATGGTGTTCGACCAAAAATGTATGAAAATAGGGAAGGTTATTTTAAGAAAGGGTTTTTATATAGTTTTAATATTATGGAAAATTTCTATAAATTGGCTTTAGGATGCTAAGCAACCCGGAGAATCCACCCAAGTTGGACTGGGAAATGTACAAGAAGCTTATCCCTGTTCCTGGTATGGTCGATGCTTTCCAAAAACAATACGAAAGCTTGCAGATTCCGTATCCGCAGGACACCGCCTCATCCCAAATTGACGCCCAGGAGCAGGAACTCGTAAGTACAAAGCCATCGGCCATTCCTCACTGTTTGGCTAAATCCTTATATTTTTTCTTTTTGCAGAAAAAGGCTGTCGAGGAGTTCAAATCTGGCTCGGAACAACGCATACAAAAGTTCAGGGAGGAGATATCATACATGAACAGTCTCATACCATACGAGCAGATGAGTATGGAAGAATTCCTGGAGGTAAATCCTGGACAGCTCGACTTAGAAAACAACCCGACTTTCTGGCCCCACGACCCTGATGAGATAAAAGAAATAGAGGAAGCAGAGAAAGAAATGCAGGAATCATCTCATTGAATCCACTCATGTTCCATTTAGTCCTATAGACTAAACAATTTCTAAACTCAAACTGTAGGCATATTTAATAAAAATAAATCTGTTAATTGTTTTGTCTTTTTGTCCTTCCAGCTTATAAGCAAACTCATCATTTTCCTCCACCCATGATCTACTCATGTTTTAGTGGGGGGAGAACATGGCATCTCATTTTGTACAATTAATTTTTTTTATGTAAGGTCTTGGCCGAGATGAAAAAGAAAGTGTCATGAGCAGGATTCGAACCCATGACCGGCTCAATACACCGCTGCTCTAATCACTTGAGCTATCGAGACTTCATTCCATTCGAACACCAACTACCCATCTCGACCTACAACCTTTTGATTTTTACTTTTTTTGCCATTTTTCAAATGGGTTTGAATCCTACTCATGACACCGACTTTTTCATCTCAGACCTTACATAAAAAAAGAATAATTAATTGAAATAATTAATATGGTCAATTAGACCACTAAATAAATGGATTAATACATATTCTGTACAATTGTGATCAACCAGAACCAAAAAAAAAATAATCTGATTCAATTAAAAAAAAAACCCTTATTTGATCTTTCTAACATTATTGTATTGCCTTTAGTGAAAAATTTAAAACAAATATTACAATTTTACGTACATATGTATATACAAGTAAAGCCATTATTTTAGGTTAGGCTTTTCTTCAATCACCTAAAATTCAACTTTCATATTTTTAGTCGTTTTAAAATTTTAATTAATTTGGAAAAATATTATCATACAAGGTGCGGTGTTAGTGGAAACAGCAGAGGAAGTCTTCTTAGGACTGCAAGGAAAACCAATAAAAGATCACTATGGTTTGACGTTCAAAGTGGTAAAATTTGCAAATATAGCCTTTAGGAATATGTTAAGCAGAAAGCCTACTAGGAGAGTGACAGAGGAATATAAGATAAAGAGGCGAGAGGAGAAAAAGGTTCATAGAAAGAAAAAAATTTGGATCTATAAAGAACTGGAACAAATTGAAGCTTATAGAAATATAAAAGAAAGCGGGCTATTCTGTCAGATAAAGGAAGAGCCCATTTATTTATTTATTTACGGATCGAAATCCACTATAAAAAAGACATTTTACAATAACAAAAAATATAAATTAATGATTAATTTATTTTATTAAATTTATTAATTAATTTCAGGCCAGAAGTGACTTTGGTAAGAAAAGATGGAACATTATTTTCCAGAAAAGAAGTTATATTGCAAAAATGGAGCCACCACTATAACAGCCTGATCAATGGTGATAGATGAGAAGAAGTTAAAGACATTCGAAGCATACTGTCTGAGGATGATGATGTTGAGATTTTGAAGAAATTACGGATGCAATATTTAAAATGAAAACCAATAAAGCCCCTGGATTTGTAGGCCTGTTGGCAGAGGTATTTAAGTATGGTGGAGGGAAATTCTATAACACTCCATAACCTAATTATATGGGTAAATTAATATATACCGTACCAGTGGAAAAAGGCCATCATATGCCTGATACACAAAAAGGATCAACTAGTGTTCAATTTATAGAAGGAATTCACTTCTAACACGTGCATATAAGGTTTTATTGCATTTGCTATTTTACAAGACTGACAGAGTGATTGGAAAATATCAGGCAGGCTTTTGGTTAAATAAGTCAACGTAGATTAGATCTCTTTCTTCGGTTGATTTTTGAAAGAGTTATTGAATTCCAGGTGCCCACATTTGACCTCTATTAGATGTTAAAAGTGCTTATAATAGCTTCATTCACCCAAGACTGAATATACCACCATGCAAGAAATGAATATACCACCCAAACCCACTTAGTGAAAATGATGGATACACCACGTGTAGTCTGGATTTCAGGACGGATGAAAGAAGGCATGGTGACTCTAACCTATACCCTGTTTAACATAAAAAAGTGATCTGTGATTTAGGAAACATACCAAACGCTGGCCTATTTGGATTATGTAGACAGCATAGCACACACACTCCCAGAACTAAAGGGTGCTTTCCTTCTTTGCTTAGCCATCAATGAGGAGACCAAATTTATGTAAGTAGGAACAGGTAATGGCCCACTTATGGTGTGTGTTGGTTTGCAATTTGGTAAATTCATGCTGAACCGGCACTGGGTCATTTATTGGGTCTGTCTTCACCCGCATATAAAGAGAGACCTGATAGTGACACAGTGCTGGTTCAGTATTCTTTCAGAGTCAACGAATTTATTTCGGCTCCCAAATTAACTCATATAACAAAGTCCCAGGATACCGTAAGAGAATCTTAGGGAGCTAGTAGTCTTTGAAAATATTCCAAGGGACAAAAATCATCATAAAACCCTCATCAGCCCAGAAAAGAACCTTTTGATCTTTGAAACGAAATTATTCCAAGAATTTTCGGTGCCATAATAGAAAGGGATGATGGTGAAGAGCAAATAAGGTGTACAAGAAGCGAATGTAATAAAGCTTTCAAGAACTTTTCTGGTTATTATCTGAATTACGTTATTGTGTTTAACCTAAATTTAGCAATTTGATCCTTACTTGATCTGCCTGTCCTCACTGGGTTGGTCTATTAAATGCATTTCTGCATTTTGCCATGCTGTATGTGGTGATGATGATCGTTAAGGATCAAATTACAGTTTCATCACCCTGCACCACACTACAGGAGGAAATCTCTGTAATGTTATTAACTCTCATTATGTTAAAAAAAAAATACTATTTACAACTTCTAGAAGAATATCTTTAAAAATTTGTCACATTTTAATTTGTTAAAAATGGTCAGGAATATGTTATACTTTTGGCGCTAACCAATTGTATAAATTAAAAAACCTTTTCTTTTTCTTTAAATAAAAAAAATGTATTTTTAAATTTTATTACAGTCAATATATTACACTCATAAGGTGGAAATAATTGTTAAGAAGGTTTCTAAAATTTTATTAGTTTTTTTTTCTTTTTTCTTAAGTCTTATTTTCCATAAATATTTTACAATGAGTGTTGCCCTAACTCAACTTTGAAAAGTGAGGAGACACTACAGGAAAAAAAAATACCAAGAAAAAAAATTCACTTTTCACTTGGATCTTGCAGCGTCAATCACTCGACCGTCCTTCAACCATGCGCGCTTATAAATTGCAACAGGGGCGAAAACCCTGGAAAAACTACAATTTTTTTTTTATACACTGAAAACATCATTAATATCATTCTATTATATAATTTGATACAGGTAGGTAAATGTAATATATATATAAAAAAGGAAAAGAAAAAAAAAAAAAAAAGGGAAAAGAAATAATAATTTTGGCCCCGGGGTGTTTGAGCCATTCTCCTGACTCGACCCGGGTTATCGCGCAATGTTTAAAAAAAAAAGTAAATAACTCAGCTCCTGTGGGCCTGGTGACGTCGGTTCCTTTTACAGTTAAGCAAATAAACTATCACAATATATACAAGAAAAGCGGACCGGCTCTTCTATCCCGCTCTCCTCGGACTTGCGTTATTTTCTTTCACTTCTTGTCTTTTTATTTGTTGATGTTTTTTTTCTTAAATCTTCGACCTCTTTCTTGCTATGGCGTCTTCGACTGCTTTAAGCTGTTTTAAGAGTTCCTCCCTTCGTGAAGGCGCAAGCTTCTTTTTGCTTATCTATACATGAAAAAAATAAATGTTATGTACCAATTTTCTTTCATAATATTTATCACTTACATTAGGCGATTCGTCATCGTCAAGAGGTGAATCGTTTAACCTCTTTCTACTTACTACAGGAGGTTGTACTCGATCTAAAAACAAATGTAGATTAAAAGCCTTCCACATGACACACATGTTCACATTTACTCTCTCAGAACACAACATAAATTTATTGGGTTGATGCAAAATTAATGCAGGTTTTGAAATTTTTTTAAAAGTTTTTAAATTAAACAAAGCTAAATCCTCAAATCTAACTTATGCATTACAATAAATACTTTTAACTTTATCTTTTATACAAAACATTTTAGTTTATATTGAATTTTATAGAATGAGCACCTGCAAAATGAAAGATGTGCAAACTAAATTTTCATTAAATTTATTTGTACGAATTAATTGGTAAAGTAAAAAGCTCGGCAAGTGGGTACTTCACGAACTAAATGAAGCCCAAAGAAATCAACCTTTGAAATTTGCAAGTCTCTTTTGTTACACCACCAAAATCATCCATTTCTAGATCGAATCAACACGAGCAATGAGAAATGGAGAATGATAACAGGAGGCTTACAGATCAGTGTTGAACAAGGATGAAGCGTCAAAATATTTCCCGAAACCAAATCTGCGCTCAAAAAAAGTTATGGTGACTATTTGGTGGTCTACTCCTGGGGGTGTTCACTATAATTTTCAGAATTATGCTGTAACCATTACAGCAAAAAAATATGGCCAAGAAACTGACAAAATGCACGGGAAACTGCAACATAGTCATCCAGCATTGGTAAACTGTAAGGGGGCCGATTCTTCTTCACGGCATGCATGACGCAATGCCGACTCTGCAGAAACTTAACGACTTGGGATATGAACACCCTCAATATTCATCCGACTTCTCGCCTACAGACTTCCTCTTTTTTAGGCATTTTGATCACTTCTTGAGGGATAATTTTTTTAAAGAATGTTGTGAAGCCGAAGAAGCCTTCCAAGACTTTATTGTGAGTTGAAATATTTTTATCAGCGGAATAATATCCCTTATTATACATTGGCAAAGATGTATAGATTGTGATAGAAAATATTTTGAATAAATTTTCTATATTTTATAAAAATTAAAAATGATTTTGACTACCTTTTCAACACCTGCATTATTTTTGCACCAGCCCAATGCAATAAATTTAAAGATTGGCACATAAAATAATATAACAGTTTAACAAACCTTTCAATGTGAGCTTAATCTGTTGTTTTTGCCCCGAAAGCTAAAACAAAAATTTTTTTTTGTAATATAATTCAACAAATGGATAAATTTACATTAAACCTTTCATACCTTAAGGGCGTCCATCGCCTTGACTTTCATGTCCTGGGCGAGTTTCTCAATCTCAATTTTCTTCCTGTTGACCGCTGGCTTGGCTGTCGCCTTGGGTGGTGGAGTGGCACCCCTGCTCGATGAGGATGATGACCCACTGTCGCTTGAGCTGTCCGATGAAGAGCCGCTCGATCCGCTTGAGCTCGATCCCGACCTGGAACGCGAACTCGATCTGTCTCTCATTGCCGCGGCGAGAAGTCTCGCTGACATATTCCTCGACGTCGTCCTGCAACATGACAAGACATTGGAAAAGGTTCGAGTTTTTTAATTTTTTCATACGATACCTTTCATTGACTGGAGCAGGTGAGGGGCTTCGTCGATTTGAAAACACCATTCTTGGACTAGGAGGTGGGGGATTCATATGTGAAGACCTCTCTGTATTGGCTCCTCGCCTATCTGCATTTAACAAACTTTATAACTTAACTTTTTTAAAAAATAAAGTAAGTACTTACCACGGGAGAAAGGACTCTTGTCTTTGGCCACTTTCGAGAATGTAGACATTATCTTTCTAGAAAACGTGGATCGTGAGCGCGACCTGGAAGACCGGGACCTCCTGGAGGATCTCGTCCTCGACCGCGACCGCGACCGCGATCTTGATCTTGAATAAGAACTGTAACTTGAGCTCCTGCTTGAACTGAATATGTTAAAATCCATGAAAATTGTAAGCATCCGGGGTTTGCAACGTCTGCAAGACAATACTGTACCTTGATGATGAGTATGAAGATCTGGAAGAATAGGATTTTTTTCTCGATGGCCTTGGGGCGGCTCCTTTCCTCAACGGCGATTTCGACCTCATCCATGGATCCGCCCATTCATCGCCGCGGCCAGAAACAGTCCTGTCTCTTTCAGAGCCTCTCGGCCTAGGCGATGGGCTAAATACACACACAAATAATAATATATATAAGAAAAATATGAGATTTTTTTCAATTTTTAAGATTCTTACCTGCCATCTTTCCAGCCTGCTTTTTCAGAACGAGGAACCACGACTTCCCTCGATGAGTATTTTTGTCTTTTCCTATCATAGTAGTCTTCAGGAGGTACGCTGCCCCCATCCCTCGGGCCTACCCTTGCTGGGTAACTCTAAAAAATTTAACACCAAATAAAAGTTAGAACGTGAAGAAAAATAATAATGGTTTAATACAAAAATAAAATTACTGTTTTTACCCCACATTTTGGATTTTTTCACTTACAGGATGATGTCTCCCACTGGAATGGTGGTACCTTGACGGCCTGTCATCGTACCATTGCTCACGTGTGCCCATCATCCCCGGTGGGTAATACCCAGGAGGCGGGTAGTCGCCAAACCTGTCAGACACACTCCTATATCTCTTCTCGCCTTCCTTAGCCCTATAATATAGGGCAATATTTCAAACTGGGAGGGACCTCAACCAGGGGGGAAAAACAGGCTGGACAGGAAATGTCTATACTTACGCATATCTGTCATGATAGACTTCCTCTGGGTAAATTGGGCTTGACGCCCTGGTGTAATAGTCATTCTCCTTGTCATATTCCTCCTGTCCGCTAAGGGTCAAGTTCATCTTCTTCTCTTCAAAATCTACATCAGTCTCCTTGCGTTTATTCGATCTCCTCAACATCTATAATAAACTTTTGTCTTATCGCATTGATTTAACAAATTAAAAAAAAAAAGAGCAAAAAATGTAAAAACTTTATATTAAATAACTGTTAGGTAGGTTACTGACTTCTCGTTTGATAATTCAAAGAGAAGCTAATTGCCTCCTGTTTCTCTTGCATGCCCATTTTGCCAGCAAATCATTCAAATTTGAAGCAAAAGATTGGAACATGCTTACACATAAAATCAGCTTTTTATTTGTGTTGATAACAACTTACCTCTTTGGCTTGCCGCAGCCCCCTTTCCCAGGCAGACTCTCCAGGCGGTTCTTCTCGCCTCATCATCTGAAAATTCAATACCAGTTAATTTTCCTGCTATATACACAAAATTATAGAAACTCACCATCGGACGTTCCAAAGGCCTCGGTCCATACATGTCCATCGGAGTGCCAAACATGTGAGGTGGTGGTGGAGGGCCAGAGTTCATCGGAACAAGAGGCCTGACCATGTCAAACATCGTGTAATTGCCCTTGTCGGTAACACCAGGGTGTACAAACCTTGAAAAAATGAAAAATCCCTATAAAATAAAACCTACGGACGGTTACTGTTTTTAAAATTTAAGATAAGGTCTGGATGCGAGAAATCAGGACAAAAACTAAAATATAAATTATGATTTAAAAAAGAAAATATATCCAGCCTCTCTGATTTTACCTAGGGCTGAAAAACCTGAGGCCAATCCCCCGACGGAACCAAGGCCTAAAGATTCTCGGGTGGCCACGCAGGGCTGGGAAGGTCGGGATCGTGACGGCGGGTGTCTCGCCATTTGCAGGCGTGACGTGACGGAAGCTAATGCCAAACACAAACACATGCAACTATTTACAACATGCTATTAAACACAAAGCAGAAAAAAGCTTATTAATATCTAGCAATTACATGAGGGACTAAAGCGTTCCAAAATCCAAACCCAATGTATAAACTTGTTAAAAAAAATGCTTTTAAATAATCTAAATTAATTTAACTTTTATTCATGTGCAAAACACGTTTGTGCTAAAGAAGTTTGAAAACAAGCTAAATTTGTTAAATGCAGATGTATTTGGTCAGATGCAAGCTTTGTTAGAAGGAAAATAATTTGTTGCAAGGGATTTTTGTTCAATGAAAAAATAAAAATCTTAATTCATGCGCAGTTACAAAATATGGTGACAAGATGGATATTCAGCATAATTGTCCAATTTCAAAGCATAACAGGCATTTGCACAGCTAATAAAGATTAAATTGTTTAATTGCATAAAGAATGCTTTTTGGGAGTTTAAAAAATAAATTGATACCCCGTGCATTGATTTGCAGTTTTTTTTTACCTGCAGCTTGATCCCCAGGTGCACTGACCACGGCTGAAGAACCGGCAGACGGGCCGAGGCTCCGTCTCCTCAGGTCTGTTTTCATCTTCGTCTGATATCTCGCCGTCCTCGAGTTCCTTGACTTCGCCTTCTTCCTCGTCTTCGTCACCATCTTCTTTCTCTTTGTCCTTTCGGTCGGCCGGTTTTTCAGGCTCCTTCTTATCAGATTCAACTTCCTCCTTCTCTTCTTCAGCCTCGAAATCGAGCTGTTCCGTCTCCTCAGCCAGGTTCATGCCGCCAGATGCGCCCCCTTTTTCCTTCTCTTCCTCATCTTCATCGACCTTCAGAGAGAAAAAAAATAAACTTATAACTTCACACTGTACACATTAAATATATTTTCACACTTGCTTTTTGTAATCTTAAAACAATAAAATATATAAAACAAATTTACCGTTTTTCTTTTTGTATTTTATTTTTTAAACAAAGTTAAACTACATGTTTTTTTTTGTTCTTTTGTAGGGACTTATGATAAAATGCTTCGAACAAATTTTGCACCTTTGTTGAACTTTCTGAGAGAATCCACGGTTCATGGCCCAGTGGCTTAATAAATAGATTTTAAAAGAAACATTTGAAAATTTTTGTAATGAAACAATATTAGACAATACCTGTGACATGATGGCTAAAACTTGCAAATAAACACATGCCATCCGAATAATTAAATTAAAATCCAGGTTGCCAAATTTTTTCCCCAGGAGTAGAATTAAGACAAGTAAAAACAAAAAAGATCAAGGGGCAAAGGGTTTATTAAATCTCAGAAACAATCTTTATTATCATTAAGATCTATTTTAATTATTAAATTTATAAGAATCTACAGTGATCAAGTTCAATGGAAAAGCTTTTTTTTTTAATGATCTACAATACTTTTGGCAGCTGTCCACCAAATTTGGTCAGAAATAATATAATTCTAGCAATGCTTACGTGAATGCTTTCTTGTTCTTGTTCACGGTCAGAAACGGACCCTAAGCTCTCAATGTCAGAAACATCTGAGAGGTCCTCGCCATGACTCTTAATCTCCATTTTCTCATTCCTGCGCTGCGGCAAATCCCCTTTGGATTTCTGCGATTTCCCAGATCCGAGAGACGACGAGGACGATATGTTCGACCTGCCGTCTGACATGGATGATCGGTCATCGTTGGGGCTCGATGGGCCTTCCGGCTCCTGCTCGGGAGACCTGGGCGATTCAGGCGGTGTGCGTGGCTGTGCCCTACGGTCGCCCTGCGAGCTCTTCGGGCTTGAGCCGGCCGGGCTGCTGTCCCTCAGGGGCGGTGTAGACGACCCGGACGAACCGCCCCCTGAGCCGGAGTATGAAGAGTGCGGTGATTCGGGCAGCGCCTGAGCCGGCGAGGCAGGCGGGCTGTCCAGATTACCGCCCCCTCTCGGGGGTGACTCCGGGGGCGAATCTATGCTCTTGGCGCCCCTCGAAAAATTCTCATCATCCGACACATCGCTGTTCGCCCTGTTCTCCCATTTCTTTACCCCGTTATGCCTTTCTTCGCTCTCTAATGAGCTATCTGAATCCATTAGGCCTAAAAATGTTTAAAAAAACAACAAAAAAACCACATATAATAACAAATTTAAAAAAGAGAATACACATCAAAATATAAATTATAATTAAAAATAACAATAAATTTACTACTCTATCCCAGCTTGAAACCTGATTCCACAATTTAATTTAATTATTATTAACTATTATCATTTGGCTGGGCCCATTTTTTAAGCGACTACTAGAAACTTCAGTAAATTTGACAAGGTTAAATCTAACATTTAATAAACGGCTAAAGAAAGAAACAAAAATTATTTCTTTGTTAAGAATTCATTTAAATAGATCAGACGACAGGATTGGAACCCCAAATTTCTCCTAAATTGGTATAACTTGTGTAACATACAAAAACGAAATGTAATTGTAAAAAATAACAACCGATCAAGATCTAAAACTAGCAATCCAGGAGTGAAAAATCTGAAAGAGTTAGTTTAAAAGATAATGAAATTTCTCCTTGAGTACAGTAGGGCTACGAACCTGCTTTGCATCTCCAATAATCTTCTTATAGACTGGCAAATAATGCGGAATAAATCGTTTTAAACCATTCCTGGTTTTGTAATCTTTTATCACCAATATTAACCACCTGGCAAAGCACATATACTCGCCAAAAATAAACCCTTAAAAACATAGACACGCTTTCCCACGCTAACTCTAACCATTATTAACCACTATTACCTCCAAACACCTAAACATTCCTGACAGACTGTAACTACGAGGACAGACGGACCAAATAAATCGGAAGCGACCAAACTTTAAAAGACAATTGAACCTGTCGAAGATTGTTGTCCTGCAGGGAAAATCATAAAATTCAATCGAGCCTGTAACAGAAAGTTTTTTTTTTTTTAAAGTCTGGAATCAGCTTGCAAGTCGGTCAGCAAAGATTAAAAAATAAAATTTCTGGGTTTTCCTTTTGATCAAAGTTAATTATTCAGCCAGGAAAAAATTTGATTAAAAAAATAAAAACAAAAAGGCCGACTTTCTTTCAAGTCTGCCGTTCAAAAGCCCCAAAAATTAGCGAATAAGACTGAAAATTGTTTTTTTCAACAACAAAAAAGATTATGTTATTGAATATACTTATAAATAAATTTAAAAAAAAAAAATTAAAATAGGAAAAATCTTTTTGACAAGATTTTTTTCTTTCTAAAACTGTGTTTCTTTGTATTTTCAGATGGATTCTTACCTTACAAATCCAAGAAAAAGGTGCAAACTCTAAAAAGTTAGAAAAAAAGTAAAAACCAAGGGAGGAAAAATAAGAACACCACATCCGGGATTTAACACTTGACTACTTTTCTTTTAGAAAAACTTGCGCGCTTTAAAACATTATCAAACATTCGAACCGCAACTGACTTTCTCGATATGCCAAAGTACGGTTTCGACGGTACCGATTGGCTGTACAAGATTGGGCAACTCGCGTTTACTTTCACCATTTCTGTTTCGGTAAGTTTGTTTGTTTTAAAACTTTTTTTTTTCAGAACCCAATTTTGTATTTTTTTTTGTTTTGTTTTCCTGTAGGGAGAGAAAAGATACAATAAGAGATTATTTGTCATTGCACACAACACATTTTTTCTTTTATCAACATTGTTTAAAAACACAAATTCGCAGTTCTTCTGTGTTAATTTTTTTTAAACCTGTAAACAGCTTAACAAAAATACAAAGAGTTAAATAAAAAGTTAATATTACATAGAAATATATTAACAAATATTATTTTAAATAATTAAATAAAATCTAGCATTAAAAATAAAAATGTACATGGAGTTTTTTTTGTTTTTTTAAGCACTTCTCCATGGGCAACACAGACCTAACAAGTAAACTTGAAAGAATTGAAGAAAAAAAATGATTTTGTTTTGTTTTTTAGTTAAATAAAAAAAGAAGAAAAAATTTGTAAAAATAAAATTAAAATAAAAAGGTTTGAGTTAAATCTTTAAAAAAAGGACTATTATCGTCTTTTCTGTCACAACTTCCGGTATTTCTCTTACCTTTTCCTACAGATCGTAGCCGTGTGCGAATTTCTCTCTCTCTCGTCTTACAAATAAATGTATATGTTACAATATACGTATTATATATTGTTTATAAAAAGTGGGAAAAAAAATAAAACCCTACAGAACGGCTTGTGTCGGTCAATATACGGTTGGGTCTGTAAGTGTCCGTCTTTGTCGTTGTGTGCGTGTCAGCCGGTCAAATCGAAAAAAAGACGTTACGGCCTCCGGGTTCGGGCGAGAAACGCCAGCGAGAAAAGTTTCCAGGTCCGACTCTCGTCTCGGGGGGGTCCGAATCGTGAAAAATGGACGCTCCTCGCTTTTACACTTTGTAACATCAAAACGCAGCCAGGCAGCGGCAGCCAGGCCCAGGTTGGCCTCATCGTCCACCGTACGACGTCTAAAGGCAGACGACAATGAGCCGACGGTTATTCCGTTAAAATGTAACGTTACTGCCCTATTATCTTGTTGAAAAATCTCAAAAAAACAATTATCCACATCCCTGTCCCATTTGTTTTTTGTCACTTGTGAACAATTGCCTTTTTTCGAATTTGAAAATTTTCAATTTTCCACCGGAGGGGGGGCTCATTTTATGGACAGTCTGTATCTCCCAATTTTCCCATTTTCCCTGTTTCATATTTTTATATAATTTAATTACATTATATTAAATGATAGTTTTGTAGACTATCATTTAATGTATGTAAGTGGAACGATAGTTAAAGAGAAAGATAGACTAAGAAACAGAAATAGTCTCAATTAGAGAAAGCCTGAGAATTTACTCAATGAAATAAAATCAATTTTATCAATTTACCATGCATTAAAAGACTAATTTTTAACAAAATATAACTTACCTATATACAAATTTACTTTCCTAATATCTCTACTCAGAAAATGTTCTGAATTGGACCTGGAGGTCATCTACATACATTAATATTTACAATACTTTATATCTCTTACAACAACAAACATATCTCTTACATAGATTAAAAATAAAGGAGACCTAATAAAGAACCCTGTGACAATCTGAAAGTGAGAGAGAAAAAAGTATGAGGAGTTAGGAAAGAATAAAAGTTGTGGAGTGATACTTTCTTTATTTTCAACATGCACCATATTACAAGTTTTACTGGAAAAAAATCATACAAAAATTATTAGTAGAGAACACATACACACAAAAATAAATAAACATTGCAAAATGGCACTTATCAAAGGAAATATGGTTTTGCAAAAAGTTGTAAGAAAAAAAAAAGTAGAATGAATGAAAGCTTTCGGAACAGGTCAACTTAGACACAGGAGTTAAACAGGGATGCATCCTGTCAGCCATTCTCTTCACCCTGGTAGTGGATGCAGTCATATGCTCATCCATGGAAGAAAGGAAAAGCAGTATCGGAATGCAGGAAAGATTGGAAGACCTTTATTTTGATGACAGTACTCTTGGTGCCAAGAATAACTGCAAGCCAAAATAACGGCCCAAAACATTACTAAATAAATAAACGCTAATGTGATGATGCAGAAGACATCAACCTTGAATCAGTTGAATCCTTTACCTACCTAGCAGTATGGTGTCAAAATTTGGTAGTACTGAGGATGATGTGATCCTCCTTAGAAAAGCCTGTATAATATTTATAGTATTTTGTACAAATTCCATTGGCGAATATTACTGCCTGAAGCCTCCTCAGCATGGAATCAATTACATTTTTGATATAGTTATCAATTTTATTTCACTCGCCTAATAAAATTTATGAACACTCTGGACAAGGAATGGTCTTGAAGAAGAAAGCCAATTTAGTTGCTGCTGACAAATTTTTGAACTATTTTAAGGTTTGAAGGTCATCCGTAGACATATTTAATGTTGTTTTGCCCTGTTCATGATCTTAAAATAGTTTGAAAACTTGGCAGTAGCAACTAAATTTGGTTTCTTCTTCAATACTATACCTTGATCCAGAGTGGTCATAAATGAAAAAGTGGTTGATACTTCTAATACTGAAAATAAAATTGATGTGTAGTGTTTATATCACGATTTCCAAATAATCAATAAAATTGATTTTAAATTATTTTCCCTTAATTTTCTGTTCACATTTTAACTTGTGTTTCTTAGTGACCTGTTGTTTTCTAATTTGTTAAAGTCATGAGGAGCAGTGAAGAATGAGGTAGTTTAGAAACACTTTTCTTTCTTTTTTTTTTTGCCAATGTTTTGACCTTTATGGGTCATCTTCAGGGCATAAAGTGTGATGCGATTCTTGTGGTGTCCTATTGGTTTTGTGTGCACACAACATTTTCACACAAAACCTGTATGACACCACAAGAATAGCACTGCACATTATGCCCTGAAGATGACCCAAATAATGGTCAAAACATCAGCAAAAAAATGAAAAAGGTGTTTTTCTAAACTACCAAAAAAAATGATCAAATTTTAATGTCTAAATAATGGTTGGTGTTTCTGCAATATATAGAGCAATAAACAATCACATTACCCATCAGAATAATTCAACATGGACACAGGAGTTAAGCGTGAATACATCCTGTCACCCACTCTTTTCACCCTGGCACTGAATGCAGTCATACGCTCATCCCTGGAAAGAAAGAAAAAAGGTATCCAATTGGGAATGCAGAAAAGAAGTAGGGATAGAAATCCATTTTTCTGTGAGGAGTGGTATGGTGATGGAGGTGGTAATGGTTTGTCGTTTGGACCTGAATTTCTATCCCTACTGTGTCTTTATCTCTGTTGATGTAAACCATTTCTAAAAAGTTAGTTTAATATTTTAGGATTGTCGAAATTGAAGTTGTATTGGTGTTCAAAATGGCGGGTAGCCCATGCTGTAAGATTTTGTTTGGTTTTTTTGCAACCATAGTTGTTTTACCTTCTTATCCAGATATTGGGATGGAATTCCGATGTAAGTCGACAATTTATACAATTGATTTTGTAAATTACGTCAGACTTATTTGTTAAAGATGTGGGATCTTTAATTTTGGATAAAAGGGTTTGAATCGTTCTATAGTTTTTGAAGGCTACTTTAAAGTTATGAAAATAATGAAATGTATTTAATTTGTATGATAGACTGCAAATGGAATGGATATGTATGTTGGTTTGTCTTTGTTTGACAGAATTGATGTAGAGTTATTAGTGATAGTGGATGGTGTTGTAGTTTTTGTTTATTCTATTGATTATGTGTTTAGGCTTGTGTTTGTTATGTAGGATATGTTTATGTACCCTTGTATAAACAAAAAAACATTAATATCTCTAACACTAAACACGACAAATAACATGACAGAAAACACACTTTGAGTACAAACACTTTGATTAAACCTAAATTTTCTATATCGTGGACGTCATTGCATAAATTCATATTAATATCCTTATACAAAAATGTCTTTCTATACCGACTTCCTTCCCCACCCCTTCAAAATCCAACGTATATAAATATAAAACAGCAATATCTCACTGGCACTCTCAACACGACACGCAAGAATGGCACACTTACACAGAAAACAAACACTTTGAGTGAGTAGAAATACTTTGATTAAATATAAAAAAAAATATTTTTTTTTACATTGTATAAATTCACTTTTTTCCACATCCTACATGTATTTGTTAAATTTAAACAATGTTTGTAAATACATGCCATCTCAATAAAGATCAAAACAATTAATTAAGGTTTTTTAGGTCCTGCTCATGCCATTGATTTTTTTATCTCAACTAAAAAACCTTAATTAATTGTAATATATTAATTGGTCAAGCGGACCATGAAATTAGTGAATTTAAAGATCGAAACGTTGGCACGATAAAGAAAATGTTTTTCTGAAACCTACATCACACCAGACCGCATCTCATGATTTCTGAATAATTATTAATATCTGATATGTATTTATGTAGTTTAAACAATGTTTATAAATCCCAGGCTCTGAAGTTGATCTTTGTAAAGTTTGAAACGTGGCACGATAAAGAAAATGTTCTTCTAAACCTACATTACATCAGACCGTATCGCACGATCTTTAAATAATTATTATTTTATTTGCTTTTATTTAAAAAAAACCGTCGGTATATATCTCTTATTAAAAATATTGTTTTATGTTAAAGTATTTATTTCAAAAATTGTCTAAATTTGATAGAGTTTCATTTTTGGTGAATTTGCAGACTTTGGTGATGAGATTCTGTCCGATTTTGTAAATTGGCGGGTAAAGTGTAAACCGGACGGCTCACGGCCGTCTGCCCGTAGACCCCGGCCATCGCCACCTAGATCTTCCAAAAGGCAGAACACACTGGGTGAACCCGTCACTGCTCAGAAAAACGGGTGCGGAAACGAAAAAACCCTCGCCCCCAGCCTTAAAGCCGGAAAAAAACGGAAAAGAGACCCACGTCTCCTAGGAGAAGGCGAAGCCCGGCGGACCCCCACCCAGGGACAGAGGCGCACCGAGGACCGGCGGCCGGCGAAACCCAGCCGATTGACGAACGTCGGACGTGGAACGCCATTTTCGCTCGATACCCGTCAGTTCGGCCCATCCGCCGAAGATTTTTCTCCATATTTTTCATCTATTAACGTGTCCAGCGATTCTTCCCGACCGGATAAATGGGCCGAGATCTCTGACTCTAGACTTTTTCTCGACTTTCGCACAACGAGCCACAAACCCGATTATCTCTCCGGCACAGGTGGCAATCGATAAAAGTGGAAAGCTCGCTAAAAACAAATGTAAGTACGAAACCATATTTTCCTCGGATCCACGACTTATTATTTAACCAAACTTCCAACATTAAAACCAGTTTTAATCCGCCCGGCTTCCATTCTTTATTTATGCTTTTTTGTTTTTGTATTTTTCACCAGACTTGTGTCTCAACTTTTGATATTCGGTTGCTCTTGAAACTCCTGGGTCGTACCTTTTCCTCCTATTTTTATTTATTTATTTACTCCTCTCTTTCGTCAAAAAGTAACTTTTGCCCTCCCTTTTAGTCTTATTTCTTTTTTTTATATCCTCGTTTCATCCACACGGGCGACTTCATTCGAAAAAGAGCTTCAACCCGTTTTTCGATTTTTGATCGGCCTTTTGGGGTAAGTCACGAACCCTTAAATAACTTAAAAAAATACAATCGCTTTTTTTAAATATAATATCCTTTCCAAAATCAAATCTATCTTATTAAACAAAAAAATCTTTTTTTCAAACTTAACCAAAAAGGTAAAAAAAAGTCTCGACAATTAAGCAAAGAAATTCACTCGAAAAAAGTAAAAAACCAAAAATCCAAACATAATTATCTCCAACCCAAATTGTTTTCCATGTTTTAAATTATCTTTATTAATCTATTTCTATTTTTTATTAATTTTTTTAATCTTCTTTTTTACTTTGGTGGAGGGGGTGGTCGTTTGAGGGCAAGTATTAACTAGCGTGTAGTATAACGCCATGTTGATTGATTGATTGATTCAGGATCAATACGAAACTTCGATCTTAAGCAAATACCGATTGATGATAATTGATACTTTGAATTGGTGAAAACGGTGTGTCATCCTTCATTTAATACATAATTGCCAACTTAACTACCTAATTTGGTTTTTATGTTGATCGATTAATTCAAACCCACAAATACAAAATAACAAAGATTTATTCTAGAAAATATGTGATTGATCATCCGTCATTTGAAATTTGGAAATGGTGCCATTCTCAACTTTTTAACATACTGGCCAATCATTTTTATGCGTATTTCATGTTTATTGAGCGAATGATTGACTGATTGTACCTGTACACTCAACACCGTAGTTTTAGTCTAGTGAATAATAACTGATTGATCGTTTATCATAATTGGTAGTGCAATAATGCTTCCTCAACTTGTTCAGATGCTGGTCAACCAATTTCAGTTGGTTTGCTGATTGATTGATTGATTATACCAGTCCACTCTAACACCAAACATTTAATCTAGAAAATATTTAATCGATTGATCATCCATCATCATGGGAAACGGAGATAAGATAACTTCAACTTTCCGACATTTTGGCCCATCAGTTTATTTATATTTCATGTTTATTGATCAAACACTGATTGATTGTATAACACATTCAAATATGAAAGAATATTCTAAAAAATATGTAATTGATTAACCATCCATCATCATGGGAAATTTAGACAATATATTCTCAAATTTCTGGCATGCTGGCCAATCATTTTTATTCATATTTCATGTTTATTGAGCGAATGATTGATTGATTGTACCAGTACATTCATACACCAAAGTTTTAGTCTAGCGAATAATAACTGATTGATCATTCATCATAATTGGTAGTGTTATAATGCTTCCTCAACTTGGTTTGCTCAACAATTTCAATTGATTTGCTGATTGATCGATCAATTGATTATACCAGTCCACACCAAATATTTAATCTAGAAAATATTTAATTGATTGGTCATCCATCATCATGAGAAACTGAGACAAGATAACCTCAACTTTCTGACATATTGACCAACCATTTTTATTCAAATTTCATGTTGATTGATGGAATAGTTATACCAGTACAGTTAAAAATCAAAGGTTTAATCTAGTGAATAATAACTAATTGATCATTCATCATCATTGGAAATGTAAAAATGCTTCTTCAACTGGTTCATATGCTGGCCAACCACTTCTTCAAATTTCATGTTTATTGATTGATTATACCAGTTCACTCTTATATCAAAAGTTTAATCTAGAAAATTTAATTGATTGATTATCCATCATCATGGGAAATGTAGACAAGATATCCTCAGCTGTCATGCTGGCTAATCAGTTTTATTCATATTTTTTATTGATTGGTTATTAAGCCAAAATAATGGCCCAAAATATTATATCCAAAGGGAAGGCAAGTAAATAAATAAAAAAATTCATGCTGGCCTGATGTTGCTGGAAGACAGCATCAGTCGATTTGAGTTGATCTGAAGCAGTTGATTCCTTTACCTACTTAGGATATATGTCAAAATTTGGAGGTACTGAGGATGATGTGAAACTCCTTAGAAAGGCCTGTATAAGATTTGTAGTATTTTGTATAAAGCCCATTGGCATATATTACTGCCTGAAGCCTCCTTGGCATGGAATCAACTAAATTTTTGATATAGTTATCTATTTTATGTCATTGGCTAATAAAATTTATGAAAACACTGGATCATGGAATGTTCTTGAAGAAGAAAACAAATTTAGTTGCTGCTGCCAAGCTTTTTAACTATTTTAAGGTAATCATCAGCACAAAATGACCTTAAATATGTCAATCTGTAGACATATTTAAGATTGTTTTGCACTGATGATTATTTTAAAATAGTTCAAAAGCTCGGTAGTAGCAAATAAATCTGCTTTCATCTTCAGGACCATACCTCGATCCAGAGTGTTTGTAAGTGAAAAAGAGGGCAATCATCCATTATCAAGGGAAATTTAGACAAGATATCCTCAACTTTCTTGCCAGTTTTATTCATATTTCATGTTTATTGATTGATTGATAGATTTAGAATGATCATCCATCTTTTCAATGTTGGAAATACTGCCTTTCCCAAATTTTTATCATACTGAACAACCACTTAAAATTTCATTAAATCACTTAAATTCATTATTAAAATTTCATGTTGATTGATTGATTGTACCAGTACACCCAAACACCAAAGATCTAATCTAGTGAATATATAAATGATTGATCAATTCGTCTTCATTGGAAATTTAAAAATGCTGCCATCTTCAACTTGTTCACATGCTGGCCTTTGTACAGTATGGTTAAAATCCACAAAGAAAATAAACCTGTAAGACCAGTAGTGTCATTTTACAATTCTCCATGCCACAACTAAATTCGGCTTAACAGTTTTTTAGAATTAATAAAACTACTGAAGAACATAAATGTACCTAACAACTGTGTTAGTGTTATTCAATAGTATTAATTTATTGACAAAGATAAAGAATGTAATAAAACAATGAAACAAAAACTTACGGAGAATTCCATTTACGATAGTAGTAACCTCTTAAACATATGCATCCTATCTAATTATTGTAAATTTAATGATAAATTTTATGGTTACCAATGGTGTCTCCAATATCTCTATTTTGTGCCGAAATATTCATGGATTACTTTGAAAAAATTCTATGCAAAACAAATAAATTAATTGATTTTATCCTTTTGTGGAAACGCTGTGTAGAAGATATTTCATGTACACGGTCGGGAACCAATTGTTGGGAATAAATTGTTCAAATTGTCTGGCGACTTACATCAGAATTACATCCCAATATCTGGACAAGAGAGTAAAGCAACATACATATGATTGCAAAAAATCCAAACAAAATCCTACAGCACCTGGCTACCCACCATTTTGAACACAGCACAATTTTGACTTCAACAATCCAAAAAATATTACACACAGAACAAAACAAACATAAACTTAACTTTTTTCAGAAATGGTTTACATCTACAGGGATAAACACAGCATCAATTACAGAATAGATTGTAATCACATTCAATATCAATAACACACAAAATATATAATACAGCATATAAAACAATCATTAATTCCACACATCAAACATCTCTACATAGACTAATTCATCAACAATTTGTCTTTTCTTTCCCTAATTAACCCCGTTTATATAATCCTGAAATGATAATCTGGCCGAACCATTACCCATTTTTCCCCATTGTCGGCTTCTTTCACTTCAAAGAAGCCGACTCCTCATTAAAAATGGTTTTGTATCTATACTTCCTTCCCCACCCCTTCCAACGTGTATAAACATAAAACATCAATATCTCACGACTCATTGGCACTCACAACACGACACACAATAATGACACATCTACAAAGAAAGAAAAAAAAAACACTGAGTGAGTACAAATACTTTGAGTCTAAAATTTCTATCATTGTATAAATTAATTTTTTCACATCCTACATGTATTCGCATAATTTAAACATTGATTATAAATCCCATGCCCTGAAGATTATCTCAATAAAGATTGAAACATTGCCATGATAAAGAAAATGTTTTTCTAAACCTACATCACACCAGTCCACATCTCACGATCTCCAAATAATCATTAAAAATGAATAAAGTATTTTAAACTTTTCAGACTTAAAACTGTCTATAATAAATAACCTAATTGAAATGGACATGTATAGGAAAACCATAAACCTTTGACTTATGCATGACTTGCTTTCGAAATCCCATTGACGATTCTGGGAGTCCTGAATCTTGGAAGTTTTAGTGTGTTTTAGCTCCTGAGGGATAAAGATTATATGTAGTGTGTTTTTTAGTGACCGGTTGTTTAATAATTTGTTGGAAACTACCTCATTGTTGACCACTCCTCACAAATCCAGACAATTATTACATGTAGACTTGAGCCCACATGTCAAAGTGTCAGGGAGATTAGATTTTCTTGATCTCGTGAAGTTAAAATTTTTTTATTTTTCTGAGCTGAAATCCATTAGTAAATGTCTAGTTTAATTGGCGTGTCAAAGTTGGTATCTACCATTACCTCTAAAGGCTTGTGAGTCATCCACGAGTTGTATAATTTTAACATTTTCATGGTCCAAATCGACATGAAGTCTTGGATGTCTCAAGCAAAACTTAAGATGTCAGTACTAAAGAAGTCAATCGTTTTACTCTCACAATTTACTAATATTTTAATCTTTTGTTTTTGCTTTTTTTTTTTCAGGGCGTTCGGGGATAGAATGGGCAGAGATAGACGAGGTGGTGGAGGTGGCGTGAGAGGTGGACGAGGTGGGGGTCCCAGGGGTGGCGGCAGTGGAGGCGGTGGGGGCGGGCGAGGAAGAGACTTCAGCGGACGTGGCGGTGGCTTCGGCAGTCGTGACAACTTCTCACTGAAGGGCAAGCAGCCCGGAGGCCGGCTCAAGAAGCCCTATTGGGACATGTCCAGCCTTGAACCTTTCAAAAAGGACTTTTACATTCCCCATCCAAATGTTTCCAATCGGTAATTTGGTATTTTTTTGTGCATCGTCGATTTCTATTGATTTTCTTTAATTTTTCTTTAATAGGAGTGAAGATGAAATAGAACAGTATAAAGATGCCAAATGCATCACGATAAAAGGTGACAGGGTCCCTCCTCCGATTATGTTTTTCGAGGAGGTCAATTTTCCTGATTTCGTCACTAATGAAATAAAGTGAGTCATTTGTTTTAACATTTAATTAATTAATTATAATAAATAGTAGAATAACACTAGGTTATTAATAAAGTAATATAAATTAATAATTTTTTCAACGAATTTACAGAAAACAGGGCTATGACCATCCGACACCGATCCAAGCACAGGGTTGGCCAATTGCCCTGAGCGGACGAGACATGGTCGGCATAGCCCAAACTGGTTCAGGAAAGACATTAGCAGTGAGTACACTTTGAATTTATGCCACACCACACAAATATTTTTTATTAAATAAAAACTATTTTTAGTACACATTGCCGGCGATTGTCCATATTAACAACCAGCCGAGGTTGAGGCCGAGGGATGGCCCGATAGCACTGATACTCGCACCGACACGGGAGCTCGCTCAACAGATCCAACAGGTCGCCACCGATTTCGGCTCTTCGACAGATGTTAGGAATACTTGTATATTCGGTGGTGCTCCAAAGGGATCTCAGGTAATGTTTTAAGTTCTTTACTGAATAAATCTAGTCCAGTGTGTATTAATGAGAAAATTTCAGGCTCGCGATTTAGAAAGGGGTGTGGAAATTGTCATAGCGACTCCGGGCAGGTTGATCGATTTTCTAGAAAAGAACACAACTAATCTCCGTCGTTGTACTTACCTCGTACTCGATGAGGCGGACAGGATGCTCGACATGGGCTTTGAACCGCAGATACGCAAAATCATTGAACAGATCCGAGTAAGTTGCATAAAAACAAAAACAAAAAAAAAAAAAAGATTTCAAATTTAATTGGACAAAATTTCAGCCTGATCGTCAAGTTTTGATGTGGTCGGCGACTTGGCCAAAAGAAGTGCGCAACCTCGCCGAAGAGTTTCTACACAATTACATCCAGCTTAACATCGGCTCGCTCGAACTGGCGGCGAACCACAACATCCAGCAGATAGTCGAGATATGCGATGAGTACGAGAAGCCTGGAAAGTAAGTCGTAATAGGTTATATTTTGATCCGTTATTAAACATTGTCTTTATTTTAAGATTATGCGAGCTGCTAACAGATCTGTCAAGAGAACCCGAGAACAAGACGATCATATTTGCTGAGACAAAACGCAGCGTAGATGATATAACAAGAACCATCAATAGACAAGGGTAAATTTTTAGATTGAATATCATTTATTTAAAAAAAAAATAATAATAATAATGCTTGTTGTCTTTAATAGCTGGAGGGCCAGTGGTATTCATGGAGATAAATCTCAACAAGACCGTGATATGGTATTACAAGGTAATAACTTCTATTAAAATAAATAATCTAATAAAATAAATAAGTTTATTAATGATGATTAAACACAACAATTGAAAATAGCAATTCAATTCCAGAATAATATTCGGGACAGTTTTAATATGATTTATCTTGAGGGAGCAGTAGTTGCGTTTATATTATGTAAGATTAATTTATTTTTAAATATAATAGTCACAATTTGTGTAATTAAAAATTGGTTTTAATTTAAAAAAAAAGAAGTATTATTTGTCTTTATACATGCTTTTAATACAGCGAGCCTTGGGAGGTTTTTTATGTGATTATCTTCATGTCAGAAGTAGTCTTATATTTATAACATAAAATTGTAAGTAATTGAATTATAGACTTCTTAAGTTTTAATAAATAAGAAATATTTACGATTGGTTAATACGATTTAAAGAGTAATCCTTTAACATTCGCAGGTGTTTGGTTCCAGAACATTGCTGTGAATGTTACATACGCGAATGTTCGAGTTAATTTTCCTATGTTAACAAGGAGGGTTACGTTCCATGACACCAAAAATTGAGATAAAATTCAGAACTAAAAAAAAGTTTATTCAAAATTAACGTAATGGAAAACATTACAGTGTTTGAACATTTTAATTGTTTTTATTTTTTTAAAATTTCTATTTATGTGCTAGAAAAGAATTAATTGTTTCTGTTTCGTTGAATAATTAATTTCTTTAAGAATTCATTTTAAAGACGGGTCGAAATCCATTGCTTTTTTTAATAAGTTGGTCCTTCGAGGTTAAAAGTTCCCTGAGCTGTTTGAAGAAAAGCTTTGGCCTGCATAAAAAATGTACCATGTCCAAAAATTTTATTCTTTCATCAAGGGTCAGGACAGGTTTTTTCCGTTTTGGAAGAAAACCCATGAGAGAATAAAGAATGAACAGCATGTTGAAAGCAGGCAAAAGTTTTCTGAGAGTCAATTAGAGCCTCCAATCCATTTTTGAAAGAATTATTTTCGATATGGAAATAAAAGTGTTTAGCCAATTATTATTTTTTTTTTCCCCCGCAAATAAAGAAATCGGACTTACATGAAAGGTGAAAACAGTGAATGTTAACGGATTACTGTATTTTATTTTAAAGATTATATTGATACAGATTGCATATATAATAGAAAAGACTGCTTTTTATTATAATAATTTCAAAAAATGTTTATAGTATTTCATAATCTGTTCATATAAAGTTACCTTGAGAAGGTTTAAAAGTGGTTATCTTCATCTCAGGGGTTATTATTATATGTTCTCAATATTGGTGGCCAGTGGTTCTGTTTTCAATTGAGAATGGTATAAATAAAGGTATAACCTTATTTGGTACTACAACATCATCATCATCATCTTTTATGCTATGACACATAATATTTTTATATAATATAAAATGTAAGATGAACAAAATATGGTAAAGTCGTTGAAGTTTAAGACCTCTTATGTAACTTGAATTAATTTGTGTTATTTTAGTCACCAATACAATTTAAATTAAATTACATATAATTAATTATAATTAAATTATTTGTGTTGATGGTTGTATTTTTGTTTTCTTTTTCAGATTTTCGCACTGGGAGAGTTAATATATTGGTCGCAACTGACGTCGCTGCACGCGGGTTAGGTAAGTATTCCAATGATAACAGTCTCGCGTATAAAATTCGCCCATTTTTGAGATATAGTCAGTCCGTGCTGTTGAGCGTTGCTTAGTTTGAAGACAAAATGTCAGAAGGAACATATATGTATATATTTATCCATACATATATATATATTTATTTAAAAATATATGCCGATCAGATATAGAGACTATACTTGTGGACATGACGAGTGCAATATCGCTTAAGAGGAAGCCGAGCGGTTTTGTCATCTATAAGTTTTTTAAAATTTTGCCTTTTAGAGTTGTATTGATTTATTTTTTTATTTTTTATGCGTGCTCAAAGTATTTTGCTTACGCTTGATCTGCCGATGGAAAGTAATACGCATCTGCCTTATTCGCTCATGGAGATTTTCTTGTAAAAGGGATTTTCCAAATGATGAAATCCATAAATATATCTGATGATTATTAAGATCGTGAGATGCGGTCTGGTAATACCACTAAATATATATCCAGTGTTAGAATGTCATGTACTCTTGTGGCAAAAATAAAATGGATTAATATATATTTAACCCAATTCTAGCGATTCAAGGGCCATAATCAATGCAGTAGTGCAACATTAAATTATTTAATAATGTATATCATGCTTTTATGGGGAAAAAACATTGTTTCCCCATTAGTCCATCTATTTCATGCAAGGAGAAAAAAATCATTGAATAAATGAAGTGTGGTGCAGGTCCTGCATTGCTGTACCATCGACAACAGTAGGAGCAGCCTTCATCTCTGTTCATAGTTATCACTGATTTGTAGATAACAAACTTGGATCAAAGAGTGGGTTTTTCCTCATTCGCCCGAGGGAAACATAACATTTTTCTTTTTCATTTAAATTTGTTGAAAGTTTCTCTAGGAAATGGAAACAATTGGCTGCGGGAGAGTGGGCCTCTTGTGAGTTGTGAGATGACTATCATCAAACTCTGTCTTATTTCACTCTTTACTAATTATTAAGAATAAAGGAATAGAAATTAACTTATTACTTTAGGTTTTTTCCCCCTAGATAGTGCAATACACTCTGCTTAACTAAAAATCTCTCTTGTTTTGAAGTTGCTGGTCTGGCTTAAATGTTGGTCTAAGCTTTCTCATCTGCGGGTCCTAAAACACACTTTTCTCAGACAAAAACATTTTTTTTTCCTCCTTGTACATCTCCGAACCAAGTATATGTAAAAGTCATCTGTTTATCCTGAGCTGTTTTACTCTATGCTGTCCATTTATAAGTGACTTTTTCATTGACATATTTATAAATGTAGCGTCTTTGTCTGTTTATTAAAAAAGCTAGTTATAACCTTAGTAAAGTTTTTTTTTTTTTTTTTTTTTTGCCGTCCTGTGAGCCAAGTCTCTCACGCTAACTGCTAACCACAGCTACCATGGTCCCCCTGTAGTTCAACTGTAAAAGTTTTTTATTTATTAATTTATTTTTACTTTTTTTATTAATTCATTGCATCCTATGGTGGCTATTTTGGCTGCCCAGGGTGGAAACACAACATGTAAAATATCCGGTATTTAAAAATAATTGAAATTTTATTAAATAAATAAATAAATATTTATTATTAATTAAATAAATAAATAAAATAAAAATATTTTAATTTTATTCAATTTATCTAAGATATAATTTATATGTGGAACAATTGTGTCCCCCACTGCGCTAAGTAAATGAAGTAGGCAACCTGCATTACATGAGTTTTTTTTTAATTTTTAAGTTTTTTTAAACAAGAGTAATTCAACTCCGAGGTTTTATGAACCCTTTATGAGCCACGAGGTTTTATGAACCCTTTATGAGCCACGAGGTTTTATGAGCCACACCAGGACTTTAACCTTACAGTGATGAGCGCTGTGTCAACGCCTAAACCAAACCATTGTGGCCAGTGATGCCCCTTGTCATAGTTGAATAAAAATCGTTCCAACTTGGTACAATAAGTTTTCCTTCATTTTACATAATCATACAAAATTGGTAAATAATTAATTAAAATAACCAAACACATACGTGGAAAAGCAAATTATGTGGTTTTCCTCAGAAAAAATAAAAAAATCACTTTTGGGGAAAAAAAATTTAAACGACTGTAGCCACTTTTGCTCTTTGTTAGGCAGCCTTAGAAATTTAGAATGGAATTGTGTAACGGGTGAAGTGGAGAGTTTAAAAAGTATAAACGAAGGATGCAGATCATCCACCACACCTAGAAGGACCAGTTTCTAACAAAACATGCTGCATTTTATGCTACACAATTAACTTTTTTTATGCTTTGAACTTAAATATCTTCTGGCTTTAATATTGTAGCATATTATAAACTCATTGTTTTGTAGGAGGTTGGAAAGGGTTCAGTCAAATAGATATTTGTACATGAAGTTATATCAGGTTATACAGACAAAACTTTTGCAGATGTTATTAATGAGGGTTTAAATTAGATTTTTAACTTCATTTGAAGTTATAATGTGGCCTTTTTTCTACTGAAACTAGTCTTCAATGTTATAAATGATTGTCGGATGGCAGTATGACAATTGCCTACTATTTAATCCAATCGTTTATAACTCTTCCTATTTATTTCACTGAATAATTCCACTCCCGCAGCCTATTGTTTTCTATAAGGATCTGCACATGCAAACACTCTCTTCACCATTTTAGATCGAAGCATTAGTCCTCCTGCCAATCATATCTCAGATTGACATCACTATGATTGCAAGCTTTTTTTTTTAAGGATTAAAAATCCTTGAAGAAAAAGTACATGTGGGAAAAATCAACGAAAAGCAGAGAAATTATTTAGTTTTTGCTGTAGTTTTTAAGCCGTGTCCACACTGCTTGCAACAGTCGGTGCAGACAAAGGCAGTAAGGACGTTAGAACTGTAAGAGGATTACGTTTACCTCTTTATTTTTAGATTTTTTTGTTTTTTAAAGCAAAATTTATGCTATGTTTAGCTATTTTGGCACAACCTGTTTGTTGTTCTGCACCGTTTGTTGCAGCGGTGTGGGGACAAAATTTTATTTCCAGCTTGAAAATAAATTCAAAACCATGAACTCACTGCATCAACCTCATCCAAAACGCTTTCCAAGGATAGAATGAAAGTTTTCTTTTATCATCAGTGCACCGCAGGATTGCCCATCCTGCATCTTATTTCAGCTTCGTCTGGGACAAATTCCTCGAGGCAATGGAATTCCCGGGTGGTGCTAAAAAGTAAAAAAAAAAGGCTTGCCTTTTGCTTTTTAAAAAAAATATGTTTTATATGTCCTTATGAAGATCCCGCTTACTGAATTTCGTCAACAGCCATAGTTAAATTTTGGAAAAAATATTAAAGAAAATCAGGTAAAAAGTTAGAATTTTATAAATTTATAAGACTTTTTTATTTTAAAACAGTTTTTTTATTGAGTTTGTTGTAGGATGAGAAATTCTTTTCAGATTTTCCTTATCTGCATTTATTATTATTTTTTATTATTGTTGATAAGATTTAAAAATCTTGAATTATGAGGTTTCGAAGTTGAGGAACTTAATCAAAAATAGTTCCTTGTTGTGGAACTGTCATACTGCTTCGATCTTTTCCTATGTTCCATTTTTTTTATTACTTTTAATTGTTGAAAATCTTAACAAAAAAAAAAAAAAAAAAGGGAATTGCCATCTGCATCGGTGGCTGGAGGGAAAGCACAGGAGTTAAAAATGTATTGCACGCTGCGTGAGCATGTCTTCAAAGTTCTAAAACGAATTATGCGTATAGTCTCTATACTCCGGAGCCAATTAAATTCAATATCAGCCCTGGTGTTTGAAAACAATAATACACAAAGTTATGCCCGACTTCGAGATATCAGGTTTTACCAGCCGAGTGTGAGATCTTTGCGCCTTCGAAATCGACCAGGGAACACAGTTTATATTTAAATGGGCCCTGCGATTTTTTTTCACAACCCATCTCTTCATTTACTTCTCCCGCTTCTCTTTATTTATTTATTTATTATTATTTTCTTTAAAGGTATTTTAATTATTGTGTCTATACATGTTATTTATTAAAGGTACCTTATAACTTTTGGGAGAGTAACGTGCTGGCTTGATGACTGTGCATTTACCCATTTCTATACTTGCCTTTTGTTCTAATATAATTATACAAAGGCACATCATCAATTTTGGTGAATTACACCACCACAAACCAGAAAAAAATATGTTTTAAACTCAAGTTTTCGAACAAAACATACTTTTCATGATATTTCTAAATACTATGTCTCTATTTGCTAATTTTATTTTAATTTCTAATTCAGCCAAGTGAAAAGTTGTTTGACTGGCAATTTAAAAAAAAATATTTAGAAATTATATTGTTAATTAATATTTTAATTGTTTAAATTGGCCTGAACGTTTTTGACTTATCCATTGTTGTGACTGTATTAAAAAAAGTTCTGCCTTTGAGCATTATTCAATGTAAAAACAAAGTTTATCAATTATTAATAAGTGAAAATAATTTGTGTGTGTAAGCAAAATGATGGTATGTTTAATTAATAATATTAATTAATTAATTAAATATTGTTATAATGTGATTTTAATAAACAAAAGCTATAAAGGAAGAAAGCATGGTTTATAAGCTGGCTCATGCAATTTTTTTGCTTGCAAAATTAAACTTTATATCTAGGCTCATGATTAAATTAATTATTTTTACTTTATACTATTGTGCAAAGTATAAAAAAAAATTCTGTTCTGTCGGTTCATTATTTTCAGTAAAATGAAATCAAAGATCCTATTTTTTAAGACAGGTTATAAAAGATTTAAAGCACAGTAAAATTTCATAGATTGGAAATGAACACTCGCACCACCGTTGCCGAAGAGAAACAGCTGTGGCAGGTCTCTTTAGTCCCAATATATATTTTAAATTATTTATTTATTTTTTAAGCTGAAAAACTACAATAGTTTTTTTTATAATGTTAATTTATTACGTAGGTGACATTTAATTAAAAAATTTCATATATTTGCTAAAAAAAATTTTGGTCACCGCTGAATGTTTACAATGTACAAATTGTGTTATCATTTATCTAAAAATATATCATTTAATAATGTAAAATCTAACAAAAATAACCCAAAATTATATCATTTAAAAAATAATCTAGAGAGACCCACGACGGCAGTGCGAGAGTATTCAAGATATCGTTCCATTCTAATACTGTTACTGAATTAGTTATTCAATTAAATATATTTTAAAATGATTATTCGGAGATTGTGAGATGTGATCTGTGACTGACGGTCACTAAACACCACACATATTTTACAATATTAAATGGTAGCAATAAAACATAAAAAATAACCCACTTCAAATCCCATTCATAATATTGATCATTTTTATCCCACATTTCATGCATATAAAATTAAATATAGGAATTTTAATTAATACTAGTAGTTGTTATATGGTGATAAAAGGTTATACCCTCAAATAATAAATTTTAGAATGTATTTTGATAATTACCATAAGTAAAAATTTAAAAACCAGCTTGTGTACCTCCTTTGTTCACATTAAAAGAAAACTTGTTTGTAATGAAGATTATCTTCTTTTTTGGCATGTTACACATTTTAATTTAAAAAAATTTTCCTCCCATGGTTGGTATAAGTAAGTGTTAAAGGGTGTTTACTAGTTTCTTTTATAGCTTTTGTAACATACACTGATGAAATGGTCTTCATTGGAACCTTTGAACAATAGTTAATTTTTAAAAAAGTTTGTAAGAAAGTTTAACATGGCATTTAATTTTGTTATGTATTTATGTATGTTATTTTGTGATGGTTTGATGGAGAATGAAATGTTCCGACCTGCTGAACACTTCGATAGCCTTTCCTCCATTATGTATAAATATGTAAAAAGTACCTTTATTTATTTTATTTTTATTGTAGTTTTTAAGGTTTTATGTTGTCTTTGCACTTTTGGACGACTCAATGCACAGTGCGGTTCAAAGTCAGCACTTACAAGCCAATTATAGGGTCTGAAAAAAATCGAAGGCTGAAAAATCTCGACTTTCGCAAAAAAAAAAAAAAACCAAAAAGTTTTTAATTGATAAAATCAAAGAGGAGAGTGTCGTCGCTTCTCAAACTCAAGAAATTACGAGGAGTGGGTGTTCCGGTGCAGCAGATGCCGCTTCTCTCAGTTTTTCTCTTTTCTTTTCTTTATTTCTTTTTCTTTTAAGCTCCCTTTTTACATACATCTGGGCATCAATTTTATTTATTATTGTCAATCTAACCCATGGCTCGTTTTTTTGATTACAGAGGCACATGCGAGAGGGCTTTTACGATTTATACAGTTGTCTGGTGCCTCCTTTACACCTTAAAACGGTGAGACTCCGGTCGTCTTTGTTTTTGTTTTTCCATAACAAAAAAAGAAAAAGAGATTAAAAACAAAAAAACCATTTTGGCTTAGCCAAAAAAAACCTTTTGATCCCTCTCTGACAGTTCTCAAACTCTGTATGCCTCTCATGTACGTTAAAGTTTACAAAAATATTTATTATAAAAATATGTTTTTTTCCTGATGAATAACAAATTTGTCTCTCACAGTTTGTATATATTTTTGTGTTTTTTTTTTTTTTTGAATAATGTTTTAAATATACGAAAAAATACATAAAATGAATAACAGTTTGGAGACGGGATGCATATAGGTAAGTTGATACTTTATTTTAAAAAAAGGTGCTTTAAAAGCATTTTTAAATTTAAAAAAGACAAAAATTAACCTTTATTCATTTAGTTAAATGGCAAAGAAGAAATAGCATTTATTAAACCAGTTAATAATAAATAAAAAAATATATACACATAGAATTCTATTTTAATTTAATAAGAGAAAATTATGACGTGTTTTAATACTGAAATGTCCAAAAATGGGTAATTTTAGATGTGGAGGACGTCAAGTTCGTTGTCAACTACGACTATCCTTCTAGCTCCGAGGACTACGTCCACCGTATCGGACGTACTGGCCGGTCAAAGAAGACAGGCACTTCATACACGTTCTTCACGACGGGCAACGCTCGCCAGGCGAAGGACCTTATCTCTGTGCTACAGGAGGCAAAGCAGGACATGAACCCACGCTTGCTCGAACTGGCTGAAATGGCGAAATCAGGCGTATTTGGTAAACGTAAGGGTTTTTTAAAGAAAAATGTCGTCTTGTTGGACATCTCTCTAGGTTGGATTTTTCTTTTGTTTGTTCTTCGCCGGAAGTAAAAATCAATCGTGTTCAAGATCAAATCAGCCCGGCCAAGAATGAACAACTGGAAGGTCTAGAGATGATTGGTAATGGTAAATCTGTAGTTTGGCCGATTTTTGAACAACTGTTTTGAACTGTCAGATGTGTTGCAGTATGGATGTTAGCTAAGTTAACACAACATGTATTTTAAGAAAGACTCAGTGACGGTTAGATATCTAGTTACATATCACTGACCATCTCTTAGCCAAAATTGTGATATTTGGTACCACAAGATAGTGAAATATTGCCACACATATGATAGAACAAAACAGCATTGATGCAACTGAACTACTGGTTCATCACCCCCTTGACCACATGAAGAAATCTGTCAATGATAAATCTTCTGACAACATCCAAGACTGTATTTTTGCTTGTGTGAATTTAATATATATTTTATTTGAATAATAAAATTTTACTAGTGAAATATTTCTGTTTTAGCGAGGAGTTCAAGATATATGGGCGGAAAGGAACGTGGAGGCGGTAAAGGAGACAGAGGGATGAGAGGAGGAGGTGGCCCAGGCAGATCGGGGCCTTCAGACCGCAAGCCGATGGGCAGGGACAGGAGTGTAGGTGACAGGTTCAATGACAGGAGCCGCGACCGCCGTGATCGCCGGGACGACCGCAGGGATGATAGAAGAGGCACTGGCTCCGACAGGATGAGGGTTGGAGGGACAAGAGGTGGCAATTTTGGTGGAAGGGACAACAACGTCGGTAGGGATTCCAACCAGGATAGCTTCAACCAGGAAAATTCCAGGTTTGGTGCACCAAGGGGCGGCGGTTTCAATTCGACCACTGAGACCCCAAGGGGCGGAGGTTTTACTTCGACCACTGAATCTAGAGGAGGGTTTTCAAATGATGTGGGCAGAATAAATGACACTAACAGGAATCGCTTCGGCGCTGACAGCACACAGCGCTACACAAACGACTCAAACAACCGAGGAGGTGGTTTTGCTACTGACAACAACAGAAACAGTTTTAACAATGATAACACCCGTACTTTCAACGATAATGCCAGAGGTGGCTTTGATAGAAACAGAGATAGAAGTTTTGGCGATAATTCACAAAATTCAGGAGGTTTTGGAGGAGGGTTTCAGGACAGGAGGGGTGGAAGAGGTTCAAACCAGAGTCCGTGGAGCAACAACAACATGATGAGCCAAAGGTCGAATGGCATACCGGAGAAGAAGTCGAGGTTCAGCGATGCTCCGCCGTCACAGAACCTCAACGGTCCACCACCCCTTATGGGTGGCAAGCCTTCCAACTCGATCCCGCCGCTCATGACACAGCCACCGCCGTCTCAGCCGAAGCCACTATTAACGCAGCCACCTCCTCAGAGCAAGCCCGGCATGATGAAACCGATGGTTGATCTGAGCCAGCCGCCGCCGAACATGGCGAAGCCGCAGGTCTACCAGGGCCAGCAGGTGCAGGGTCAGCAGGGCCAACAACAACAACAGCCGATCCTCTATCCGCAACAGCTCTATTCTCAGAACTACATGCAGATGTACCAAATGTACCAGCAGCAAATGGCACAGCAGATGAACGGCTACCAGCAGTACCAACAGCCACAGCAGCCTGCGGGTCAGCAGCTACAGCCTGTTCAGCCGCCGCTCCCCAAATGAAGTTATTCCGAGAAGTTTATTTTTTTTTAAGTTAGGCAAAAGTGTGAACGAGCAGTTTATTACACAATGTTTAGATTTTAACCAGACCTTCACCATTGATAAGAAAGAAAAAAAGAAAAGGAATTTATATAAAAAACGAGAAAGTATTTGTAATAAATATATATATTTGGATTATTTTTTATTATATTGTAAATTTATGATTTTGTTTTCTCAAGCCGTTTTTTTTTTCCTTTCGGCCTCTAGACTTTCTCCTCTTAAACCATGTGATTTTTTTTTGACAAAGTAAAGAACCAAAAGTTTTTTGTTTGTTTGAAAGCATTTATTTAATAATTTCACTTGGCGTTTGTTAAATTATATTTTATTATCATTTCTTTCATTCTTCATTTCTTTAGGAAATATAGAAGCTTAATTTTTGTGATAACTCACAAGTTGTGAAAGTTTAGAAAATAAATTATTAATTAATATTCTTTCCTGTATATATAATGTTTTATTTAAATACCTAGAAAAAATTTTCTCTGGCAGGTGGGCAGACTTAACACCAAAAAAATAAATAAATAAACTTCTTAGTGATCTACAATTTTTTTTTTCTTTAATCCTGAACTTCATGAACGACAAGGATCAAGAGAAAATATGTATGTATAGTACAATCATAGATAGTCGTGGTTGAAATCATCAGAACATTTAAAACTTTTGAATTTCTTTGTGTAATCGATTATTTCTTGTTCAAGGTGGTGGACTATGCGGCTTTTTTTTAAATGAAGGTATGCGTTGATCACGATATTTTCTATGATGCCGAAGACTCTTAAAGTCGTCAAGAATCGTATACGCTTCAAATTGAGAGTCAAGTCTTCCAGCCTACCGACACACTGCGTCCCTTTTCTCTCTAGAACAAACTGAGACAGAAAATTTTCCCTTTAGCCGAGATTAGCTGTACTTACCCTGGCATGAAATTCAGGCTGAGGCAGTTGAATTCGCAGGTCCTGTTTGAACAGTAAGAATTTGCAATGGGGATATGAAACATCAAGCGAATCGAAGCTGAAATTCACCTTCAATTCCGCCCGGTCTTCAGAGTTGGTCAATTCAACCTGGCCCTTCCTTCAACCGATTAAATCCCTTATAAACGTACTTTCTCGACTTTGATTAATTTTACCTGTATATGCCGGAAATATCGCCCAATTTACCAGCAGTACATGACATCCCTTTTGCTTCAAAAGCGCCAAGGACTACGTAGCCGAGGTCCATGGCCTTCAGGTACGCTTTGACATCCCTCAGAAGGAGGTCGGCCGACCTGCTGACATCTTCAGCCGCGGCAGCGGAAAGCAAAAGAACCACCAGGTACATCGAGGAAACAAATCGGCAATAACACAATTCTCCCTGCTGATAAAAAAATGCCAAAGTCAAGTTGTTTTTAATGCTAATTACTAAGTAAACAAATTTTATCTTTATCAAGAACTTTGTACTTGTAAATATTGTAAAATGTTTTTCTCCTCATTTAATTTATTACAGGAAAAGCCTATTAAAATTATGAAATAGTTATTATATATTTATCTCAACCAAGACCTTACATAGAAAGAATAATTAATTGAAAGAAGTAACTTGGTCAATTGACCACTAAAATGTAAATGGATTAATTGTTATAAATATAGTTCATAGAGCTAATATAGCAATTCATTATAAAAAATAAATAGTTAATTAAATTACAGTATGATAACAAATAATTGGAAGTACGAATTATTATAAGTATAAATTATTATATTATAAGGGTGAGATTGCCGATTGCAATAGTAGGAAGAACACCTGTACTAACATTGCAATCTGATAGTGTCCTATAACTTGTATTTTTACGAATTATGTATGATGTTTATATGAAAAAAAACACCGTAATTGAAATTTCATAAACTGCTCACAATTTAGTCATTTTGGAACAACATTAGAAAATTAGGTCTTAAAAACAAAGTCGACAGTTCTCATTCTTGCCCTGATGTAATGAATTAAACTCATTTTTTCTTCGATGTCTTCTTCCTTCCAAACTAAAACTACATTTCCTGTTCATCTAGATCACCAAAAATTGTCCTTTATTTTTTCAAATATGAAAAAAAATTTTAGAAGCCATCCTTTCAATTAAATCTAATGCTACAGGTCAGATCTTACGCCTTTTAAACTCACAATTTTTTCCCTTCCTTTTTGTTTAAAATACATAACCCACATCTTGAACTTCTCTCTCACCTCGTCCTGTTTTCCTTCAGCCTGAATGAAAACCCTAATAGTTGCATTACTCAAGAAACCTAAACCCACGCTTGGTATTATCGCCCTATTAGTATTCTTCCATCACTATCCATAGTATTTGAGAAGATTTTATTTAAACAAATATCATTTTTTTATTGACTCCCATTCCTCAGTCTTATATATTACTTTTTACTTAGTTTTCATATTGAAAACTATGTTACAAAACATTTTCGGAATCCTGGAGACAGGGTGTAATCATGATAAATGAGTGCTATTACCATTTTTATGCATCGTCTAACCGTTATAAGGCGACCTCGACAGATTTATTTTTATTAGAATGTGCATACGAACAGAATTTTAGACGATGGGCAATCTAAACAAAGATTTTCATGATTTCACCATATTTTTTATCCATCGCATAAGTAGAAGGGAGACATTTATCGCAGTACTTATTTAAATCCTTATTGAGTTTTTTTTCTTTTTTTTGTCCACCAATTAAGGTATACATATCAGATGGGACATAGACATTGAACCTTTAATCTGAAGATTAAATTTATTATGACATATTTATTGACTCCCATGACCTTGCTTTTCAATCTGGATTCTGAAAATTTCATAGTTGTGAGATAGCCTTTCTCAAAATCTCTGATGATATTCGCCTAGGATAATAAGCATACTATTGTTCTACTTGATTTTTCCAATTCATTCGGTTCCGTAAATAATAATTTCTTTATTTGGGAACTGAATCTTTTTGGCTTTATTCTACTGCTACTAATCCCACTTCCTCCAACCTGTCTGGCAGAACTCAGAGAGTTAAAGCTTCAAATTCTATTTCCTCTTCTCTCTCAGTTTCAGCTGGCATACCCCAAGGCACTATTCTTGGACCTTAACTCTTTTCCATGTTTCTAAATGATCTTCAATTAGTTCTTAATTTCTACCAATTTCATCTTTATGCCGATGACACTCAGCTTTACATTCAATGTGCTACAAGCAACATTTCTGAAGCTATCTCTTTGCTCAACCGTAATCTTAGATCTCTCAAGTAGTATCGGCATTCTTTGAAAACCTAACAAATGCCAGTCCTTATTAATTTCCAATAAAAAGCATTAGTTCAGATTGCCTTTCCTCTCCTCGTATCAACAGCTCCCTTATTAATTTTTGCCCTAAAGTTAAAAATCTCGGCGTTATTTTTAACTTCAAGCTTACATGGCGTGAACAAGTGAGCTCTGTTATTAAAAAGATCAACTTAAGCATCCATTCTCTTTTACGCCTTAGGTTTTTCACTCCATAGAAAACTGAGCATTCACTCCATAGCAACTAGCGCTATTTTTTTTCACTGTCTTTAGATTCTCAATCTGCGCATCAAATTGTTTACCATTCCTGCATTAGATACTGTTATCTTAATCCAAGGGATCATATTTCTTCATATGTCTTCAGCAACCTTAACATACTAAGCACTTACAAACTTAGAGTTTTAATATATTTATTTAAAATTAAAACAAATAAATGTCCTCATATCAACTGTTCTCACCTCATTCCTTATCCAAACGCACCATTCATATCCCAAGCCTTCCACAATCCTCTAAACCTTTAACCTTATCCTTCAGAATCACATCAAACACAGAATTTGCTTCCCTGGAAAATACGTTCTGCTTCCTCGCCGGCTTGTTTCGGGTCCATAGCAACTGAGTTCTCCTTTTCTTTTTCCCCTCTTCCTTTTCTTTTTGCTGCTATCTACAATGCATCTTTTCTAATAAAAGCAATCAATAATTATGATGAAAACAAGCTATACAATTTACTACTTCTACCAGACATAAAAACGAAATCTATATTAAAAGAAGAGTTACTGACAAAATAAATTTATCCTTGTGTTATATATATTATACTATTATACTATACTATTATTATAGTAATAGAAGAATGAATTATTTAGTATTGTGTTAAGATTATTTTTTATTTTATTTTAGTCTTTTTTTCTTCCAACATCTAGGTCATTTGAGCCCCCAACTAAGTCTATATTGTATTTACCCTTTCAAACACTACATTCATACACATAAATACATCCATACAGTACACTCATTCTGTTTGGTCGGTGGAGTACTTGATATTCCTCCACCGACCTGTACTCAAACAGAGATTGGGGTCGATGGAGTACTTTTATAAATATTGCACCATCGACCCCGAACACTTTCAATGTTCGAGGGGCGACGATGACGTTATATTTCACCCTCACCCCTCGCCATTCACGCTAATAGATACATGCACTCAGACAAAACATATAGACACACAACACGTAAGACATATGTACAATAAAAAACCCCAATTTCCCCTAAAAAGCAAAACAGGGGACCCAGAAACCCGCTGCAGTGCTGCTGTACCATCTTCAGATTGGATGGCATGCATACACGCTCCCTGTAGGGAGCCAAGGCATGGCATGTTTCCAGTATGTGGGACCTGCGGCACCTGCGCGAGTTTTGGCCCAAGAGCAGGTGCCCATGTGTCAACCATGTATGGCCTATTCTTAATTGTGTAAGGACGATTCCTTGTTTCCGGTTCAGGGGCCATCTATGAATTGTGCTCTTGACGCGCAAAAGCCTCTCGAACGACCCAACCCACTGACGCTGCCATCTTTCTTTTATCATGTTCTTTACTGCTAGCTTGGCGTCAGAGGGCTTGGTCGTGATAAATTTGCTATTAATTAATTATTAATACTATTATATATTTATTTGTTAATTATTACTAGTGTACATTAAATTATTATTGTGTTATTTAAGCCTTAATTAGAACTACTAGGCATTAGATACCTAGTAAAAAATGAAAATTATAATTACGGTAAAGTGATATAATTAGCTGTTAGAGCTGAATAAATTAAATGTTAACATTAAGCTTCCGGACTTCAGTTAGAGAGGACCTATGTAAGATTCAGATTAAAAAACTATTCATTCTTTCATTCATTCCTTTTCTTTTTCCATTTCCTTTTTTCCTCTTTCTGCTTTTCTTTCATAATGTGGTTTCATCATTTGATTATAAATAATTAATATTTAAAAATATATTCTTGTCATTATTGTTTGTATATTTTATTATTATTTATTTTTTAAGGGCATTTTAACGGCTAAGGTCATTTCATGCCCTAACATCCAAACCTTGTATCTTAGATTCAAAAGGTGGGGTTGAGATAGGAAGTTGATGTCCGAGTGGATCGAGGTCATGATAGCTCAAGTGGTAGAGCAATGGTGTATCTAGCCACAAAGGTCGTGGGTTCGAATCCCGCTCGTGGCACTGACTTTTTTATCACAACTTAAAACCTTAATTAATTGAATTCTATCTTAGTTTAGCTATATTCCTTCTGAGTGCTATAAAGCTCTGACTCCAAACATTCACTCATAATCTATCCTATTGCCATCCAAAGCTTAATTTTATCATTTTAAAATTCTTAATTTGGAAGGCCAATTTTGAAAAAATCCCATTTTAAATTACATATAAAATTTATGCCTGTTGTTTAATTAGAATTTCGAATTTTTGTTCCATGATTTAAACATTTTCCATAATCTTGTACGGCCAATAATAATAATAATTTTTTTTCAATTAATTAATCTTTATGAAAGTTATTGGTTGAGATAAAAAAAGTCAATGTCATGAGATGGGAAGTTAGTGTCCGAGCGGATCGAAGTCATGATAGCTCAAGTGGTAGAGCAGTGGCGTATCTAGCCAAAGGTCGTGGATTCAAATCCCGTCCGTGACACTGACTTTTTTATCTCAACCGATACCTTTCGTAAAGATTAATTAATTTAAAAAAATTAATTGGTCAGTCAGACCACAATTATCCTTTTATTCTTCCTCTAATTCCTATTCTAACTAAGCTACATAATAATAATAAAAAACAAAAACACAACTATTTTTTTTTTTTTTTGAGAGAGAGAGAGAGAGAGAGAGAGAGAGCTATCTTTCTTATTTAAATTGCATTTTGGGCATTGCAGTTTATTACCCAACAATTTGTATTTTCTTCTATTTCATTATTCCGCTACGGCAGCCTCAAAAATTACTAAAAAAAGAAAGAAACCTTGCAAGTACAACTCTCATTCAAACATTAGCAGACAAATATTCAATGGTATAACAATTTGAGAAAAGGCCTAAATCTCATTATAAATTCCAAAATTGTATTATATGTTTTATTATTATTGCTGTTATAATGTAAGGGGGGATAGAGCCCTATTTGTACCTTTAAAATAAATAAAAAATTTTGGCCCATAAAGCAAGTTTTTTAATTTGACATAAAGTAAAATTTAAATTTAATTGTGTTATTTTGCTGTGTTAAGTGCGTTGTGTGTCTGCGTGTGTGTTTTGTTCCTACATATCTATTTTATCGTGTTACATCATATTGTAAACATTGAAATTAGAACAAATAACAGAACAATATTGTGAATGACCTCACCAATGAAATACCTAGTATTTTATTCAATTGTCAGCTTTTAGTTGTGTAACATAAATCAATTTTATTTATATTTATTTATGAGAGATGTTATTTTACATAAAAATAGTATCAGTGACGTTCGAAGGTCGACCTCCCGCTCAATGAGTCACGGTTAACGCCCCACTCTTCTCTATCAAGGCATCCACATAAATCTTGCACTTGCTTTGTTTAATCCTGCGTGATACTTTGGTCGAGTTTTAAATTCGTTTTTGGCTTTTCTTTTTTGTCGACTCGGATGGTAAAAATCGGTTGATCGCCTATGGAAGGCCACGTGGTGAAGGCCCTCGGTTGGAGGCTCTGGAGAGCGTCCAGAAGGAAGTACATCAAAATCCCTTTTTACATACTTTTCCCCATTCTCCTAGCTGTTTTGCTCACCCAGGTGAAAGTACACAATTCGCCCGGTGAGAACATACAAAATGGTACTTTTCCCCCAGCCTTGCCATCCGAATACTTTTTCTCCCAAGAATTACTCGCTGGCAACCGGTTCGACGTACTCTTCTACCCGGACAACAATGGCACCCGACTTATTATGAAGAAATTTAATGATTTGATGCCTCCGAAGTCGATCAGTGAGTATTCCTTCTTCATCTATATTTGTTGATGTTGGTGTAGTTGGGTGTTGCCTGAACCATGCCATCGGATCCTTCAGTAGGACCTTCAGTGTTATACTGACAGACTTATGATCCGATGATCTAAAACAGTAATCAGAGATGACAGTCTGACTTGGGTATCATCAATGGTTGGCTGTTGTAAGCTTGATTCCGGCTCAGACTTATGATCTGATAATCTAAAACAGTAATCAGAGATGACTGTCTTGACTTGGGTCTCATGCAATCCAACAGATGACTGTCGTAAGCTTGATTCCGATTCAGACATATGATCCGATGATCTAAAACATTAATTAGAGATGACCGTCTTGACTTGGCTATCTTGAGATCCAACAGATGACTGTCGTAAGCTTGATTCCGATTCAGACATATGATCCAATGATCTAAAACATTAATTAGAGATGACCGTCTTGACTTGGCTATCTTGAGATCCAATAGATGACTGTCGTAAGCTTGATTCCGATTCAGACATATGATCCGATGATCTAAAACATTAATTAAAGATGACCGTCTTGACTTGGGTATCTTGAGATCCAACAGATGACTGTCGTAAGCTTGATTTCGATTCAGACATATGAACCGATGATCTAAAACATTAATTAGAGATGACCGTCTTGACTTGGCTATCTTGAGATCCAACAGATGACTGTCATAAGCTTGATTCCGATTCAGACTTATGATCCGATAATTTAAACAGTAATCAGAGATAACAGTCTGACTTGGGTATCATGAGATCCAACAGTTGATTGTTGTAACCTTGATTCTGACTCAAGTTGTGATCCGATAATCTAAAACAGTAATCAGAGATGACAATCTGACTTGATATCATGCTATCCAAAAGCTGGTTGTTGCAAGTTTGATTCCGACTCAGACTTATCATCCGATGTTCTAAAACAGTAATCAGAGATAACAGTTTGACTTGGGTATCGTGCGATCCAACAGTTGGTTGTCGTAAGCTTGATTCCGGCTCAGACTTATCATCTGATGATCTAAAACAGTAATGAGGGGTAATATCTGACTTGGGTATAATGAGATCCAACAGTTGATTTTCACAAACTTCAATCGAACTCAGACTACTAGATCTACAGACTAACTAGATCCGATGATCTTAACCAGTAATCACATATGACAGTCAGACTTCCATATTTTTAGATCCAATAGTTGGTTTTCATAAACTTTATTCCAACTCAGACCTATTACCCAACTATTTGAAACATTAGTCAGGATTTGTTCAGGCTCAAATCCGCTCATGTACGTACATACTTACAAATATGTGCCGAGTTGAGCCTTTTTGCTTCTTCTCCACCGGCAATTCAAGTTTTGCTATTTACAGTGAACTGCCAGCAGACCCGAGAATCACCCACCCTGGATGTTTTCAGTCCGGGGTCAGTCTTATCTGTCCAGCCATCAAGGTTGGGCTTTGGATGTTGTCAACAGCTAGGTTGCATGCACCCAATTCCAATGGTTTCAAACCCATTCGCACCCACATTCATTCTTAAATACATTCATTCCTATTTACATACCATTCGGGGTACTTGATATACTAACCTATCACATCACACATTCACACTAATAAGTACGATTATTTGGAGATTGTGAGGTGTGGTCGGTCTGGTGTGACATAGGTTTTAGAAACTTTTTTTTTATCATGCCAACGTTTCAATCTTTATTGAAATCATCTTCAGGGCTCAAAGTGTTTGTTTTCCGTGTGGATGTGTCATTCTTTTGTGTCGTCCCACTTGCCCACTGCACTGTTGGGCACTCTCAACACGACACACAAGAATGACACATCTACACGGAAAACAAACACTTTGAGCCCTGAAGATGATCTCAATGAAGATCGAAACATTGGCATGACAAATAAAATGATTTTCTAAAACCTCCGTCACACCAAACTGCATGATCTCCAAATACTCATTGGCTAATGGTCACTAAACACCACACACACACTAATAAATGCATTCACTCTCAACACAACTCTTACATTTGTTATACAAATAACCTAATTGAGGTTCTTTGGAGTAATCGATATCTGCCATTAACCCACTCACATCACACGTTCATGCTAAAAAATTCATTCACTCAACATAACCCTGCCATTGACCCACACATCACACATTCATGCTAATAAATACATTCACTCTCAACATACCCCCGCCATTGACCCACACATCACACATGCTAATAACTACATTCACTCTCAACATAACCCTGCCATTGACCCACACATCACACATTCATGCTAATAAATACATTCACTCTCAACATAGCCCCGCCATTGACCCTCTCACATCACACATTCATGCTAATAAATACATTCACTCTCAACATAACCTCACCATTGACCCACACATCACACATGCTAATAAATACATTCACTCTCAACATAACCCCACTATTGACCCTCTCACATTACACATTCATGCTATTAAATACATTCACTCTCAACATAACCCCGCCTTTGACCCTCTCACATCCCACATTTATGCTATTAAATACATTCACTCTCAACATAACCCCGCCATTGACCCACACATCACACATGCTAATAACTACATTCACTCTCAACATAACCCCGCCATTGACCCACACATCACACATGCTAATAACTACATTCACTCTCAACATAACCCCGCCATTGACTCCCTCACATCACACATTCATGCTAATAAATACATTCCCCCTTCAACCCAACCCTTACACTTATTATACAACTAATTGAGGTTCTCTGGAGTACTCGATATTCTGCCATCAACCTTCTCACATCATACATTCACGCTAAGCCCTTAGATTAAAAGAATAATTAATACGGTCAATTATGACTGCTAAACATATATGGATTAAGCTAATAAATACTTTCGTTCTCAACACAAACTAGTATACACAACTATTATTACTATGTACAATAGAACAATCCCGTTTTCTGCAAGAATTGGAGCAGGGGACCAAAACATTAGTTTGATATGAGAGTCTGACTTCCATATTATCAGATCCAACAGTTAGTTGCCATAAGTTTTGATTCCGACTCAGACTTATGTCCGAATGATCTGAAACATTAATCAAATATGACAGTCTGACTTCCATGTTATCAGATAACTGTTTAATTTATTGTAATATTTTTCCAGATAACATAATGGGCATGGAAAGTGAGGTTGAAATAGAATCCTGGCTCTCTGACCACTACAAAAACAAATCGGTAGTATTTGAAAATTCAAACGTCGGATTTGGCGTCATATTCAAGGAATTGACAAACGACTCACTCACTTACGCCTTGCGTAGCACCCAAATGACAATCTGGCAAACGAGAAACCTTTTCCCCGCTTACATGGGCCCCGGACCTGCTGAAGCTGGCCGTAAGTTTGTGTCGATAAAGTTAAATTTAATTTAATATAATTTATTAATATCATCTTTTAGAGCATTATATTACAAGTGGTTTCATCTCTCTGCAAGCTGCTATTAATATGGGCTATATGGATTACTTGAAGGTGAACTTCAGTCAAGATGTAAGTTTTTTTGTTTAATTGAACAGATTTATTTTTTTATTTTATTATTATTTTTTTTTTTAAAGTGGTGGTTTCAAGAATTTCCTTATCCGCCTTACAAACTTGAAACAAAACAAGCTTTTGAAATGGTTTATATTTACGGTCTACATAGCGTCCTTATAACAGGATTTTTCCCACTTGTTTTGTTCCTTGTCGCCAATATCGTGACTGAGAAGAACAATGGTTCCAGGGTAAGAGTTTATATATTAAAAAAAAGAAGCTTAGTTTGTAAAATATATTTATTCTAGGAAATCTTAAGGCTCAACGGAGTAAACGATTTGGGAATATATGGCTATTGGTTTGCATTTTTCTTCTGGCAGAGTTTTATCATAGTTACCGTCATAGTCATTCTGTTTAAAATCAATACAGGAGGAGGATCTCTACTTGAATATTCCAATCCATTTCTTTTATGGTTATTTTTCATGTTGTTTTGCATACAGATGATATTCATGGTATTTGCAATATCGTCTGTTTTTACTAATTGTAAGTAACAGTGTGTCTTTATGTTGTTGTGTTAGTAAATTGGATTTTTGTTTTGTTACTTATACAGCTGCTTATGCGACATTTTTCACCATTGTTTTTTACTTGATTATGAACGGCGCTATATCGTATTTTATGAAGGCGACGACTACGTTTATTGGATTTTTAACCGTTTTAACTCCAATGGGGTCGTTGTTTCATGGGCTGAAGGTCATCACATCTCTTGAAAGTTCGAGTAAGTCAATCGGTAAATATCGTTTGAACTGAGCTTAAACGAAATTTCCGTTTCTTTAGAAGTCGGACTTCAATTCAGCCAGCTTGGTTACAAAGTGCCGAATACGGGCGAAGGTCCAATGTTTCTGATCGTCTTCATAATGGGGATCAGCTGTGCCTTCTTCACTCACATCTTCAAGTACCTCGACGCTATAAAACCGGGAGAGTACGGCTCCGCTAAACCATGGCATTTCTTCTTACCCGTGAGTAATCCCATTTTACAAATACAAGAAAACAAATTTCGCCAATTTTTTTCTCTCTCTCCAGGACTTCGTTAAGAAATTCTGCCAAATTGCGCCGGATTTGCAAGATGAAGATTTGAAGAAAAAAAATCCATCTAAAGTCATCGAAGAGGCCAACATACCGGTTGGAATCAAAATAGATAATGTTTACAAGGTGTTCGGAGCTTTGCAAGCCGTTAACGGCCTCTCAATTGATATTTACCAAGACCAAATAACTGTTTTGTTGGGCCATAATGGTGCTGGAAAAACAACTTTAATATCAATACTTACTGGTTTGTATAATTTTATCCTCTATTTTACAATAAATTTCAATATCAGTATAATGTTTTTATATATTGCTATCATTAAAAAAAAAAAAAAAAAAAATCAATTATCTTGACCTTGTTTTCTATTCGAGTATCAAGAATTATCAAATATTTGGCATGTGCATAAGTTTTTTTTCAGTTTTCAGAAAATAATCTCAAAATATATATGTATTTCATTTTTAATCCAAAACATAATTTTTTCCATTTTCTATAACATACTGCCAATGTTCTGGTAGCAAAAAAGTCTGATGACAGGCAAGAACAAATCTGTTGGTCCAATTTTCAGAGGGTTTTGATTTAAAAATTTCCTACCGTTTAACACTTTTAACACGGAGGCCGATCTGTGTCCCGATCCATTCTGTTGGCCTGACCTGGCTCTGTCGGTACGGCTGTCGACAATAATTATTCAGAAATCGTGAGGTCTGGTGTGATGGAGGTTTAAGAAAAACATTTTCTTTATCATGCCAACGTTTCGATCTTTATTGAGATCATCTTCAGGGCCTGGGATTTACAAATTGTTTACATTTAACAAATATATTTAGGATGTGGAAAAGTGAATTTATACAATGCAATATATATATTTTTTTTAATATTCAAAGTATTTCTACTCACTCAAAGTGTTTGTCTTCTGTGTAATTGTGCCATTCTTGCGTGTCGTGTTGAGAGTCTTGACAATGTTTCAGTAACGTTTAATAAATTTTTGTAAATGGGCAAATGTTTGTTTTTCGGGTAGAAAAATAATATCCTATGTTCAAAATCAGTACAATAAGGTAAAAGGTATCTATTTAAGGTGCTTAAATTGATATTCAATGTTGTGATAATTAATTAATTTTATCTTGACCAATAACTTTCATAAATATTAATTAGTTGTGATAATTCTTTTATTTTGCGCTTAAATAATATATTTTTCTAATATTTATACTATAAAAATATTATATAGGCAATTAAAAATAATATAAACAACTTAAAAGGTTAAATTAATGATTATGCATAGGATCACGCTAATAAAACTTATATTATAAAACAATTAATAAAAAAAAGAACACATAGTAAACAAAAATTCAACGAAATAAAATAATAAAACAAATAACATATTAAAATTAAATAATTAAAAGTATATAAACAATTTAAAAGATTAAATTAATGATTATGCATAGGATCATCCTAATAAGACTTATATTATAAAACAAAAATTAAAATTAAATAATTAAAAGTATATAAACAATTTAAAAGATTAAATTAATGATTATGCTTAGGATCATCCTAATAAGACTTATATTATAAAACAAAAATTAAAATTAAATAATTAAAAATATATAAACAACTTAAAAGATTAAATTAATGATTGTGCATAGGATCATCCTAATAAAACTTATATTATAAAACAACTAATAAAAAAATAACACGCAGTAAACAAAAAATCAACAAAATAATAAATACAACATAATAAAACAAATAACATATTAAAACAAACATTTTATTAAAACTAGATTACAGTTAATAAAAATAATTACATTACGTAAAATTTATATAATAAAAGTATAAAATTAATAGAATAAATATATTATATACACATATAGCCATACTTACATATGATTTAACAAAAATTAGGAATGTCAAAAAAATATTAGATATTTTTCAAAGTATAAAACTTATTAACTGGAAAAAAAAAATAAATTTTTGTGGTTACTAACTGTTGAAATAGTCTTATGAGCATCATCTTGCTCTTCGTGGTCATTTTTGTGTAACTCCCTAACAAATTCAAAATCATCGTTAGATTCTAACATAACGTGAATTCCTTGATCGATCTTATTTTTCAAATTTTAACCATTTTTTGTTTTTGCCCCATGAAGTTTCTTCTTTCTAAAAAAGCAAAGGAAGAAGAAACAAGAAATTATAAAATCTACTTTCTAATAAAATTAGATAAAATATTTAAAATAGTTGAAAATTTAAAAACCATAACTTAAACAGAATAAATCATTTATTTAAAAAAAGTTGCCGTTATTATTTTTTCTATATTTTTTACATACACAAATGAAAAATATGGCAACAATTGTTTATTCCAAAGATAAACTTTATTATTTAGAACTAATTTTTAATAACTAAGTTATTTTGGGCTTTTTTTAAGTTGGTGTAATGAAGAAAGTTGTGTTATGGGAAAACTTAGCTTTATTTATTTATTTATTTTTTTTTATAAAACACCTTATTTTTAACAATCATGAAGTGAGGGTCACTTATTGAACTCTGCCTTAAAATGAAGACGGTAGTGAGTGGATACGAAAATGATGAACACAGGTCGAAAGCAGGCACTCAAATAGACCTCATAAGTGTAGAAAGCGCAGGGAATTCTTAAAAACCCAGACCCACCATGAAAAAACGAAAATAAAGAGAGGGCCAATGTGGGGTTCTTGGGCTTGCACTACCAAAGCGCCAACTGGTGCCCATCAAGCAGATAGTGTTAAGTGATTGTCTAGGGAGCGTAACAAGTAAAAATTGGAAGGGGAGAGGTTCTGAGTCCAAGTGCCAGAGTCTGCAGTGCCAATCAGTCCTACTATCATTTTAGTCCTAACATCCTCGGTTTAGTAGTTCTGCTATTAGTTTCTGCAATCCTTTAGTGAACTTTGCATGCCTCTGCCTGTTCTGGATTAAAAGGACTTATTCTTAACCCATTGAATTAAAATTAATTGAAGGATGTTTGACAATTATGCTGCAAAAGGTTTTCAGGGTCAAAAGGTGTCCTCATTGAAAGTTCCTTGGCCTATTTATCTGGCTTCTCGTTGCCCCTCCTGTGTTCCCTAGTATACAAACATGACAGGGCCTTAATATCCCAAACACTACTGTGTATGTCTATTAATTTTTTCGGCTTATTTTTCAGGTGTAATATCCCCAACATCCGGCGAGGTAATAGTAAACGGTTTGAACCTTTTTGAAAACATGACAAACTTCAGGAAAGACTTCGGCTACTGTCCTCAGCACGATATCCTTCTATGCGATCTATCTGTTCACGAGCAAATCATATTTTTTGGAATGGTTAGACCTTTAACACAAATGTTTATATAGATTTTTAAAAATATATATTGAATTATTGTTGCCAGGTGAGAGGGCTTCCGAGAGCACAGATCAGTAGAGAAGCGGTCGACTTGATGTCAAAATTCGACATCCAACATCGGAAGAATGCACTGCCCGCCCAGCTGTCGGGCGGAATGAAGCGCAAACTCTGCCTCGCCATATCACTTGCAAACAACCCTAAAGTAAGTTCATTTATATATTGTATTGTACCAGGATTAATTATGAACATTTATAGGTGCTTTTCCTTGATGAACCGACATCAGGTCTGGATCCTCAGTCACGACGAAACATCTGGGATACACTATTGGTAAAAAAAAAATTTAATTATTACAAAAAAAACAAAAACTAAATAATATTTTACTACAGGCATTAAGAGGAAATAGAACCATGATTATAAGTACACATTTCATGGAGGAGGCTGATGTTCTTGGTGATAAAATTGCAATTATGGCCCATGGGGAAATTCGCTGTTATGGTTCTTCGATTTTCTTAAAAAAACATTTTGGTATGTAATACCTTTATATTAGAGTTTGTATAGTTTTAATTAATTATCAATCTTTGTTGTTGTTTTTTTCTAAGGCTCTGGGCATCAAGTAACAATTACTTATAACCTGGATGTCAATCCTGCTAATATTAAGGAAGTAGTACAAGAAGTGATTCCGACAGTGAAGACCAGTGAAAAAATCCAACAGCGCCAACTCGTTTTGAACGTGCCAATAGAGGATACGTCTAAATTGCCGTCGCTCTTCAAAGAACTTGAAAACGTCCAGGGCTCGAGTATCAAAGGGATCGGTGTAAATTGCACATCAATGGAGGAAGTCTTTTTAAAGTGAGTGGTTATTCTAAATTTCAATTGATCGCTTGTATCAACTTCAATTGTTGTTCAGGGTCCAAGAAGGTGAAGGAATCTCGACGGATTTCGACGAAACGGATTTTGCTTACATGGGAAAAAACAACTTGACTAAACTACACGGAAGTATGTTTATTGTTGTAGATTATCATAAAAAAATAAATTATGCTATTTTATTTTTATTTTCTAGTCGGTCTCGTTGTGCAACAGTTCTTTGCACTTCTCGTCAAAAGGGGACTGCTGTTCAAATCGTCACTGATTTTCTCATTAATCTTAGTAAGTAATAGTATTTATACATTAAATATACAGTCGGATCTGACTGTCTCAAACTCATTGGATCTGACAGTCGGATGAGTAGACACAAATTCTATTTTTGAGGAACTGACAGTCGGATGGGTAGACACAAATTCTATTCTTGAGTAACTGATAGTCGGATAGGTAGACACAAATCACAATCTTTTGGAACCGACAGTCGGATGGGTAGACACTAATTTTATTCTTGTGGAACTGACAGTCGGATTGGTAGACACAAATTCTATTCTTGAGGAACTGATAGTCGGATAGGTAGACACAAATCACAATCTTTTGGAACCGACAGTCGGATGGGTAGACACTAATTTTATTCTTGTGGAATTGACAGTCGGATGGATAGACACAAACACTATTCTTGAGGAACTGATAGTTGGTTAGGTAGACACAAATTTCATTCTTGTGAAACTGACAGTCGGATGGGTAGACACAAATTCCGTTCTTTTGGAACTGACATTCGGATGGGTAGACACAAATTCCATTCTTGTGGAACTGTTAGTCGGATGGTTAGAAACAATTTTCATACCGTTGGATCTGATTTTTGGATGACTTCCTACATCAGATATGATTACATGAAATTTGTTGGATCAGAAAGTTGGATGGGGTAGCCACAAGTTCCTACATCATATTTGACCTGATTGTCAGATGACTTGCCACATGTTTTGCATGGTTAAGTCTGATTGCCAGACAACTTGCCACATAATTAGATCTGATCGTCTGAAATTTATATATATTTAATTTGTTTCCCAGCTGATCCTCTTCCCCTCATACATGACTTACATCACGTTCGGGACTATGAATACAGTGACGGAAGACGTCCAATCTATGCCATTGACCATGGACTTGGAGAATTACGGCGAAACGACTGTGTTGGTCGGCGGGAGGGATGACCCTCTCACGAATTCCTACAAGAAATGTGTGCAGAACCAGAAGAGCACTACTGTCGTAACCGATAAAGAAACTGCGAAAGGTAATTCCATTGTCGTTTGTAGTGTTTTTGCTCTTGTTCGATAAAATACTATTTTCAGAGCTGTACCAAGCGGCCGAAGACGATTTGCCTCACTTCAGAAATTTCATGATCGTCGCTGCTGATTTGCTAAACAGCCCGATTGCTTTGTACTCATCTCTGGCATTCCACGCGCCGGCCATTGCAATATCGCTTCTTTTCAACGCTTTCATCAACGTGGGAAATCCAAAAGTACCCAAGACGATCAGAACCATCAACTACCCATATTCTTTCGATCAGGTAAGAGCAAACATTAAAAAAAAAAAAAAAAAAAAAAAACGAATAGATTATGCAGTAAATGTTGTAATATATTACAGGACCCTTGTGATCCGAATCAAGTAGTGAGCTTTGTCATTCCATACATATGGTTATTTTTGGCATCTGGCATAATGGTAAGCATGACCTACTTTGTCCGTTTTCCAATCTCAGAGAGGGTCAACGGGATGAAACAGCTGCAGTACATGAGCGGCTTGAGCCCAATGACTTATTGGGCATCCAATTTAACCTTCGACATCGGCCTCTTCTGCATCATTTTGGTCGTATTCCTTATTACAGGTTACACGATGGATGTTAACCATATATTGCACGATGGTGATGTAATAAGTAAGTCAAATAAAATCCATTTTGTATTCAAATTTCCATTTATTTTTTATTTTTTAAAGGTCTGATTGTTCTTATCCTTTTCTTGTATGCCCTTTCAATGATGTGCGTTTGCTACTTCATGAGTTTTCTCTTTACAACATATTCCGGAGCTAAGAATGTTATAGTTATGATTTCATTAATATTCTGTAAGTTTTATCTTTTAAATTAAAATATTTACAAAAGATTTTAACTGCTCTTTTCAAATCTTTTTCAAGCACTGATGCCTCTTCTCACGGACTGGCTTACCAACGACAATAAGTTCGCTCATTATATTTTTTATCTGTCACCTACGACACCATTTACTCAAGCGATTTACAAAATAATGACGGTCGTCAAGAACAGGCTTATGTGTAAAAATTGTACCCTCGGTTTATTGGGCCAAGTGTGTCAAGGTAAAATTAAAATGGCGATTTATAAAAATTAAAATTAATGTATTTTTCTCTTTAGAGTTGAACAAGAACAACGGATTCGACTTAATGACTTGCTTGGTGTTTCTTATAGTAGATATTATATTGTTTCTCGTCCTGACGCTCTTGATGGACTACCGTTACATCCAGCTGGGTATTCATCTCGTAAAAGAGAAGCTTTACGGTCCGATTGAGAAGGGGGGCGATTCTGTTGACGCTGACGTATCGTTGGAAAAGCATAAAGTCACGTCGAGCACCCTTGGAATGAGACACAGTATGTCATGTTCAACTTTGTCAAAATTCTCGCTTTAATTTTTCATTTATCCAGGGAAAAAATCAGCGCCGATGATGCATAATGACCAACTAGAGCATGTAGATATTGATTTCATCGATGCACCTAATGATGGATCTACGAATTCGACAGATCAAATAATAGAAAGGTCTAATGGTGAATTGGAAAACAGTCCTAAAATATCAAGTAAGAAATTGCTTACTCATTAAAAACGAAAAACAAAAAATTAATCGATTTAATTTTAATTTTCAGGTGAAGATTTAGTATTGATCACAGACAGCCTGGGGAAAAAGTACAACAGGGATTTGACTGCTGTTTACGATGTAAGCTTCACCGTTGCTAAGGGCGAATGCTTCGGCCTCCTCGGCGTAAACGGCGCCGGTAAGACGACGACTTTTTCCATACTCTCGGGTGAGATTTTTGCGAGCCGAGGCGACGCAGTCATGCACGTTCCGAACGGCTACCACACCCTGAGCCAGACAAGGAGCAAGTTTCTTCAGAACATCGGCTACTGCCCTCAGGAGAACAGAATCAGCATGGAACTGACTGCCTACCAGCTTTTGAACCTGTTCGCCTTGCTTAGGGGAGCGCCGAAATACGACGCTCAAAAACTGGCAGAGCAGTGGATCCGTAATTTAGGTTATTATCAATGATAATTTTATATATTATAACTTATCCTTGCTGGGTTTCTGTCAGATCTTGGATTCTCGCCATCTTCGGTGTGTCTGTGGCAATAGTAAAGTAATACCTGTTAATAGAGGAGGGCTTACATCCAACAACCCACTGGGTCAAAGTGTGTCAATATGACACCCTAACCACTCAGCCACAGTGGTTCCCTCAGTGTGGCAATAAATAGGCAGTGAGGTCTAGATGGCACTGGGTCAATGGTGCATAACTTCTATTTGTGCATTTAAAAGAAAAAAAAGAAAAAAAGAAAGAAAGAAAAAAAAGACGAGCCAAGCTCTAGAGGATACTGGAGCCCTTAGTAAAGCTTTAAGATCTGATTTAAAAAAACCTTGAGCTTAACAGCTCGAGATAAAGAGATTCACTAGTTTTGTGGTCCGCTTGACCAATTAATATATTACAATTAATTAAGATTTTCAGTTGAGATAAAAAAGTCAATGGCACGAGCGGGATTCGAACCCACAATCTTCAGTTTGATACGCCGCTGCTCTACCACTTGAGTTATCGTGACCTCGATCCACTCGGACATCATGTTCCCATCTCAACCACACCTTTTGAATTTTTGACTTTTTTATCTCAACTGAAAACCTTTTAATTAATTGTAATATATTAATTGGTCAAGCACAATCAAATTGATTACACGACATTTGAAAACTGGCAAAAAGGAGGGAAAATTCAAAAGGTGTGGTTGAGACGGGAAGTTGATGTCCGAGTGGTTCGAAGTCACGATGGCTCAAGTGGTAGAGCAGCGGCGTAACAAGCCGAAGATCGTGGGTTCGAATCATTGACTTTTTTATCTCAACTGAAAACCTTAATTAATTGTAATAATAATGAGAATTGAAACGGTAAGGACGGCCTGTAACGTTCCAAATAAGCTGTGCTAATGTCGATTTTACTTTGCCACCGAAATCGTTACCTTGATGATTTGCAGCTGTACATTCTCGTCCGTCTGTGGGTTGATGAAACAATTGCAAATCGTCTCAACAATCCTATCGATCAACAATTTACCGGGGGTTGTCGAATCAGGAATGTTCCCAGTCAAATGGCCATAGGCAATTAATTTCTACAAATAATTTAATAAATTACCATTCAACAATCAATAAACGATATGAAAGTAATAGTAATAGTCAGCTAGGTCATAACCGGCACACATTTTTCCTATCTGGGTTTTTAATATTTCAGCATTTTCCACTTACGGTTGCAACCGGGACATATCTGCACCCTTTACACACGTAGAATCGATATTCATTCACTCACCAATAAACTTACAACACGCTAATAAATACACTCATTTGTCTACTCACACACCGTACTACAAACAATTAAGAATAATTTGAGGGCCACCAAGGTACTTGATATTCCGCCAATGACCACTCCTCTCATTTATACAAGACTAAGCCTAGGAACAGAACACGACAAATGGTCTGTTCTCAGTCACACCAATTCCAATTAAAGTACCATCATCAATCATGCTAATAAATACTCATTTGTCTGCACACATGCTACTATGTACAAATAAATGATAAAAAGGGGGCCACCGTAGTACTTAATTTCACTAATTTCGTGGTCCGCTTGACCAATTAAATCATTACAATTAATTAAGGTTTTTAGTTGAGATGAAAAAAAGGAATGAAAAATGGCAAAAAGGAGGGAAAACTCATAAGGTGTGGTTGAGACGGGAAGTTGATGTCCGAGTGGTTCGAAGTCACGATGGCTCAAGTGGTAGAGCAGCGGCGTAACAAGCCGAAGATCGTGGGTTCGTGCCATTGACTTTTTTATCTCAACTGAAAACCTTAATTAATTGTAATAATAATGAGAATTGCACAATAGGCAAATATTTGGTCATGGTGCGCCAGGTCATAAAGAGGCCGACTTTAACCTTGTTCAGTGAATATACAATACAATACACAATACTTTATTAGAATTGATACAAACAAATAATAGAAACACGATACAAAGTATAAAAGCATGGCTAGTAGCCGTCTGCTGAGTTTACTGCATAATGAAGCTTACAAATACAGAAATATTAAAAGAAAAGAAATTCGTAGAGAAAATTTACATATAACAGGTATGAACTAAAATAGATGGAAATATGAGAAAAAAGAAGAAAAAAAGAATTAAATAAGAAGAAATTACCGCTTGAGAACTGTGAGTACTAAAAAACAAAGCAGTAAAAGTAAAAGTATATGTACAGGGACGACAATTATTGCATATATGAAAGCCACTCGTATCTCATTCTCAGGCATGCCGAGCAAAAGAAATTAGCAGTAAAGGGGACACTTGGTTAGAAAGATTTTCCAGTATTTCAACTCTGGGGATGACTTTCCCAAGTAAGATACCCACAATTCTGAAAGAAGAGAGAGCAGACTCCCAAAAAGTGACATGAATCTTCCCTGGAGTGGCTGTTACAAAGTGGACAAGTTTCATCTTGAGGATCATTCAAAACCCCCAGAATTTCAAATATAACAATTTTCATGTTAGTTTGAATTGCCAACAAGAATCTCTAATGTTAAGGTCCTGGGAAAGGCTCGGTTTATATGACAGTAGTGTTCATTGAAAAATTCCTTATACAAGTAGAACCTCTCTGCTTTTCACCTTATTCACAGCTTCTTCTCGATGTACTTTGTTTATTTTGTAAGGAAGCACTAAAAGGTCCGAGAGATTCTCCCGAACACTGGAGTTTTGCCAGGGGCATGAGTATTCTTTCTAGTTATCTGTAGAGCGATTATTTTAGGCAGTCGATCATCTGGGAGGCTCAGTATCTTTGACATATATTTTAGATGGAGGGATAAGGTATACGAGAATAGAGGAGGCAAACAGGATTCTAGCGTTAGCTAGGTAGAATAGCTGAAAAGTTTTTTAACAAAAAAAAAGTTGAAATTTTCCCACAACCTCATAAGACTGGAAACCCCATACTTGAGCGCCATAACATACCACTGCGCGCAGGACCCTATTATAAACTTTTAGTTTGGTTACGGTACAAGCTTGTTGTGAAATAGATTTACCCAGACACAGTTTAAACCTGTTTTTGCAGCCGAAATTCTTGCTTCAAATGGTGAGATAGGGAAAGACGCAGAGTAAAAATAACTAAATAAATAAGGTTATAAAACTATTTTTCTGAGGCTGCTGGTTTACCCCCATTACAGAAGATAATAATTTTTGACTTTTTTTTAATTTACAGATAAGTTCCAAAGATCACAAAAGGACTCAAAAATTTGAATATTATTTTGCAAACTAGCCGGACTCTCAGCAATTAAGACTATATCATCCGCATATAATAATATTTTTATTTTAACAAGAATTCCTCCTTCTATTAGATTAACAATATCGTTCACAAAAAGGGCCAATAACACCTTGTTCAGTCAATCATGATTTGAATGTTTTCTTCTTAAATATAAAATTTTTATTATTAATTTTTTTTTTTTTTAAATAGATCTTCATCTCTATTGTCATAAACCATGTGGAAAGTATAGTGGAGGCAATAAGAGGAAGCTGTGCACAGCTATAGCTCTCATAGCCGATCCTCCAGTCATACTTCTTGATGAGCCAACGACCGGTGTCGACCCCGTGACAAGGCGAAAGCTTTGGAAGGTGTTCAAGCAGATCCAGTCCAACGACCAGACGATCGTTTTAACATCACATAGGTCAGCGAGTCAGCAATGCCTTGTTAAATAGAAAATGCAATGTTTTTTAAATTTTTTTCCAGCATGGACGAATGCGAAGCCACTTGCGACAGGCTGACAATAATGGTTGGCGGCGCTATGAGGTGCATCGGTACGATTCAATACCTCAAGCAAAAGTTCGCCCAAGGTTTCACCATATTCATCAAAATCGACGTCCTCACTTCAGACGAAGAAGTCGAAATGATTAAAAACAAGGTTGTCACTCTTTTCGGCCACTATTGCGAGCTTAAAGACGAGTTCAAGGTATTCGTGACTGATCCGATATTCGATATTCCGATTGTGTAATTTTTCTTTTTCAACAGGGATTTCTTCATTACCACCTCAGCGACCTCAGCTACAAGTGGTCGCAACTCTTTGAAAAGATGGAAAGCCTCAAGAAGGATTGCGATAAGATCGACGAGTACATGCTCAGCGACACAAGCCTGGAACAGGTTTTCCTGACCCTGTCCAAAGAGCAGAAAGCCCAAGCTGACAATTGAACTTAAACGCGCTCCTTCTCAATATATGCATTTTAACCAAAGAATTGTGGTACACTTGATGCCTTAGTTACTTATGCTTAGTATTTATATTGTATGAGCAAATTTTTAATAATTTATTCCTATTTTTCCAGTGTATATTTTTTTAATGTAAAAGCTATTAATACTTAATTAATGAATGTTGCCTTTACGCCTGAGTGTATAATATATAAAAATGTTCAATAATGTGTTGTTTTTATTTTTTTGTTACCTTTTTCCGCAAACAAAGATATAAAATTCAATCAAAACATTTTTTTTTAAATTTAGTTAATTAAGGTTTTAAGTTGAGATAAAAAAGTCAGTGTCACGAGCGGGATTCGAACCCATGACTTTCGGCTTGATACGCTGCTACTCTACCACTTGAGCTAATTAATAACATTCAATTAATTAAGGTTTTAAGTTGAGATAAATATATTGCCCAAGGGGATTGAAGTCACGATAGCTCAAGTGGTTAGAGCAGTGGCATATCAAGCTGAAGGTCGTGGGTTCGAATCCCACTTGTGACTGACTTTTTCATCTCAACTAAAAACCTTAATTAATTGAATGTTATTAATTAGTTAAGCGGACCGAAAAATAGTGAATTTTTTTTTAATGGTTGAATTTATACACTGACAGGCAAAAAATTCTATCCACTGGTAATATATCTTGTATATAATTTTTTTTAACGTTTAATAATTGAGTCTTTGTCTACAAAAGTAAAAAAAAAGTAAATTGCTAATGATAAGGAAAATTAAAAAAAGACAGACAAATTTGTTTTAGATTTTTAATTAACATTTCAATATCGCGTATTTCCTCCTTTTGCCTTAATTAAATCTCAAAGATGCCTCGGCATACTTTCTACCAGCCTGGAAATGTCTCTTTGCTGGAGATTTAGCCCATTTTTCACAAAGAGACCTTTCAAGATTGTGGAATGAATCAGGAATTGATGGATGTGCTTGTATTCGTCTTTTGAGGCTATCCCATAAATGTTCGATGGGGGGTCAAGTCTGGAGAACAGGCTGGCCAGGCTAAGACGCTGATTTTATGCTGTTGAAGGTACGTTTGTACCATGTGAGCTACATGTGGACGGGCACTATCGTGCATTAGAACAGGATTGTCGCTGATTTCATCGAGTTTAGGCAGCGCATGATGTTTCAAAATTTCTTCCACATAGCGAGTGGCCGTCAAAGACGCTCAACGACAACAACCAGCTCTGTGCGACTCTCCATTGAAATTCTCGCCCACACCATCACTGGGCTACGTTGAAAAGGTCGACTCTGGGAAATATTACAAGCGTCATACCTTTCATTTCGCCTTCACACTCTTTCACGCCCATCTGGAGATCATAGAGCAAATCTACTCTCATCTGTAAAAAGTACAGCAGACCAATCGTCCAAAGACAAATGGTCGTGTTCTCGAGCAAATGCGAGCCGTGCAAGTCAGTGTGCTCTGGTCAATTCTGGTCTTTTTGAGGGGTGAAAAGCCATTTAATGATTTAATCTTCTTCGAGCAGGGCTTTTAGAAATTTGTTGTTTGTCATGCTGTTTCATCTCAGTTTGTCTTTATATATAGCTTTTTCAAAAGATATATGACCATTTTGCAACTGTAATTTAAGTTTATTAGTATAAAAAAATTACTATTACTTTTAAGTAATATTTAAAAAAAGAAAAGTTTACTTGCTGACGAATATTTTTTACAACTATTTAACTTCAGCTTAAAGAATAATACTAAATTTTTATATTTAATTTTGGGTCTTTTTTATAAAATAAACGTTTACATGCTTTTTATTTTCCGCTTTATTTTTACATTACATTTTTTGGAAATTTTCACCCATCATCGGAATCTACATGTATCTAATTATTAACAAAAAAAAATTCAATTTGTTTTTAAATTTTTAAAAAGATTTATGACCATTATGCATCTGTACTTTAAGTTTATTTATATAAAAAAGGGTATTATTTTTAAGTAATATTACTTAACAATATCTTTTATATAACTTGTAACTGGGTGTATTTACCTGTGAAGATAAATAAATTTTGGGGGGGCGTCGGTGGCCACAGCGGTTGAGATTTGACACGGCGCTCATCGCTGTAAGGTAGAGGTCCGGGGTTCGAATCCAACGGCCCTGCATTCGAACCCGACACTTACATACTTACCAATGGGCTTTTCTTCAAAAACACCGGCACCTTGAGGGTTTATATGACCTCTGCTCTTGCGAACACTTGTAAAAAGAGAAAGGGGAAAAATTTTTAACATAAATGGTATAGAATTGTACCGTATGGGTTTATAAATGATAAAGATGGGATTATGTTGTTTAATTTATGTTAGTATTACATTAAATTTTTTTTGACATTTCGGGAATTTTCACCCATCAGAATCTACATTTATTTAATTATTTAAAAAAATCGAATTTATCATTATATACAGCTTTTTTGAAAAAGATTTATGAACAATTTGTATCTTTAATTTAAGTTTATTCATATAAAAAATTAGTATTATTTTTAAGTAATATTTAAAAAAGAAAAGAAACTTGCTCAAAAATATTTTTTCTTTCTTAAACATTACTTAACCAATAGCTCTTATACAAGTTGTAACTGGGAGTATTTACCAGTGTAAATAAATAAATTTTAACTTTTAAACGGTACATAATTGAATGTTTAATATTTTTTTAAAAGATAGTTCTTAGTTTTTAAATTATTATATTTTTTAAATTATTTTCTTAAACTATGAGTAAGAACCCTATGGGTTTATCCTTGTTTAATTAGTTGTGTCAGATTCCGTCGGATGCGTTCGTATCGTCGGTTAACCACCACGGTCTCTGTTGCCTGCCTCGTCCACCTCAAAATGGTTGTCACAATAACGTCAGCCAGTCGCAGTTATGTTTAGTGGGAGCGGACCGGATCCGAACGATTTATGGCGAAGCCGTCGGCCGTTCCTCTTTTGAAAAATGCAAAACAGTTTCAAATCAAAAGAGATGTTCATCGTCAAGGCTTTAGAGAGGATCCTCAGCGACAAGGACATCAAGAAGTCGCACCATTCACAGTTGAAGACCGCCTGTGAGGTGGCATTAGGTAATTCTTATGCAACGATCCGCCGTTTTTCCCATTTTTCGTTTTAATTTTTTTTTTGTGTTCTGTTTTCCGCTTTGGACCCTACCGTCAACCGGCCAGGTTGCCTAATTTGCCGTATTACCTTTTTAGATGATATAAGGAAAGAGCTGAAGGAGGGCGATATCGAGGATCCTTCGTCCTCGACCCTCCCGCTCCCGAGGGAAGGGAACGACATCGTCTCGGCTGAAAAGTACTTCTTGCCTTTCGAACTCGCCTGTCAGAGCAGGTCGCCGAAGATAGTCGTCACCGCTCTCGACTGCCTGCAGGTATCACACTGATAGTGGATAAATTGTCTAAAAATTACCCTTTTGACTGTAGAAAAATTGGACGGAAAATGACCAAGACAGCCATTGTTCGTTCTCTACTGCCCCCTGTTAAAATATACACACTGATAAGATAACAGCTTTGATACGTCAACAATAGTATGATTTGGTTAAGTTTCTAAATCGTATATTTTATTCAGCAATAATGCCATGATTCGTTTAACATCACAACTAGTAACTTCCAATGATATGATTAGGTAGAAAAAATTAGCCAAAAAATGACCAAGCGGCCATTTTCCATGCTCCGTGATAACACTAACTTTTGCTCTGCCAACTTACAGTATGATTTGGTAAAGTTTTTAAATTGTATGTTGCACAATAATGCCTTGATTCATTTGCCACCATCATGTCAAAATTATAATGAAGAATTAATGAGCATCAATGATTTGAAAAAGTAGAAAAATAATTGGCCACAAAACTACCAAGCGGCCATTTTCCATCCTCCGTGATAACACTAACTTTTGCTGCGCCAACTTACAGTATGATTTGGTAAAGTTTTTAAATTGTATGTTGCACAATAATGCCTTGATTCATTCGCCACCATGTCAGAATTATAATGAAGAATTAATGAGCATCAATGATTTGAAAAAGTAGAAAAAAATTGGCCACAAAACTACCAAGCGGCCATTTTCCATGCTCCATGATAACATTAACTTTTGCTCCGCCAACTTACAGTATGATTCGGTAAAGTTTTTAAATTCTATGTTGCACAATAATGCCTTGATTACTTTTTTCAATTAATTATTCTTTTTATGTAACGTCTTGGTTGAGATGAAAAAGTTAGTGTCCCAAGCGGGATTCGAACCCTTGACGGCTATGGGAGTGGGTCCGATTCCCACTCGTGGCACTAACTTTTTCTCTCAACCAGGGCCTTACATGAAAAGAATAATTAATTGAAGGAAGTAATTTGGTCAATTAGACCACTAAACATAATGGATTTAATAAGTAAAAGAAGTATTGCTTTACTAACAGCTTCCCGTGGCCATTTCATAAGTCGCTGCGAATCGAATCCTGATTTCACATTTGAAAAATAGGTAAATAAAATTCAAAAGGTGGGGTTGAGATGGGGAGTTGGTGTCCGAGTGGATTGAAGTCATAATAGCTCAAGTGGTAGAGCAGCGGCTTATCAGCCGAAGATCGTGGGTTTGAATCCCGCTTGTGCCAGTGACTTTTTCACCTCAACCAAGTCACCTAAAAAGAATAATTAATTAAAAGATATGAAAAATTAAAAAAAATATTAATAAAAAAACTACCAAGTGGCCATTTTCCATGCCCTATTGCCTCCCTGTTAAAATAAATACAGTGATAAGAGAACCAACTTTGATACGTCAACATCAGTATGATTAGTATTAGTAAAGTTTTTAAATTGTATGTTGCACAATAATGCCTTGATTCATTTGCCACCTCATGTCGGAGTTATAATGTATGAATGAGTGTCAGTAATATGAAAAAGTGTGTAGAGATTAGTGACCGTTAATCGATAGTTATTCAGATATCGTGAGATGCAGTCGGGTGTGATGTAGGTTTCAGAAAAACAGTTTCGATCTTTTATTGAGATCATCTTCAGGGCTCAAGTGTGCACTCTCAACACGACACACAAGGATGGCACAATTACACAGAAGACAAACACTTTGAGCCCTGAAGATGATCGCAATAAAAGATCGAAACGTTGGCACGATAAAGAAAATGTTTTTCTGAAACCTACATCACACCCGACCGCATCTCACGATATCTGAATAAATATGAAAAAGTAGAAAACAAATTGGCAAAAAAACTTCCAAGAGGCCATTTTTCATGCTCTACTCACTGCTCCCCTGTTAAAATAAATACACTGATAACCCTAACTTTGATGTGCTCACTACAGTATGATTTAGTAAAGTTTTTACACAATAATGTCTTAATTCACTTCATGTCGGAATAATGAAGAATTAATGTGTGTGGTTATCCATGGTATGTGGAAGGCTCAAAGATAGGAAATTTTAGGGCACAGTCATAAAGGGTGTAGAACTTATTGGGTCTGGCTGGAGGATGACAGTGATACGAAAAAGTTAAAAAAATTGGCCCGAAAACTACCAAGACGGCTACTGCCCCCTGTTAAAATTTGACAAGATAGTTTTACAAAATTAGTATCGACTAAAGGGAGTAGTTAGATGGATAAAGGTATTTTATATTATCAGTGATATTACATCATGATAAGCATTTCTCTCACTCTCTCTATTCTCCGTGTCCCTTTCTTTCTCACCCCTTACACTTTTTTTTCTTACCCATTTATTCTCTCNCTCTCTCTCTCTCTCTCTCCCTCCCTCTCTCTCTCTCCCTCCCTCCCTCCCTTTTGTATTATATTTTTCTTAGGTGCTTCTATTCTTCTTCCGAGAGATAAAATAACCCCTTATGTTTACAAATATTGAATTGAACCATTTCCGTCAGTTTGTTCACTCTTTCCTACAACCTATCTTATTTTTTATCTCGACCTACTCTATTCAACAGAAGGGGAGACATCCAAAAAATTTTGGTTGTCTCCGTCTGTGGACACACAATTCCACAGACGGAGACAACCAAAATTTTTTGGATGTCTCCCCTTCTGTTGAATAGAGTGGGTCAAGATAAAAAAATAAATTTTAATACAAACTGTAGAATATAATAAGAATAACAAGATAAGATTATATAGTTTTTATCTTACTTTCTTTCTGGTATTGTTTTCCTTACATGATTTAAATTTAAATTCAAATTTGTTCATGTAAACAAGGCCCCGCCTCGCCAAAGATTGACTTGATGCCTAGTATAGGAAAATTAAAGCTTATCAAAATGCTAGAAGGGAAAATTTTTAAAAGAATGTAAAGCCATTAAAAGTATACATCAGAATTAAAACCTTACATGTAGTAACTGTACATATAAAGTCAGCTAGAAAAATCTCTCCTTAGAGGACACCTTCCAAACAAGGACAAAAGTAGTTATACAGTGAGTGTCCGATAGCAAGAGGATTTACTGTATTACTTTACATTAATAATTACATCTTATACTCACTCACTCTCTTACAATATTTTTAGAAATTAAAATTGTGAACGTGTATGCTTCTGTTATCTTTGATATGTAATCTTGTGAACATTTGAACTTTTAGTGAAGCTGATAGCCCATAAAATAAAAACTTGATTATTTGGTTGTATTGTTCTGGTTATGTTAGTTTAAATGATTTATCGAATCATGGTTTTATTCGCTTATATGTTCGATCAGTATTGAGGATTTTATGCTTTTTAAAAAAAAATTCTTTTATATTTTATATAAGGAGCTTATAAAATAAAGGTAACTTCTGTTATCTCTTTGAAAGAGTCGGGATGTTAAAAATCCATCTCACGGTTGATAAAAATTTATGATCCGGTATCTTTCATATTGACAAGATATTGTCGAGGCTGAGAAAATCAATTGTTCACGCTAAGCAATATTTTTTTTTTTTTTTTAATCATTCTATACTTTACAGTAGCAAAATAGGCAAAGGAATCATTAAAAAAAAATCAATTCCAATGAACTAATAATTATATATTTTTGAGAATGTTTTATAAATGAAATTTTGGTCGGAATATAACGTAAGTAGAATCAATGTCGTTGCTATTTTAAACGTTGGCTGAAGGCAATATGTCAAACTATTATATAATGCATAGAAATAATCAATAAGATCCTATTAGTACATATTGACCCGAGCTTAGTCAATGGCGTGAATTGTAATTGAAAATTATTGTTATAATTAATATGATTTGTTTTCAAAAGATAAGGTGATACTAATTTCTTTTATTGTTATGCTTAGATATGATTTAGATCAATTAAAAGTGTTAAATTTTGTTTCTATATTAAGAAGAAATGCTCACTTGTGCATAAGTTTTTTTAAGTTTTCAGAAAAAAAGTCAAAATTTCAAAATATACTCAAAAACAAAAACTTGTATTGATGTTAGTTTTCCATAATAACGAGGTATAAATATTAATAGTTAATTTAAAACGTAAGCACAACATTAATTAATTGTTGTTTATTTTTATAAAGAAGTTTAAAGTTTTATACGTTCAATTGTACCAGTGTAAAGAAAGCAAATAAAAACAAACGAAAAACAACTCAAGGTCATCGGCAGAATATTAAGTACTACAATTAATTAAGGTTTTTCTTTTCTTTTTTTCTTTTTTTTTCTTTCTCCTTCGCAGCATGCGGAAGCCCGAAGGGGCAGGCAAGGCGCAGCCGGAAAGCAAGAGAATGCCCAAGCCTGCCTAAGGGGACCAGCACTCACTTATTTATTTCTCAAAANAAAAAAAAAAAAAAATGGCGGATGCTCAAACGATGCCAAAAAAAAAAATTAAGGTTTTTAGTTGAGATGACAAAAAGTTAATGGCACGAGTGGGATTCGAACCCACGATCTTCGGCTAGATAAGCCGCTGCTCTACCACTTGAGCTATCGTGACCTCGATCCACTCGGACATCTTCCTATCTCAACCCCACCTTATGAGTTTTCCCTCCTTTTTGCTATTTTTCATTCCTTTTTTTCATCTCAACTAAAAACCTTAATTAATTGTAATGATTTAATTGGTCAAGCGGACCACAAAATTAGTGAAATTAAGTACTACGGTGGCCCCCTTTTTATCATTTATTTGTACATAGTAGCATGTGTGCAGACAAATGAGTATTTATTAGCATGATTGATGATGGTACTTTAATTGGAATTGGTGTGACTGAGAACAGACAATTTGTCGTATTCTGTTCCTAGGCTTAGTCTTGTATAAATGAGAGGAGTGGTCATCGGCGGAATATCAAGTACCTTGGTGGCCCTCAAATTATTCTTAATTGTTTGTAGTACGGTGTGTGAGTAGACAAATGAGTGTATTTATTAGCGTGTTGTAAGTTTATTGGTGAGTGAATGAATATCGATTCTACGTGTGTAAAGGGTGCAGATATGTCCCGGTTGCAACCGTAAGTGGAAAATGCTGAAATATTAAAAACCCAGATAGGAAAAATGTGTGCCGGTTATGACCTAGCTGACTATTACTATTACTTTCATATCGTTTATTGATTGTTGAATGGTAATTTATTAAATTATTTGTAGAAATTAATTGCCTATGGCCATTTGACTGGGAACATTCCTGATTCGACAACCCCCGGTAAATTGTTGATCGATAGGATTGTTGAGACGATTTGCAATTGTTTCATCAACCCACAGACGGACGAGAATGTACAGCTGCAAATCATCAAGGTAACGATTTCGGTGGCAAAGTAAAATCGACATTAGCACAGCTTGTTTGGAACGTTACAGGCCGTCCTTACCGTTTCGACGTCTCAGCACGTCGAGATACACGAAGGTACCGTCCTTCTCAGCATCAAGACCCTCTACAGCATCTACATCGGGAGCAAGAACCTAATCAACCAGACGACCGCCCGGGCGACACTGACTCAGGCGATAAATGTCATCTTCGCCCGCATGGAGGCCCAGGCGGTCGAGGAGGTGGAAAAACTACGTGAAGTCCCTCCTGAAGAGTCAGAGCCGACAAGTGCAGAGGTTGTTACTCAAATTTTGAACAGTATTGTCGATAACCTTCCGAGTGAGTTTAATAATTTTTTTAACATCAATAATTATTAAACCTAGACTTTATTATTATTTTTTAAAATTGTTATTACAGTTCTGGACAATCAAGATAAACAGGCTAACACGGAAGAGCCAGAACCTGCTCACAATCATATTCAGTCTAATTCTTTAAATAGAGTGCCTTCACAAGTGAGTGAAGTAAGTTTTAATTTTGTCTGGATTAAATTTTTTTTTTCTTTAAAAAATATATAAAGATAATATATGATCATTACTGATAATTTTGGTCTGCCAATCTTCACTGAGTTGGACTGTCAGATAACTTTTGGCATTTCACTATTTTTTGTGTTGGTTCCCAGACCAGCGAGGATAGGTAAAATGTTCGGTTACGACCCGGTTCACCATCGCACAGCCAATACATAGGATTTTACAATAAATTATGTGTTTCAGGACAGCATGGATGTTGGCGAAGTTATAACAGCAGGGGTCGGTGCTGACGGCGACAATAACAAAATCCAAGCCCATTTTACTCACATACTTCAAAAAGATGCATTCCTTGTTTTCAGAACGCTTTGCAAACTGTCAATGAAGCCTTTACCGGACGGGATGATAGATCCTAAGTAAGTCGTAGAGAACAAAAAAAAAAAAAAAAAAAAAAAAAATGAATACAATAAAAAAATAATTTCTAGGTGTCATGAACTGCGTTCGAAGATACTCTCGTTGCACCTGATACTTTCGATTCTGCAGTCGGCCGGGCCGGTTTTCAGAACGAACACGATGTTCGTGTCGGCGATCAAGCAATACTTGTGCGTCGCCCTTTCGAAGAACGGCGTCTCGTCTGTGCCGCAGGTGTTCGAGCTGTCGCTTTCTATATTCCTGGCGCTCCTCGAGAAGTTCAAGATGCACTTGAAGATGCAGATCGAGGTTTTCTTCAAAGACATCTTTCTGAACATTCTTGAGACGTCGAGCTCGACTTTCGAACACAAGTGGATGGTGATACAAGCGTTGACTCGGATATGCGCCGATGCTCAAAGCGTCGTCGACATGTATGTCAACTACGACTGTGATTTAAGTGCCGCTAATTTATTTGAAAGGTAAATTTTCTTTACTATACAAACAATAACTATTTTAAACCTCAATACTTAAAATTTTCTGTTTCTTGATTTTTATTTTAAATTGAAGTAAGTTTAACTTGAGAATTTCCTTTTATTCATAGAGTATATTATATTCAATCACTTTTACTTGATTGAATAATACCAAAACAAATGTATTTAAGGTTTTTTTGTGTTTTCAGATTGGTGAATGATTTATCAAAAATTGCGCAAGGGAGACAGGCACTCGAGTTGGGAGCGACGCCGAATCAAGAAATGTCCATGAGGATCAAAGGTCTCGAGTGTTTGGTGTCGATTCTCAAATGTATGGTCGAATGGAGCAAGGATCTTTACGTAAACCCAAATCTAAACGCCAGCCTTGGTATATTAGTGAAATTAAGATAAAAAAAAATTAAAAAAAAAAGGCCCATCATCAAGCATAGATTATTTTCAGGTTTGGAAACAAAGACAAACCATGATGATTCAAGTACGCCTAAGACGAGTCTAAGGTCGTACGGAAGTGTCAGCTCTCTCGGGAGCGAAACGGGAAAACAGGACGTACCGCAACAGCTCCAGCAGTTAAAACATCAAAAAGAAATCTGGGAAACTGGAATTGAAATGTAAACTTTTTTTTTTTTTATCGCCTTTGTTTTATTTATTTATATGACAATTTGACAGGTTTAACCGTTCGGGGAAAAAAGGCGTGGTCTATCTGCAGGAGCAAGGCGTCCTCGGTAAATCGACCGTCGAGGTCGCCGACTGGCTCCACTCGGACGAAAGGCTCGATAAGACAGGAATAGGTGATCTTCTAGGTGACAACACGGATTTTGCCAAAGAAGTCATGTACAAGTACGTCGACCAGATGGACTTCAGCGGCAAGGACCTCGTCGCCGCTCTGAGACAATTCCTCCAGGGTTTCAGGCTTCCGGGCGAAGCGCAAAAAATCGACAGGCTGATGGAGAAGTTTGCAAGCAGATACTGCGAATGCAATCCAAAGTAGTAAAACATAAAATCGTGTTTATTATAAAATTCTAAATATATTTTTATTCCTAGCAATGGACTTTTTGCAAGTGCTGATACTGCTTATGTTCTCGCTTACTCTATTATCATGTTGACCACTGACCTCCACTCACCGCAGGTATCTCTTTAAATATTTTCTCAGTTTTGTTTAAAAAATATTGACCATATTGTCAATACTGGTGCTATATATGTGATACTTGATCTCATGTAGTATCAGACTGATCACCAATTTTTTTTCTTAACTCATGGAATTATTATCAGATTATTGTGATCGGCATAAAATACTGCTTGTGCTTTCTATACAAGGCTTTAATTAAACGAAATTTTTTTTTGTAGGTCAAGCATAAAATGACAAAGGAGCAGTACATTAAGCTAAATCGAGGCATAAGCGATTCTGAAGACCTGCCCGAAGAGTATTTAAGCAATATTTATGATGAGATTGCAGGGCATGAGATAAAAATGAAAGCGACCAACAAACCGGGCAAACAAGGTAAGACGATCTCATTGTCAGACGGTCCACCGTTACAACGTACGTTTAACATAGCAAAGCTATTCACGTTTAAATTAAATTAAGGCTTTTTTCGACATGCTTCCCGTAAATCAGGGAAACAAGGTATTTACCCGAGAAATAATTTTCACTGTCAAAGTCTGATTCGATTTTATCCAAAATTTCAGTGATCGCAAATGAAAAGAAAAGGAAACTTCTCTGGAACATGGAGATGGAGGTGATATCGACCGCGGCGAAAAATCTTATGGAATCAGTCAGCCACGTCCAAGCGCCGTTCACTTCGGCGAAACATCTCGAACACGTCAAGCCGATGTTTAAGGTGGTTAATTTTTAAACTAAAAGTTTTCATTATCAATCATCGGGTTTTTTTCTTTCATTTGTAGCTTTCGTGGACACCGTTTTTAGCGGCGTTCAGCGTAGGTCTTCAAGACTGCGACGACCCGGAGATCGCCGCCCTCTGCCTCGAGGGTATACGGTGCGCGATTAGAATCGCTGCAATATTCCACATGACGGTAATTAATTCAAATCATTTAACATGTTCAAGAAAGCATTTTAAAACAACTTCGCTTAAATAATTTTGATTTTTAGCTCGAACGAGACGCGTATGTTCAAGCATTGGCAAGATTTACGCTTCTAACTGCAAACTCGCCTATCACAGAGATGAAAGCAAAGAACATAAATACAATCAAAACATTGATTTATGTTGCACATACTGATGGTATGTTTTTTTAGTGGTTTTATTTAATTTTTCAATCATATTTTTTTTTTTTTTTTTTTTTTTTTTTAAAGGAAACTACTTGGGATGTTCTTGGTTGGACATAGTTAAATGTATCTCGTCTTTAGAACTCGCCCAGGTAGCAGGGACTTCAATAAAGCCCCAGTACTTTCCAAATAATAAAGCAGTCGATATTTTGTCAATTAAGCTTAACCTCGGTTCACTCGATCGTAAGTGAAATAATTAATTATATAAGTAAGGGTTTTTGATATTTAATTTTTAATTTTTTACAGCGAGCGTTAAAGAGTCAATAGGCGAGACAAGTTCTCAGAGCGTGGTCGTCGCAGTTGATCGTATATTCACTGGATCTCTACGCCTTGACGGTGATGCCATTGTTGACTTTGTGAAAGCTCTATGCCAGGTATTAATTTAGTTAAAATTGCTGAATTGAATTAAAAAAAAAAAAAATGTTTATTATTTTAAGGTGTGCGCAGAGGAGTTGAACCACCCGTCGGGTCCTAGGATGTTCTCGTTGCAGAAGCTTGTTGAGATATCGTACTACAACATGGAAAGAATACGTCTGCAATGGTCGAAGATTTGGCAGGTCCTCGGCGAACTGTTCAACACAGTCGGATGCCATCCGAACGTCGACATCGCTATATTCGCGATCGACTCGCTGAGGCAGTTGTCCATGAAATTCATTGAAAAGGGTGAATTTCCCAATTTCAGGTTCCAGAAAGATTTCCTCCGTCCTTTCGAGCATATCATGAAGAAAAGCACGTAAGTTCAATTTTTTTTTTTAAAGTATTAATTTAAATTTTTTAATAATTTGTCTGTATTTTTAGTAACCCTACGATAAGAGACATGGTTGTGAGGTGTATAGCGCAGATGGTCAATTCGCAAGCGCACAATATTAAGTCCGGCTGGAAGAACATCTTCAGCGTATTTCACTTGGCGGCTTGCGATCATGAGGAGAACATAGTAGAAATGGCTTTTCACACAACAGCCCATATTATAAGTGTGTTTTTATTTTTTATTTATTTTTAGTGATAATTTATCTTTGTAAAAGCAATGTTTTTTTACATTTCAGAACATCTTTACGCCGAACATTTCAGCGTGATGCTTGACAGTTTTCAGGATGCCGTCAAATGCCTGTCGGAGTTTGCGTGCAACGCGAGTTTCCCCGATACAAGCATGGAGGCGATCCGTTTGATCCGATCCTGCGCGGACTGCGTACACGACAAACCTTACGTAAATTTCGAAAAAAATATCCCATCGGGAAAAGTGTATTTAAAACAAAAATATTTTAGGTGGTTTCTGAACACTGGGACAATAGCGAGGACGGCCCGTGGGTGCGAGGCTGGTTCCCTCTTCTATTCGAGCTTTCCTGCATCGTCTCAAGGTGCAAACTCGACGTCAGGACGCGTGCGCTTACGATTCTATTCGACATCGTCAAGACGCACGGGCAGGCCTTCAAACCTCACTGGTGGTGTGACCTTTTTCAAGTCCTCTTTAGGATTTTCGACAACATGAAACATCCCGAACTGCAGTCAGACGTAAGCCACGCTAACATCACGTGATCGCTTGCCACTCATTACTTTATTTACTTGAAATTTTTTTTATTTATTTTTTCCTTTGTCATTTTTGTTTCCTCGTTATTCAGTAGTTATAATTATTACAGCCGAAATCGACGGATCCAAAACTCGAGGAAAACACTGAGTTGATCGGAATGACGGTATGTACTTAATTAAAACGGAGTGTGTATACAATACCTGGGCGGCTTTTTTCTTTAAACTCGGGGTTTTCTCATTTATTTTAGTTTTATGTACATATTAAATGGTAACTAAAGGAATGGTTATATCTAAATTTTAACAATGTATTTGTTTTTAATGGGAAAAAAGTTCTTCTTGATTGATAGCATTTGGGTTGAACCACACAAATACAACCGGTATAAAGAAAAAAATACCTAATCAACATAATTCAGTGTTTTTTGTTGTTTAAAATGTTCGTTATGGCACTGATTTGTAAAGATCAAAATACGAACAAAATCCCCCCTCAAAAAAAAAAAAAAAAACAACAAAAAAATTGTAAAAAATTTCAAAAAAATGAATTTGAAAAACTGTCTTCCTAGCTATACTAAAGGCCTGTACACCGATTCAATTCCAAAAATACCCCTAACACCCTACAAACTTTGAAAAGCTGGATTTTCTCTAGAAGGGTGTATCGTTCTGGAACGAGGTATAGGGGAAAGGTTTCCAAAATGACAGCCATAACGAACACGTCAAATTAAAATATTTTTACACGACTATAAAGATAGAAGGCAGAAAATTATAACGATAGTTGAACATCAGAATGAGGAATCGTCCTAATAGAACCTGAGATATCAAGTAATATTAATTAATAAGATTATGCAGAAATCGTGAGATGCGATCTGGTGTGATGTAGGTTTCAGAAAAATATTTTCTTTGTCGTGCTAACGTTTCAATCTTTATTGAGATCATCTTCAGGGCCTGGGATTTACAAACATAGTTTAAATTTAACAAATACATGTAGGATGTGGAAAAAAGTGAATTTGTTAAATTTAAACAATGTTTGTACATACCAGGCCCTGAAGATGATCTCAATAAAGATTGAAACGTTGGCACGATAAAGAAAATGTTTTTCTGAAGCCTACATCACACCGCATCTCACGATTTCTGAATAATCATCTACTAACGGTCACTAATCACCACACATTAATTAATAAGGTAACATGAAGAATCAGATAGTCTCATAAATAGTTAACCTGTCATACTCATAGCGTAAAATTTCATAACTATATAACCCATGTTCTTTTAAAGGGGGAAAATACATTTATTTTATTTTTTGTATACAGTGAAACCCCCTTTGTAACAAAACATGCAAGAAAGTAGTGTGTTTGTTTTAAATTTTTATTTTTATTATTATTTTTTTTTTTAAATGATCGTAACAAATATTTTTACATATAGCCATTATAGAGGGGTTTTAAATGTATACAAATCCTATCTTTTTTACCGAGGAACGGAAAAGTTGTTCTGATCGTTTGAACAAATACATTTTATCGAGATATGTACGAAAACAATTTTGAGTAATAAGGAATTTTCAAACAGCGGCATGATAAATCATACTTTTTCCTAATTCTAAAGCATTTTTTTTCTAATATTTTGTAAGTATTACGGTTGAACGCGCATGAGTTTATTTTACCGCATACTTTGGTACATTTTTTAAAAAAAGATTTTGGACAATATTGGGGCATGTGCATGACCTGGTTGCATCTCTTGACGAATATGACGCCTAAGGTGTATTGCTCAAATTTTTTCCTCTCTTGATTACACCAGTATTATCTCTTTAATAGAATAATTTATTTTCAAAATGTTTCAGGTGTAGGGTTTATTTTAATATTTTAAATTTACAAGGATTGAGGTTTTTCCTGTACAAAATGAAAAGTGCGTAACAATTTTTTTTCCTTCTCATAAAGTTTATATGCACTTGGGTGAGCTAAAATGCACAGGGTGATTTCAAAACTAAAACTTTTAACAAATCTTGAACGATGCTTGAATAACTTTAAAAAAAATTTAATCATAAATGTTAATATTATTAATGGTTACAGAGGATTTTTATAACAAAATTAATCTAACATAATTTAAATAAATATGGGCTTAAAGCCTGTTACGTGCCAACAGAAAGCAGAGTGGATGACGACGACATGCAACCACGCTCTGTACGCCATCGTCGACGTATTTACTCAATATTTCCACATACTGGGCCCTCTGTTGCTCGAAGATCTATACAACCAGCTTCTCTGGTGTGTCAGACAGAGTGAGTCCGCCTCGGTTTTCGTCTTTTATTTTATATATTACGATTATTTCTTTATTTTTATTTTAGAGAACGAGCAGCTAGCGACTTCGGGGACCAACTGCCTTGAAAACCTCGTAATATCAACCGGGCAGCAGTTCACCGAACAGACTTGGGACATGACTTGCCAGTGCCTGCTCAAAATGTTCCAGTCGACAGCGCCGCACGGACTCCTCAAATGGACGCCCGAAGAGAAGAACCACCAGCCGCAGCTCTACTCAATTCAAAACATGGTTCAGCTCGAGCTAATTCAAACCGTCGACAACATCATTTTCTATCCGGCGACTTCGCGAAAAGAGGATCTAGAAAATCTAGCAATGGCCCAGGTACAATGATTATATATTATAGGTTCTACTGTAGTAAATAAAAAATATTATGCATCATCCTATTTAATATAAACTTATAAATATGTCGCATATACCAAATTCTGAGGCATAATGCTTGCTAAAATTCCCCGTTAATGAACAAAAAAAAATCTGAAACATCCTATGCTACATTGTTGTTAACACCTCACACATTTTTCAATGGTAAGGATACAATTTAAACTAATCTTAATTTTTTTTTTTTTTTTTAATAATAAAGGGCGAAGTGGGAGAAGGGTTGGCTGAGACGCAAAGGGAGGAACAGGGCATGTACACCAGTCTCAGCAGTCAGCATCTCATTATGCTCACCGACTGCCTTCTCGAAGTGCACTCGCTCGCTAAACAGTTCAACACGAACCACAATCAGCGCAATCTTCTCTGGAAAGCCGGTAAGAATTTGTATTTCTCTTTATTTCGAAAGAAATATTATCGATTTTTTTTTTTTTAATAAACAGGAATTTACGGCGAAAAGAAGCCCGATCTGATTGCGCAGGAGACGTCGAGCCTCGCCTGCGCTTTACGCATCCTTCTCAAGATGTCGTGCGACGAGGGAAGGAGGGACGCTTGGCCAAAAGTCCAGCACATGTTGATCCAAGTAATTATTCGCGACATCATTTCCTTTTTTAAATTATTTCGCTTTTTTTTTTTTTTTCAGGTGACAAATGATTCCCTATCTTATTTCCTTGCGATACCGTCTGAGACACATCGTACCGTATGGACTTCTTTGTTATTACTCTTTTTTACAAGATTACTCAAAATGCCTGATGAAAAGGTGCGTATTAAACTTTAAAATAAAGACAAATTCTTATAATTTTATATAAAACATCAGGGATAGTTTACCAGTTCCTTTGCCAAGCTTTCGAGTAATATCCGTTTTCATCAGTATTTAGAAACTGTTTCTAATGATTTGCATGATTAAAAAATACAAAACTTTATTTACGATTTTAAACATTGCTTTAATCATAATGAATTTATGAGTATTTCTTCTTAGAGTGGACAAGATCTATCTATCCTATATTACACTTGCAATCTCTGTCAGGTAATCCCAACATTAAAAAAAAAAAAAAAAAAAAAAAAAAAAAAAAAAAAAAAGATTCAGTGATATAAGAAACACAGCAGTTAAGTCTTAATATTCATAAAAAATCAAGCATTTATTTTGATATTTAGTAATCATCCTGATCTGCCTAACGTTACTGGGTTGGTCTGTCAGACGCGTTTTGGTTTTGTCAATCATTTTGTTCAGAGTATGCGACCAATATTGGTTTGTGGGTTTATCCTGGAAACAACAAGGCGAAATCAACAACAGGTTACTCATTAACAAAATATATAAAGTGAGCTGTTTTTCACCAGTCCCTTCTAGAACACATAGCCTATTGTTACATAGACACATTGAAGATGGCGGTAATCCGAGATTTGACCAACCCAGCAAGTATAAGGCAGACCAAAATGATAGTTAACGACCAAATTACCGGTTTATTACCCTGCAGGCTGAACAAATGGGTATTTTTAAAATGGGCGAAAAAGCCGATGTGATGTAATGTAGGGGTAAGCTGAGCTCCGGTTTGAAATTTTGAACGGATTTTTCAACAACATAAAAATGATTAAAACTGGTCGTTTATTTCTTCCCTAACTGATTTTTCTCAAGTGGATTCACTGAGGCAATGATGGGTTTTAATTGAACGCACGTTGTCTTTTACTGGATGAAAAGTCAGCGGGATTTAGAACGTGGTGAAATATACATCGATGAGCATTGTATTTCGGCGATCTCTTCTGCAAGACAGACAGGTTTGAAAGCTAGTAGGCAGTCAGCTATTAAAAAATAAATAAATAAAATAAAACAGTTAAAAAAAATAAAGTAAAATAAAAACCATACCGCATTAACAATTTATCAAAATACCATTTTTTCTTTAGGTGATAGGATAACTGGATGGAAGTAACACTTTTTGTATAAAACAGGCAGGTGGTAGATCTCATCCACTGCACGAAGAAAAACTCATAATTTCTAATTTTGTATTGGTCTGGTGCAAAAATAATGCAGGTTTTGAAAAGGCAGTCAAAACACTTTTTATAAAAATAAAGACAATTTATTCGAAATATTTTCCCTTACAATCTATACATCTTTGCCAACGTGTAATAAGCGCTTTTATTTTGCTGACATAAGAATCCTTATTTCGACTCACGATAAACTCTTGGAAGGCGTTTTGGCACCTTGGCACCGCATTCTGTAAAAAATTTACCCCTCAAGAGTGATCAAAATTATTCAGAAATCGTGAGATGCAGTCTGGTGTGATGTAGATTTCAGAAAAACATTTTCTTTATCGTGCCAACGTTTTGATCTTTATTGAGATCATCTTCAGGGCCTGGGATTTACAAACATAGTTTAAATTTAACAAATACATGTAGGATGTGGAAAAAGTGAATTTATACAATGCAAAAAATATATTTTTTTCATTCAATCAAAGTATTTCTACTCACTCAGTGTTTGTTTTCTGCGTAAGTGTGCCATTCTTGTGTGTCGTGTTGAGAGTGCCGGTGAGATATTGCTGTTTTTTGAAGGCCAACGTTTTTTCCCCTTCGTCAGCTCTTTTCACTCCAATGACACCGACTCCTTATACAAAAATGTCTTTCTACACTGACTTCCTTCCCCACCCCTTCAAAATGATCTCAGTAAAGATTGAAACGTTGGCAAGACAAAGAAAATGTTTTTCTGAAACCTACTTCATACCAGACCGCATCTCACGATTTCTGAATAATCATCGACTAACGGTTACTAATTACCACGCAAATAACCAAACGACATTAACAATAAATCAAAATACCATTTTTTTTGCATGTGATGGGATAACTGGATGGAAGTTACAATTGTTATATATATAAATCAGGCAGGCGGTAGATCTCATCCACTTCAGTCATAAATTCATTCTGGTTAAAGCTATAATTTTTAATGTTGTATTGGTCCGGTGCAAAAATAATGCAGGTTGTGAAAGGGCAGTCAAAACAATTTTTATAAAATAAAGAAAATTTATGTGAAATATTTTCCCTTACAATCTGTACATCTTTGCCATTTTGTAATAAGCACTTTTATTTTGGTGACATAAAAATCTTTATTTTGACTCACGATAAAGTCTTGGAAGGCGTTTTGGCACCGCATTCTGTAAAAAAATTTACCCGAGTGATCAAATGGCTTAAAAAAAAATTGCCTGGCGTGTTATTGTGAAGAAGAATTGGCCTCTTATGGTTTACCAATGCAGGACAACAATCTTGCTGTTTCCCGCACATTTTGTCAATTCCTTGGCTCTGCTGTGAGTTTCACCATAATTCAGGAAATTATAGTGAACAACCTCAGTACATCACCAAACAGTCACCTTTTTTGGGCGCAGATTTGGTTTTGGGAAATGTTTTGGCTCTTCATCCTTGTCCAACTTCTGTCCTGTATGCCTCCTGTTATCGTACAGAATCCATTTCTCATCACACATGATTTGATCGAGAAATGGATCATTTTGGTAAGCTAAGCTCTTGTGCAATTTTCCGTGTTGTCTAATATGAATTTTCTTCGATCAACGTTTTGATTTGGTCGTCGCCCACGACAAAAGGTCTACTGCGACCTTCCTTGTCTTCAAGATTGAAATCTCTGAAACCATCGCTGCACCGTGCATTCGTTAATGCTTCCCCCTCCCAAACTGTATTGATGTTACATGTGGTTTGGGCGTCACTTCGCCCTAGTTTAAATTTGTACAAATAAATTTGATGAAAATCTAGTTTGGACATATTTAATTTTGAAGGTCCTCATTCTTATAAAATTCAATATAAACTAAATTGTTTTCTATAAAAAATAAGAGTTAAAAATATTTATCTTAATGCATAAATTAGGTTTGAGGATTTAGCTTTATGACAAGGACTTGCACAAATAAAACAAATTTTTAAATCCTGCAATAATTTTGCACCAACCCAATAATTAAAGGTTTATATTTGTTAGCTGTTAATATCAAAAGTATGGAATTGAGGAGGAATTTGACTGGTTTTTCTTTCTTTTTTTTTTCTTTCCTTATCCCTGATTTTTTATATTAGGTTGTAATTTATTAAGGCTGATATCAAGCACATAAATCGTTTTTGGTTTTTAGCTCCAAGTTCATATAAACGCGCATTATTTCCTCCTTTGCAACATGATCGCCCTGGACTTGAAACCGGAGCTCAGATCGTTGCTTACGAAGGTGTTTATGCGCGTCGGGCCCCTGTTTTCGATATCGACGTCGCAGTGAAGAAAGTAGCCGTTCGAAGGAAAGAGAAATCACCCGCACTGCATTTAGACTTCTAGTCACCGAGTCGCATCCTCAACAAGCGTACACGAGGACTCGTTAACCGACGGCCAGCCTTTCTTATCCCCTTTCCATCAAACTCCTCCCGTCCCTTTTGTTTTCTCTTGTTATTTAATTTTAATTTTTTTTTAATCATTCACATTTTTTCAAAGCATCAGAGAAAAGTGGCTGTGTCTTTTAAGAAATGTATTATGAATCATAACACTAATAATTTGCTATTAGTTTGTTTGTTATAGTCATAATTGCCTTCATCTGAAGGAGAATCATTTATTATTTAAAAGAAATGAGATTTATATATAAATATATATAATGCTTTTGATAAGTAAGTATTATGTAAAAGAAATATTTATTATGTATTATACTGTTATATAGGTTGATTTAATAGAAAAATATATATTATAATTATCTATAAAAAATCAAAGATTGTGTGTGATAGTGTTATTTATATTGACCTGACGTTTTCACGATGAATTTTTTTATGCAAGCCAAATTTCAACTCCATTTTTCCAACCAACAATAGCATAAGAATTATGATCGTAAACTTTTTAGTTTTCGAGATAAACGTAAAAAAAGAGAGAGAGAGAAAATCAGATTTTTTTTGCATATTTATAGTTGTTTTCAATGTTAAGACCCTGCTGAATCGATTGACATTAGAAATAAACTTGTAAAACTTAGTTTTCGAGATAAATGAAAAAAAAAAACAGAATTTTTTTCAACTTATTTGCAGTTGTTTTCAATGGGAATGACCCTGCTGAGTCAATTGGTGCAAGAATTAAGCTTGTAAAACTGAGTTTTCAAGATAATTAAAAAAAAAAAATCAGAATTTTTTTGATGTATTTGTAGTTGTTTTCAATGGGAATGACCCTGCTGAGTCAATTGGTGCAAGAATTAAGCTCGTAAACTTCTTAGTTTTCGAGATAAATGCAAAAAATAATCAGAATTTTTTTCAACTTATTTGCAGTTGTTTTCAATTTTAACGACCCTGCAAAAATTAATAAGCTCGTAAACCTCTTAGCTCTGAGATAAATGCAATTTTTTTTTGAGATATTTGTAGTTGTTTTCAATTTTAACAACCCTACTGAGGTGATTGTCGCAAGAATTAAGCTTGTATGCATCTTAGTTTTCAAGATGAATGAAAAAAATCCGAATTTTTTTAATGTATTTGTATTTTGTTTTCAATGGAAACAACCCAGTTATGTGCTGAACTGATGGCGTAGGACAAGCTATTGTTGGCTTTCTAGCTAATCTGTATATGCACCTCCTCTACACGGCAGAACTACCACCCGTTTTCGGTGATAGACCTTGCGATTGTACCTGCAGCTCTTGCGCCTCAAATTTTGCTGCCCTTTGCTATTGAGATGAGTACCGCAATCCTTTCCAACACAACTCGTATCTGAGGGTATGCCTAGACGTAGACAGTATTCTAGATGAATACAGTCAAATGCGAAGAGTGAGTTTGCTGCAATCGCTAATAAAATTTTATGGTTAGTTCTAAAGAAGAAATTGATAAAAAAAACAACAAAAAAACTAGTAACTACCATTTATTTATTTATAAACAGGCGAACCTACAACATAATAAGCTAAGATATATGTATACTTACTACACACACACATGTTTAAACTGTCTTGAATAGATTTTCTTGGTTTGTTCTATCACCAAACATTTTTTGGTCTGTTGAAAAGAGTTGGTAAACCAGTCAATATTATTTTGATTATTTGCACTAACCATCGACCTATTCATGGATTGACTGTACTCTATCTTAAACCTCTGGGCAGTACAGTAAAATCATTTTGTTTCCTTAATGTGTACATTCATTAATCCGAATGGACTCAAGAACCTCTTGAGTTCTGAATTTTTCCATTCGCTAGATTTGCAAGGAACATAAGGACGATCATTCTTCTTTTTTCCAGGGTTTGTAATTGTGGTCTTTTCAATTTAGGGTCATAGTTGAGGGGTTCTCTATGAATCTGGAATTTAAATGAGATAAACATCAAAAACTTATTTTGTATTCTGTCTTTTGACTGGGATGAGCGATGGAGACAAGTTTACACTCCTAAATTCTAGTTTGGACTTAACAAATGGAAAAAATAAATAGTTTATTTGATGATAATCAAAGTGTAGTAATCTTTCCGTTTCATAATTAATTGTAAATGTACTTTATAGGACAAAATAATTGATTGACATATTTAAGTTTTTTAACAGGCAATCTCAAATTTCCTTGAAGACCGACTCAGTCGTAACATTGCCAAGGACTGTGACAGTATGGTGTTCCACAGTTTTGGAAAGTATCTGAGCGAGCTTATTCTTTTTAAAGGAACAGATTACATTTTGTATTTCTTTGATCAATCACGGAGAGCTGTTCTTGTTGGGAGGTGGTTTTCTAGAGTTGATTATCATGTTTGAGTCTCCGATATTTTGAAACAGCTCTTTAAGAAGGCCTTAGTCGTTTCTTCTATTGCCAGAGAATGCTTTTTCATAAATTTTATGGACTGTAGTGCATTTTTTATTTTGATTTTGTCCATTGCAAGTTTATAGGCCACCTCCATGGGTTGTCTTTTCCTTCATTTTCATCACTTCCTGTCTTCTGCTTTGGTTTTCCAAATTGCAGTCGAGATTTTTTTCCTGAGTAGTATTTCTTTCAATTTCACACTTGTTGATACCCTCTTCTTTTACTGTTTTCTATGACCTTCATTGTTAACTTCTTCTACCTTTTCCCTCTGCTCTAACGATGGATTTAGTGATGCCATGTTTCTTGTCCAGGTCTGTTATATATCAGTTTTTTTGCATTTCGTCTTCGATTATTAGTATCTGGTAACATTTCCAGTCTGCCGTTTTTAGAATGAATCTTTCGCATTTTGCCACTTCCAATTTCAATTCACTTTATGGTCACTACTTCTCCAGTTTATTTTATTTATTAACTCCTTATATTTTTGATTAAGTTTCCACTGACCAGGTGCTTTTTTCTATTTTAAAAGTTTGAGGTGAATGCTGGTTGTTCATATAAAAAAGCCTGTGTTCATAAAGTATCTTTTTCGCCTTGCAATTTTTTGTCTCCCCAACCTGTTGAGCATGCACTAGCATCCAGTGTTTGACTAGGAGTAGTGGCGTGTACTGTAATCCAGCTACTTGGAGGTCGGGCCTCGAGGATGGTTTGAGTCTGGGAACCACTGTGGTTGGGTGTTTCTACGTTGACCAAGCGTCCGCACAAGCTGATCATCAACATGGTTGTTTCCGGGGAGCCGGAGATATCCAGGTTGCTAAGGAGGGGCGAACCTGTGCGACTAAGACCCTTTTTCCATTTAATCCGCTCATATTTTTGATGTTGATCTAGGTGAGTTTCTATTGTGAGGATATAATTATTGACAAGATAGAATTTTAATCCATCGTTTATTGATCGTGTACGAAGTGGGTTGTTGACTGTTCACCCAAATGCAAACAATTTTTTTGTTTATAACTATATACCAGCCACTAAAATTGCCCTGTTGTTACCAGTCTTGGGACATTGGTGGGGAATAACAAAATTGTCTGGGTAGGGCACATAGGGCAGAGATGAATAGGCTGACAAATTGGCCAAGGAAAGTTTGATGAGGACACCTATTGGTCCTGAACCTTTTTGCGGCTTACCAAACTGCCAAAACTGCAGATCCATTAGACACTTGATTAAAAATAAGTCCTCCGTTCAATGGGAATGTAGACCGGGACAGAGGCATGTGAAAAAGTTTATGAAAGGACCATTGCAAAAATTAACAGCAGAACTACTAAATCTAGGATGTGCTGGGACACTGCAGACTCTGGAGGCATATGTATAGACTCTGAGGGGCAGAAAGCCTGTGCTGATATTGCCAAGAAGAAGATACAGCGCAACATGTCATCTATCAGTGCGAAGGTCTATGTAGGCTGAAATTCCTAATCCTGGGAGAAGAAAAACCAGGGCCTGAAGGATAAACGGGAACCGTTGAAAAAGACTTGGGCGAAAAAAGCCTTAAGCCCAACGAGGAGCTCTAGTTACAAAAAAAGAAGATGCACAATAGAACAATACTGGGCTCAGTGGGTAGGTCGTAAAGACGTCAGCTCCTTACATAATTTAATCTAATCAACTAGTCGTTAGTGTTTTGCTCACTCTTATTTGGTGATCAAGGTGATCAAGATCAATCAAGTGATCGGGCATCTGCTGGAGCATCTATCCGAAGACTGAGAGTTCGAATCCCTCCTGGGACAAACAATTTTCATATCGAGTAGTCTTTTTAAAAATTGAATATGATGTCAGAGGTTCGAGTTGGGTATATTGATCAGTCTAATCTTGTAATACAAAATTGTCATTGCGTTATTATTTTTTTCTTCTTCTTTGCCGTACAAATTGGTCAATTTGTGGGCTAGGTCTTGAACGAGTCTTCTGGTGATTGATGTGAGTTAAAAAATAGAAACGGGTCCCCTCGCCCCTTCTCTCTCGGCCATTAGATTTGCTCCACCTGGCTTTCCATGTCAAATGTAATTGTCACCTTTACACACTCTGTAAACTATTATTTATATGGGCTATCCCTCTCCAGCCGTCTGGCAATCCTGTTTTTCGATTTTAGCGTACAACCGGTCCACTTTATTCTTCACATTTGGAAAACAACTCGAAATGTTTACTCTTTGGTAAAACTGTATTCAGTTAGGAAGTTTTGCCTCTGAAAAGTTGTAAATCTTAAACTAAATGGTCAAACTAAAGACGTGAGTTACCCAGAAACATTTTGATGTCATAGGAAAATGGGTCAAAAACGTATCCCCTCATTCATTTTTACGTCATTGGACAATAAATATACCAAGAAAATTTAGCTTAATTTAATTTTAAGCTATTGAGAAATTGGCCAATCAAATTAGCTTTGTTTACTTTATCAGTACTACTTTTACTACTTTACTTTTACTAAATTACTTTTTCTCTCCAGACGTCGCTCAGTCACCCCAGAGTACTTGATATTCCTCGGGGCGGGGTTGAACTCACTCCATTCTCGCTAATAAATTACTTTTACTCTCCAGACGTCGCTCAATCCCCCCAGAGTACTCGATATTCCTCGGGGCGTGGCTGAACTCACTCCATTCTCGCTAATAAATTACTTTTTCTCTCCAGACGTCGCTCAATCACCGCAGAGTATTCGATATTCCTCAGGGCGGGGTTATAAGCAACCCCTTCCTTTCACGCTAATAAATTACATTCATTCCTATAAATTAACATTATACGATTGACCATCTACGTTTAGCGGGACCACTTTTGTATTTGTAATTTGTCGTTTACTATGAAAGCATTGTGAGGACGAATTACTGCAATTTTTAACGTACATTCTCCATTTTAGATCATTCGGCCAAAATTTTTAATTTAAATTTTTTTCATCCTTCTGACCCAGATACCGGATGCCGAACATGTCTGGCTAAGGT